CAGGTTGCTGCCGACTCGATTTGACCTGGGCAACGGGCAGGAATTAAGACAGGGATTACAAACTTAATGCACCTCGCGGTTTGTTTATTTTGATTTATTTCCCCACAGCTTCCCGCGGTAGTCTGGTACGTACCTTAATGCTAATTTCCTATTTGGGTATGTACGTACCTGAATCGTACCTTGAGGTTTAGAGGCTTTACCCTGCGCCGTCAAGCTGCAAGCTGCAATCTGCAATCTACAATCTTTGAGCCTTCAGTTGGAAAGTCAACATCAACAATCGCCGTTAATCTTTAATCTTTTTTTGCCAGTCAACCTCAAAACGGTAGGCATCCCTCTTTCGCAATTCCATTGCGCCGACAACAAACTTCCTCCCTTCCTCAACTTTTTTTTCTTCCTTCAATTAACGTCAACGTCGCAACGTCGCAACGTCGCAACATCTTCCTACAACCAACCGCACCTAAGACTTTTTCCCTATTAAAAGCCGACGGGTTTCTTTTGGTTCGACATTGCGCCGACAGCTGTTGCCACTGTCCAATCTTATTCTTTGGTTTCCAATAACTCGACAACGACAACGTACTTCACTATCTTCGTTACCGCTAAACCTTCCCGTCAGTCGCCGATTCCAAGAATACTTCTTTCACTTACCTATATTCACTCCTAAATTCACTTTCACATCAATAAGGTCGTGAATCTTGCGCCACTCACCTCCTTCATCTACTTTACCTAGACCCTAAAACGACGCCTGCACCTTTCACCTAGTGGATGTGAAAGACTTCCTTCCTTCTCGTCAACGCCACCATCTTGCTCTACTTCATTGGGAAAACGGTGGTCATCATAAACCCTAAAGGTATCCTGGTGATCATTGGGAATAAGGGTTTAAACATATAGGTTGAGCTTGGTCCAAAGAGAAAAAAAATAAAAAGTTCTGGGAACTGGAAGTTGAGTTCTGGGACAATAAAAGGTACGTACCCACTTGATCAGCACTTTTTGCATTGCAGCTTGCAGCCCACAAGCCCACAAGCCCACCACCCACAGCCCACTAGCCCACTAGCCTACAGCCTACAGCCCACAGCCCCCTATGATCAGCTTATGCACAGCTGTCAAAGCTGTCAAAGAACTGTCTAAGCTGCTAGGCAACGCCTTGACAACTGCCCAAAGCTTTACCAAACATTGAAGCTTCAACAAGTTTAATTACTTGCAGCTTTCATCCTATCCTCCCCAACCCATGCTACCAAAATATACACGAGAAAAACATTCAACCCCATACCCATACCCATTCTACTGCATACCAACCTCCAACCTCATATTCATGCTCAGCTTAGATAGACTAACCTGTTTGCTAGAGGACTCCACTCTATGTGCATTGAATTCCTAGGACACGCTTTGAAGTATTCATCATTATTGATTTCCTTTGGGCCATATTCGTCCTTGATCAACTCTTGTACACCCTGTACACTTTAATATTTTCGGCTGAGGTCTTGGACCAAAGCTTTATCTTTCAACCTTCCCCCTTTCGTCGCGTCTCGAGATCACCCCATTAGGGCATCATCCCTACGAAAATTCGCAGACCATGGACGCCAGGGTAAGTTTCCGTTTTTTTTCTTCCATCTCCACTGTGCCTGATCTATACCTCCACAATCCATCGTTCCCTTCAGCAACCAAACCAAACTATCTTATGATTGATTATTGTTGCTTGACCCTACATTGACCCTATAGCGAACCTACAATACTCAATCCCTACCTTTCACCTTGTTCATAGCTACCTTTCGTGTCATAGCCATTGTATACTGCAACCATTACGCTTTTTTTTCGACCAATGCTAACTTCAATTCAACCTTGACAGCCTTCCCGTTTCGCCTATGCTCTAAGCAGTCGAAACGACGAGAACCTCCCCCCAATGGCCAACAAGACCATTCACCAACGTCACAAGTCTACTAGCAACCTCATGAACGCCATGTCTACCGCTGCTAGCTTTTCTAAGCTCGCGGTCAAGCCCAATGTTCAAAGTGACTTGGACGCTCGGGCGAAACCCGCACCAACTAACTCCTACGTGCCGGTCATCAAGCACCCTAACGTTTTTCCTGGACCTATCAACACAGACCAAGAGAACCGAAACCACAATGCTTCTAAGGACGCCTTCCTACGACCCGCGCAGCGACTTCCCAAGTCTCTTGTTCCCTCTGCTTCGATGAACCAGCTTCAATCTGCAGCTAACGAGCCAGCACCCATCTCAAAGCAGCAACTGCAGCAGCACCCTATCAAGAAAAGAGGCCAGCCGTTCAAGGTTTTCAGTGACACTCAACCTGAGAAGGAACAACCTACCCTGGAGAAAGTGAACCGAGCGGCCATTACTATCAAGTATAGTACTCAGCCGCAAGTCGAGGCCAAAGATTGGATCCCCGTAGCGTCAGGAAAAGTGCTACCGGAAGGTCGCCACCAAGGATCTCACCTGGAGAATCCCAAGAAAGACGTCCAGAATAGCAATCTTCCTATTGCCGGCCGATCAGAGGAGGTTACCGAGCCTGTCTACCTCGACGCTGTCGAAGAGCTTCCGAGCAACACGTATTCCGTAGCGAAGCCGGAGAAGGAAGTGGGCTGGAAACCGGTAGTTGATTACTTGAACAGCGAGGCTGGTTGGGTATCTCCTGCTCTTGACACGGACGAGGACGATCTACCCGCTGTTACCGGTCAAGCCATGTACCCTCACTATGACGAACGATTCGCCTCTAGCGCATTCCCTCTGCGTCGCTACACGGCCGACGTGTCTGACGATGATGAGGAGGATTACTATGACGACCAGGGCTACACTACAGCTCATTCCGGCCGAGACAACACGACGGGTGGTATCACTACTATCATGGTTCCTCCCAAGCTCACCAAGAAGGGCGCTGCAGAGATTGCGGCCGCAAAAGATATTGTGGAGAAAAAAGTTAGTAGCGATGTCCAAGACGATGAGGATTGGGACATCAGCATGGTGACTGAGTATGGAGAGGACATTTTTAATTACATGAAGGAAATGGAGGTAAGCAAGCAAGCCTGCATAAACGAGGTAACACATAACCTTACTAATTTTTTTCATGCATAGATCGATCTGTTGCCCAAGCCTCATTACATGGATATCCAGACTGAGATCAAGTGGTCCATGCGAGCTGTCCTAATGGACTGGGTCATTCAAGTCCACACCCGTTTCGGACTTCTCCCAGAGACGCTATTCTTAGCAGTCAACTACATCGATCGATTCCTCTCGGTTAAAATTGTCTCCATAGGAAAACTCCAACTAGTCGGTGCTACCGCTCTTCTACTTGCTGCAAAGTATGAAGAAATCAATTGCCCCTCGGTGCAAGAAATCGTCTATATGGTCGACGGCGGCTATAACCAGGAGGAGGTTCTCAAGGCAGAGCGTTTCATGCTCAGCATGCTCAACTTCGCACTGGGATGGCCTGGTCCGATGAGTTTTTTGCGACGTATCAGCAAGGCGGACGACTACGACAGTGAGATTCGAACTGTAGCCAAGTACTTCCTCGAGGTTACCGTTATGGACGAGCGCTTCGTTTCAAGTCCTCCCAGCTATGTGGCCGCTGGAGCTCAATGCCTTTCACGTATGATCCTGGGTAAAGGCGACTGGGTAAGTTTCATACCTTCTTGATCTTAGTATTCACTTATCTAACTTACCTCTTAGACACCCGAACATGTTCACTATTCCGGTTATACTTACGCCCAGTTGAAGCCGTTGATCGGAATGCTCTTTGACTGCTGCCGAATTGGTCGTAAGCACCATCGAGCAGTCTTCGAGAAATACTCAACTCGACTTTTCAAGCGCGCATCTCCGTTCGTCGAAGAACAGATCCAGAACGGTTTCAGACTTCCCTTCCAACGCAGCTACCACTACAAGTTGGATGTCCCCACCAATGAGGTGCATCCCGGATCGTACACTATGTCGATGCCACTTCCTATGTTGGGCTGAGTCAATTCATCGGCGGAGATTTTCTCATTCGACAATACCAGACGACCATGGTATCGGTGTGTTTCATAGAGCGCAATAATCAACGCGGCGGAACAACTCAAAGTTTCGCAAGTTTCCATAGAGATCTCGATGTCGTTACCGATGTAACTGACACGGGTTAATACCTGAGCAACTAATAAGCCGGCATCGATGTGCCGTCATTTACGACGTCATACGTGGGCTATGAACCTAACGACACGTTCTGATTCGCAACGTTTTCTTTCCGTTCGATACACTTTGCTTTTTCGCAGTGGTTTTTACGCAACTCTCGGCCTAATCGGCGAGGATTTGGCATCGCAGGCAGTTTTTCGGCATGAGTTCAGGCGTACGGTCCTGGGAGGGCAGGACAAGGCGGCATGGCAAACAAGCAAGCAAGCAAGCACAGGCAGGGAGGCAGGCGTCGATAAAAACTTTTATTCATTGATTCTTCATTGGCATTGCCAACGGACGGGACTATTCTATTAGTCATAATTTAGGGAGCATGCATGACCCCGGAGAGGGTAGGAGTGGCATACTCTAGGCTCTTGTTTGAGTATATAATTTTTGCTTGCTTGGGAAAATAAGCAACCATCTGAGCCCCCATTCATGGGACAGGGCTTACTAGATAGTGCTTCAGACTGCGAAGTCTCTCCCGCATTGATTTGTTTACTGTGGCTACGCATCTTTGTTTTGTTTTTTGTTTTTTGACAGTGATTTCGTGATCGCGATCGATAGTTTAATATGACGAGTGGCTTCGCTATAAGTGTCTACCTAGTTTTCGTAGCTAACTTGATAAACCCGATGTTCCCCAATAAGTATGATATTGTCGTGACTTGCTATTAATATTTTTTCTTGCTTCTTTTAAACCTAAATTTTATATTAAAGTTTAATGATATATTCAGAAGTTTCAATGTTGCTTTAGATCACGCTAATACTTATTGTCGATATGTCAATCTAAGCAATCAGGCTTGTTCATACTCTAACTCTCACGGTTATCAGCTTTTCCATCGATATTACCATGGATAAACAATGTGGCCATGGGTCTGACGAGGCGCAATCGCTCAAGGAGCAACAATTCCCAGCCCAAAGACCTTCACCTCATAATCACTCGCGTGTCACATTCCTGGAGGAGCCTGAAGTCACCACCATTGAGAGCTCTTGGGCGAGTAAGCAAAGAAACCGAGCCACGATGATAAAGCAACTTTACGAAGTTTTTTCTGGCGCTGAAGTTACCGATGATATGCTCTCAGAAGCCGCAAAGCTTTTCAGCGATAACTATGGGGTCTGGGGAAAGAAATCGCCATTGTCAGGTATGTTGTGTTGTTCTCTAGCTTTGCAGCTTCTTATGTCTTCCTAGGTAAACGTGTCAGCTTTAATGCTCGGCGTCTGCGAGAACAATGTCTTCCCGATGCTGCTGAAACTTCCTACGTTCGGGTGACCGTCGATGGAACTCTTGCCGGTAATGCATTTGTTTGTCGCTGGAGCTATAATGGCATGACAGTCTGTTGGATTACTCAACTAGTTGTGGTAGAGGAATACCGTGAGCGCGGGCTTGCAACTGGCCTTTTGAGAGCTATGCGGGAGGATACGGACGATGTTTACGGTATCGCAAGCTCTCATCCAGCTGCGTGTCTGGCGGCTGCTAAGGCGTTCGGAAGTAAGTTTGTTCCCCGAAGATATAACTCCAAGCTAATATCTAGTAACTAGCCACAATCGAAAGAGTTTCGCTCAATTTTATTGCTAAGAATGCTGCTTCGATCATGGAAGCATCACCAATATCCTACATTCGGGATTCAGCACTACGCGGTTCTCTCTTCGATAATAAAGATTCGACTGGGCTGGTTTCAGGTGTAGACACTAAATTCTTCGTAGACCATGATGAGCCACTTGAAGTATTGAATAAAGTCCGAGGGTTATGGGACTGGCCGCTGGGGGAATTGCTGGATGGGCATGAATACCTTTTAATCATACAGGGAAGACGTCGCCGATCTAAGTCCCAATTACTGCGCGAGCAAGCCGGCGAAGACAATGTATCCAATGATCACCCATAGGTAGTATGAAGCATAAGGCTTTATGTTCTACAGAATATCAGTGTATTAGGTTACTAGCAAGGGTTGAGCTCACGATGCACTGTGTTGTCCTCAACGCTCCTTATTAATAGATGTCTAACACAGGTAGCGCTATACTAAGATCGAACTTACTTACCTCAAAGACATTGTAGCATACTCATATACATAGGTAGTTTATAAAAAGATATATAAAATAAAAAGATTAATATGATATATAAAAACTTGTCATATTATTAGTATCTATTAACTACAGACAATAGGACAAAAATCCAGCTCATCATGCAATACTATTTACCATTGCCGCCTTCGTCGCCTGTAAAGCTTCGTAATTTCGTTTCATAGCGGCCTTAGTGAACTCTGATCCCGTCACTACTGGGTACTTCTTCAGCGGGCCTTGGATCTCGCAGTCTATGTTCGGCTGGTTAAAATACGCCATGCTGTACCGCGTGCCGTAGTAATCGACTTTTGGGTCTGTCGGCGTCTTGACGCGGTGGAACGTGGATTTGAAGCGGTCGTCGCTCCAACTCATTAGGAGGTCACCGCTTTTCTAAGTCAGTCGTCTGGTTGGACATTTCATTTTTTTCTGCCCCTTTTATCCCTCACATCCAGCCAACCTATCAAGGGATAAATAGAACAAAGAGACTACGCAGAAATACTCACATATTGCACACGATCTCGCCCGCCACAGGCTCAACCGGCGTCCACGTGTCCCCCAGGCCAAACTCCGTAAACGCCTCGCGCCCCGGACATATCTCCAACCCGCCCTGCCCAGGCCGCTGGAACAGCAACGTTACAAAATCCCAATCCGCATGCGCGCCCGCGCGGTGATACCCTTCGGGCGTCGGCGCCCCGGGGTCCAGCGCAAAGTACTTGAGCAGCCGCAAGACGGTCTGCGCGCCGGGCCGTCGCACATCGTGCGCGCGCACAAAGTACTCGTCCGCGAACCCGAGCCCGCGCGCAAAACACACCATCAGCTTCTCGCTGACCTCCTGGGCCAAGCGCATGAACGCGAGGGTCCGGGCGCGGAACCCGGGGAGCGCGGACTCGGACGGCCAGGACGACGCCGCCATGCCGTGCTGCATCTGGAAGCTCTCCTTCTGATCCGGGAGGCCGGTGCTGGGCCGCACTTGGGCGGCGCGCTCCCAGCCGGTGTTGGCGAGCGGGGAGAAGGGGACGGTGGATTTGGTGGCGTCTGGGAGCGAGAAGAAGGCCTCGGAGAGCGCGAATTGCGCTTCTATCGCGGATGAGGGGATCCCGTGGTCGGTTAGCGTGAAGAATCCGTTGCTTTCGGCCGCGGAGATTAGGGATGCGGTGATTTTGTCGATGCGGGTGTCGAAGTCTCGGAGGGAGATACGGGGGATGTCGCGGTTGGTGTATTTGGTGGTGGTAGTGTCTGCCATGATGATGGTTCTACTTTTGGGAGATGGAATAGGGGAGGTAGGTAAGTAGGTATGTAAGTGATAAGTGGAAGGTAAGTTTATAAGTATGAAGATGATGTGTAAATGTGTAATAGGGCAGGCTAGCTACTCCGAACCCTTTTTATATACACCTCGACTTATACCGAGAATATGGGTTTCGGGCCGGTCCGGGGTAAGTGCAACATTCTTGGAGCCAGTTGAATCTAGATAAGCTTGATTAACATCAAGGACCCTTTCGGAACCCCAATCTTTTCTATGGTAAGTATGTAAGTTGGTCTTGAATTGTGTGGTAACACGTCCTTTTCTCTTTACGCTACGATAGACACACATAGATCTAGGGAACAAGTATGTTTTTACCCCGGGGACGACGGGGCGGTCCGGGAGTGGAGAATAGATACCGGGTGATTATACTGGTCGAGCTATCGCTTTGCGGAGATAGCTTATCCGCTAGGAGGTAGATACTTATCTCCAACCGGAGGCTGCCGTTAGGGCAACGTCTGACCTATCTTGAAGCTTGGTCGATATGAAAACGGCTATACCTTAGTCTGTAGTAATTGGCCGTATCAAGAGTTTAAAGGCCAGCCGAATTTACTGTAACTTAGATACTTCACAAGGCTCTATTCATAACGACGCCCCTAGGAGACTTATATAAATGTTGCTTTTCGGGCCGGTCGTAATTGTACGACACACCCGGAGCAATTCCTCCGTTGGGACATCATTAGTTACACCATCTCATTAACTATGACATTATTATTTATCATAACTACTGATTTTCTGCTGGTGAATTTGTATTGAACTTCCTAATCAGCGTTACTACAGTTATTACATGTTGATACTTGCTAATCCTAACTTGATAATGGTGTCTGTTGATATGTGCTGTCCTATGGCGGGGATGAAGACGTTTGAAACCGAGTAAGACCTTGGTTCTAGTTAACGATGCTATAGCTTTAGAATCTTATATAGGTACGTTCGTAAGTTAAACCGTGCTGTATTGTGTATTTAGAAGTTAGTCTATATACACAAGGAATGGTAAACCCGGACATCAAGCCCTTGGTTTATGTAGGTACTTTATTCACGCCAATCGCGGGATACAGTAACACATGGTTCTACTAATGGCGAATATTTATTAACCTCCTACTCTATGATTTCTATAGAAGTTCATTGAATATCAATCCGTGTAAATAGTTAGGTGATATATGTATTCTATTAGGTGGATTAGGAGATCTAACGTTTGATAGTATGCTATTGCCATTCATTAAGAGCAAGTACGTGTCTTCAGTTACGGTATAAGATAACTAGGTATAATTGATTCATCATCTTAATGACCGTCTCAAGGGCTGATTTGCTCAACATCGCACACACAAATTAGGGAACATTAGTCAGGCTTTATTTGTCCTACCTTACTTAGCTATTTGTCATTATACTTACACTTGTCATTGCCATGGCAATTATGTCTTCTTGAGACTGAATGTCCTCAATGAAGCTAAGCAAAGTAAGTGACTGAAAACGTTTTGATTTTGTCATGGGGTTCCAAATAAAGCATTGTTGTAATATAGGGGGTGAATCAATAAGGAAAAAGGAATAACTACGACTACATTTTCTTCGAGGATACCCTTTGTATTCTTTCAAAGTAAATTCAAAAAATGAAATGAGATAAAATTTAATTAAATTAAAAAATTGAAGAAATTTCATGATTAAATAATTGCGCGTATTGGTTCAAGAGTAAAGCAAGACCAGTTATTGGAAAAAAATAAAAATAAATTAATTTCGCCAACTTCTCAAATCCATGTGAGGTGCAGATGTACTTAGCCTGTACCTGCTGCCCTGCTGCTGGTCGGTCCTCTAGGGGAACTTCCCCGTCCAACTTCTACGAGATTTGCGTCCATTTACATCCACGCTAGCCGAGCTAAGGTACCCAGCTCACCTATACCTACCCCCGGCTGCCCAGGTACATCTGTACTTTGATAAACACCAGACGCGCAGGAGCTGCCCAGGTCTAATAATTTTGCACGCGTCCATTCCCCAACTACAGTCATTAATTCATCCTTTTTTTTTTAAATCTTTTTTTTCCACTTCTCTATTTAACTCAACATATTTCATCGATTTTGCGCACTTTCGGGATTTATTTTTCTAATTCTTTAGAAATTATCTCGAGGGAAGGCCTAAATTTAAAAAATTCTTTTTTTTGTGGAAAAAGACGTGCAGTCTTTTTTTCACTTCCCCGATACGCCCTTTTTTACCTACGCTACGTACCTATACGCCCACCTCACATTATCGCGATGGCGCCTACGAGACCTTCGCGCGCAGCCGCCAAGGAGAATGGCACGACAGCTGAACCGGTAGCCGATGATGGAGCCCCAGTAAAGCGCGGCCGCGGTCGTCCCCCCAAAAATGGTGTCTCGGCTCAAGTTAAGAAAGCTCCTTCGGGTCGCCCTCGTGGCCGTCCTCCCGGAATCAAGAAAGCCGCCAAGCCTGCTCCATCCAAGCCTGCCGCCAGCAGTGGTCCTGGTCGCCGTGGACGTCCTCGCAAGAGCGATGCAAGCGTTACTACACCGAAAAAAGCTGCGACTCCCAAGTCTGCCGCAGCCAAGCCCTCTAGCACAGGAAAAGGACGCGGCCGACCACGCAAGAGTGACGTTTCGCCTGCCAACGAGCCCGAAGAGGAGGAGGATGATGATATTGAAGGAAAGGGCGAGGATGATGAAGGTGCGTTATCGCGCGAAACTGGGCTGGGATGTGATAGATGGTTAGAGATCTACGAATAAACGCTAACATTCTCACTTGTGTGATTACAGATGAGGCGGATGATGATATCGCGATGGATGACGATGCTGAAGATGACGACGCAGTCGATGATGGCGATGCTGCTCCTGAAGAGGTAGGATCACCCTTTTCGCACTTCCCCTTTATGCACAGCTCTCGCTTTTGAATACCAATATCTTACTAATTCGGGTTATATAGGAGGATTAGGGCACCGAAGTCCGCGCGTTATACGTGGGTGCTTTTCTATCCAACGTGCTCAGGCGTATCAGTAACGTAAGGAGTGCTCCTGCTGCTCCTGAGAACTGAGGACCTGATGCTTCTATTATGCGAAGCATAGTTATTTCGGTCTTCTGTGTGAGCAATACTGGGTTGCATGCGAACACTTGGTCATGGGGGAGATGGGGGTTTTTCTTTTACGATTGGCTGAGAATAATGGCGTTGATAGGGATGAGCTGGCTTGTATACATACTTCTGAAGTGGTAATGGCTTCGTAGTCTATTGTGACCACGACCACTACCGGTGCTCCCTCACAGCTTGTTTATTATATGACTCCATGTTTTCCGGAGGGGAAAACTAGGAGCATACAACGAAAAGTTATTTACCTAACGCTATGCATTGCAATCTTCCGCCGACCTGTGCGTACCTATAATATAGTAGGTAGTAAAGCATATTATTTGATCTGCGACCCTATCCTATAATCTCTTTGAGCATTATTTTAGGATCCTTAGGAATTTTTGAATTATTCTGTAAACCGAGCAAGGCCCTTGTTCAGATTCTCTTCCACTCTTCGAACTCCTCCGTAATATGTTCCTTGAGCTGTTTAAAACTGGCCCCAAAGTTCTTCCCGCAGCGCCGACACTTCAGGTCTGTATTTAGAAATCCGGCTTTGTCGGGGTGTCTCCTATAGTCATCTTCCGCCAATGGGAAGTCGGCAACATCAATCAGGAAGGGCGTATTAAAACTATTGTAGTGCTTGCGGTGGCGCATACACTCCGACATCATATCTGGCGCCAAGACGTGCACATGTAAGTCGTTCATAGACGGATGCGCGTGAATGCCGACCAGCAGCTCGCTCTCCCAGTCTCGACCCTTGGGTAACTCGTCCCCATCCCACTCCTTCTGCCCGTCGAGCACGGCCTCGCGCTCGCGATCTAAGGCGCTGAATCGTCCGTATCGTCGCTGTAGTTCCTTCGCTACTAAGCGTTTTAGTTTCTGCGTTTCGGCTTGTACGGAGGCTAGGAAGGAGGCGTCTTCGAAGGCGTCGAAGGGATGCATACGGCTGCGGGGCGAGCGTGGGAGGAGCAGCGTGTGGACGGTGGATTTGGGGTACATGTCGTTGATGGCGACGAAGTCGTCGTTGTAGTATATGACTTGGCTCGCGGGAAAGGCAGTTGGGTCGTGGGTGTAGGCGCCGAGGCCGTCGCGCCTGTTGAAAGATTTTGTTGGAGGGCGTTTGGGTTCTTCTTTTACTGTCTTAGTCTTGGGCGACATGAGTTCTGTGACTTGTATATCTTATTAGTCTCGTCCTATGTACCTATCTATAAGACTGGGGGAGATTTGTCTCGGTTACCTACATGCATTGCGCTTCGTGCCTTGACTTACACCGGCGCCCGCTGCGTCCGCCGGGGTAGGTGCCGTCCCTGCGATTTCTTCCTTGGTAATGGCATCTTCGGGGTCTGAATCGGTTGATGCCATGTTGTTGCTGTTTTTTCGACTTGTTCTGAGAGAAAAGGGCTTAAAGAAATGTTGTTTGAAGGTCGAGGGTCTATCTTCGAAGTCTACATTTAGGTAGTGCTTGGGCAGGTAAGTTGGCTTGTAGATGATTCGGCGATAAAATAGACCCGGTGGACTCGAAGTTATAGGTAATCTTCACATTTCGTATTACTATACTTACGGAGATATATATAAGGTATGTATGTGTGTTATTAGTAAAATGTAGGTGATAGCATATTGGATAAGGTATATCTTGATTAAACCCTTTTGTTTGATGGATCATATAAATGGAATCATTGATGTAAGGTATTGTTGATGTAAGAGACGCAAGATGTATCTCGTATAGTTACATATATGGATGTACCCAGGTAAGGACCTTTTATCTACCCCGCCATTGTACTAAGTGGGGCAATCAAAAACAATGATCTCAATTCAAACTGTGCGGGGTATACGAAACTTTTTAATTATAGGAGGAATTTGATGATTATTTCCTACAATTAAAAAATTATTGTTCAACACACAGTATATATACCCCTTTAACTGTATATCAGTACTTAGACACTTAAGTATCCAGGTATCTAAGTACTAGCCGGATATACTCCGGTACAAACTGTAAATTTTATCTTTGACCGTCAGCTTTGGACGATTTATACTTCTTTCTCATCCCATAAATGACCATGAAAACATTTTAAGATTTTACATCTAGGATGCCAAATGGCTTATCAGTATGGGAAAGAAAGGCAAGGAAAAGGCCACAGCGGCACCTTCGGGAGCTGCCGTGGCCGCTAACGCATCATCATCATCAAAGAAATCTTCATCTAAATCAGGTAAAAATGCTGCCGCATCGCAGCCAAATGACGATTTTATAGTATTTACAAACTCTACCAATGATTCTAAGTCCAATAAGAAAGGTGGCGGAGGCGGAGGTTCTTCGAATGTCGGAGGAAAGAAGACTGAAGCGGGCGAGTCGGCAACAGCAGAGGTTCCAGGCCCTCCCAAACCGACGGTGAAGCAGATTATCGGAGGAGCCAGTTGGACTGGTAAACTACCTGTGAACTTGCTCTCGGAGCATTGTCAAAGGCAGAAGTGGGACAAGCCCGACTACCAGCTTGTAAGCGGCTTGTTTTGCTCAACTGCCTCGTGTACCTAGTTAATGAAATCGAGTTAGATAAGAAGTTCAGAGGGCATCTCATATTTCGTCCAGCTTAGTGCCAAGAATCCCAAGACCCAGGAGGTACAGAAGCTGCCTCCTTTTAAGCTGCCACCAGACTATAAGAATCTAGTGACCAGGGAGACTCCTTTAGAAGCCAGACATGCAGCCGCTACCTATGGCCTATTCAGGGTCTGCAGTATGAAAAATATACATACCACCCTACCCCCAGATTATAGAGCACTATGGAAGAAATTCGAAGAACTAAAGAAGGAAGATGTAAAAAAGGGAAACGCATGGATGTATGATGCGGATCCTTTCGCTAGTCTGAAGCAGCGAGAAGATGAGAAAGCTGCTGCGGAAAAGAAACGAAAAGAGCAGGATGCAATCAGGGAAAAGGCGAAGAATATGCCCGGTGCATCTGGTTTAGTCCTCCGAAGCAATGCTGCATCCTCTTCTGGAGGAGGTAATAATCCCATGAAAGGATGGACGACGATTCCAAAGATCGAAATGGGTCGGAAAACACGGTCCCAATTAGAAGATTTGCTTCGACGGGAAGTAATCTGGAACCCGCATGGTGTTAATATGTCGACTTCCCTGAAAGAGGCTGTCATCAAGGAACTTACTAACTCTGGCTTCCGGAAGAGCCATGTAGAAGAAGCCGTCGAAGAATGCAAAGACCGTGAAGAGACTCTAGAGTGGCTATTAATACACGTACCTGAGGATGATCTTCCTAGATGGGCTTTACCAGGGAGTTATAGCGCTGGTATTTCAGTGGCTGCGACGCAAGACTTGAAGCGTGAGGCAGCAGTAAAGCGGTTGTCTCAGTCAGGCTACTCTGCTGAGCTGTGTCGAAAGCTATACGATGAGAATAACGGAAACGAAGGCGTAACCGCCGAGGCATTACAGCACTTTCTGCTCTCTAGTGGTAACGACTCGGCATTCGCAAATGATGTCGAAGAACCATTCATATCAGGCACTCCGGAGGAATGTTGGGATGATGAAATGGAAAGTCTCTCATCTGTATTCGGCGAGCATTTCAAGCGCTTATCTGACGACGTTTGCCAAATTCGAATTGATTCGGTTAGGAATGGTCCCAAGAAGGACGTCGAGACTTACGTACAATTCCGCAGAACGCCGCGGTATCCATCTGAAGTTGTTGTGGCCGTGGTGGCAGATCTGCCCTCTTATATTAAACTCAGCATAGTTAAGAAGACTCTTGCCTATCTTAACGAGTCTCTCAGCGAAGAACCAATGAAGATCTACTTTGCTGTTGATTGGGTTCAACAAAACATCAACACTATTATCGAGAATCCGGGAAAGCTGAGAGACATATCAGGCGTTGCGTCTACCGCAGCAGAGACACGTCACGTTATCCCAGTAAAGCAGAGGTCTTCAAGGCATCCGAAACCGTTGTCATGGACTGTAAATACACGCAGCAAGGAAGAGTGGCAAAAAAGGCAAGACAGCCCTGCGCTCAAAGAAATGTTAGCTCAACGACAGAAGCTACCCGCTTGGCAAGCAAGAGATCTAGTCATCGATACAGTCTCACAGAAGCAAGTCACAATTATTGCTGGCGAAACGGGCTCTGGTAAGTCTACGCAATCGGTCCAATTCATTCTAGACGATTTGTATAGTAAAGGACTTGGTCACGCTGCGAGTATTATATGTACGCAACCACGCAGGATCTCTGCTCTCGGCCTTGCAGACAGAGTCAGCGACGAGCGCTGCTCTAAGATTGGTCAAGAAGTGGGTTACACCATTCGTGGAGAGAACAAAACTAGCCCTCAGACCAAAATAACTTTCGTTACCACTGGTGTGCTCTTGAGACGTCTGCAGACTTCTGGCGGGCGGACCGAGGATGTAGTTGCATCTTTAGCTGATGTAAGTCATGTTGTTATTGACGAAGTTCACGAGCGGAGTCTGGATACGGATTTCCTCCTTAGCATTGTTCGCGACGTCTTGAAACAGAGAAAAGACCTTAAGCTTATTCTTATGAGCGCCACACTCGACGCAGCAACTTTTCAAAGCTACTTTACTTCCGAAGGACTACAGGTTGGCTTGGTCGAGATTGCTGGTAGGACGTACCCCGTTGAGGATTACTATCTTGACGATATAATTCGCATGACGGACTTTACTGTGGACAATAATAGGTATCGTGATCGGGATGAGGGAATGTTCGACTCCACAGAGCAAGGCGGTGGTGATAAAGGACCACAAGATCCGATTAATAAGACTATCCAGAGGTTGGGTTCTCGGATCAACTATTCCTTGCTCGTGGAGACGGCAAAGGTTATTGATGCAGATCTATATCACAGCAACAAGAAGGGTGGAATTCTTATATTCCTACCGGGTGTTGCGGAGATCAACCGGACAGTCAACCAACTCAGGAATGTCTCATCCCTTCATGTTCTACCTCTTCATGCCTCCCTTGATACGCGCGAGCAACGAAAAGTATTCACAAGCGCTCCTTCTGGAAAGCGAAAGGTCGTAGTTGCTACGAATGTAGCAGAGACGTCTATCACCATAGACGACATTGTTGCCGTTATCGATACAGGAAAGGTGAAGGAGACGAGCTTCGATCCTCAGAATAATATGCGCAAGCTCGAGGAGACGTGGGCTTCCCGCGCCGCTTGCAAGCAACGCCGAGGACGTGCCGGTCGAGTACAGGCTGGTAAATGTTATAAACTGTACACGAAGAATCTTGAACAGCGGATGGCGGAACGCCCAGAGCCGGAGATTCGGCGTGTGCCTCTTGAGCAGCTTTGCTTGTCGGTGCGAGCTATGGGAACTAAAGACGTCGGTGGATTCCTGGGGAGGACACCAACACCGCCGGCTATTTCTGCTGTCGAGAACGCTGTCAAGATGCTGCAACGAATGGGTGCGCTTGATGGCGAGGAGCTGACCGCTCTCGGACAGCAACTAGCTATGATCCCCGCCGATCTGCGTTGCGGAAAGCTTATGATATACGGCGCTATTTTCGGCTGTCTTGATGAGAGCATCTCTATCGCTTCTATCCTAAGTACCAAGAGTCCATTCGTATCTCCTCCAGAGAAACGGGATGATGCAAAAGCTGCTCGCATGAAATTTTTCAGAGGCGATGGCGACCTCCTCACGGATTTGAGAGCTTTCCAGGAGTGGAACGCCATGATGGAAGGGGGTACGCCGCAGCGACAATTACGACAATTCTGCGACGAGAACTTCCTTTCCTACCAGACCCTCAATGATATCTCAGCAACCCGGACACAATATTATTCCGCACTCTCTGAGTTAGGCATACGCGAAACCCGCCCCGCGGGCAACCAAGCATCACAGGCTCTCGTACGTGCGCTTACTGCTTCAGCGTTCACACCGCAGATAGCACGGATACAGTTTCCAGACAAGAAATTCGCTACGTCGATGTCGGGCGCGGTAGAAATCGACCCGGAAGCTAGGACAATCAAGTACTATACACAGGAGAACGGCCGCGTGTTCATCCATCCTGCAAGCACACTGCATGATAGTCAAGGATTTTCAGGCAATGCTGCGTTCCTGTCCTATTTCAACATGATGTCTACGAGCAAGATCTTCATTCGAGAGTTAACTCGTGAGTATTCTATCCATATTATTATATTTATATGATTTACTGACTGCTGCTTGTTTATAGCGTTCAACTCCTTCACGTTGCTCTTGTTCTCTGGCGCTATCGAGCTCGATACTCTTGGCAGGGGCCTCGTGGTTGATGGATGGCTAAGGTAAATCCCCGCCTTTAAAATCACTCTTCTTGATGGATCTATACTGACTGCTCTTTACTATAGGCTACGTGGTTGGGCTAGGATTGGTGTCTTGGTCTCAAGGCTCAGGGGCATGGTAGACAACATCATCGCGCTGAAGGTTAACGATCCGCACGTGGACGTTCGCGATAACGAGGTGATTAGAATGGTGGCTAAGCTTATAGAACTAGATGGCCTAGACGCTTGAATGATCTCACCGTCGTCTACTTTGGATCAGGGGTTAAGGGTATTGTTAACTTGGTGTCTTTTCGGTTTTAGCATTATCCATCAAGAGAACATATGGGATACTGTATTATCTATCTCTATTGACAACGTTAGACGCAAGGCTTCTCGTTTCATATCAATTCCGTTATGCGTGTAATTTTCCAGAGGCTCAAGTAGATTGATGTAATAACCGCCGCTATCACGTTATATGTATAAGATGGATAATGCGTTGGTCTTTACTCCGTCGACATCGGATCCTACATGCATACATGTGGAGCCTGGACAGCCCACACCCTACCCTACGATGCAGAAAATGGGCCGGAGAGGGGCTTTGCAACAACTGTACATACATAGGATAGATAAACAATGCAAGGGTCCAATCAGGTAAATATTTCAAAAAGCATAGAGATCAGCGAATCCTAACGAATCATGATTTGTCAAGTATCAACTTGTAATGTAAGGCAAATTTTCAAGTTTTAACATTCGATGTTAAGTTGGGTTACGAGCTCGCAGCGCCAGCTTTTCGTACCTAGTCCAGCTTCGTAATACGAGCCTTAGGTACTTATATGCTTTTCCCGGGAATTCGGCCTGTGATATTCGGAGTTAGAATGATAAGCGCTGCAAAGGAAACTTCCGAGATGCATCAGCTTTTAGCTCACATGACATAACATACCTCGTTTGAGTTTCGGTGTTCTTCTGTCTCTTCGCGATCAAATGGGCAGGAGATCGACTGCCCGCATGAAGAGGCGGTTTATGAATACTAATACGAGCTACGCTACCCACTTTGAGCCCTTGAGCGTTTTTTTTTTTTTTCTTATTGATGTGACCACCGTTGGACTGACTGAACCTTGAGACGTTGGCTTATAATAAAGCACGGCTGGGAAATAATAGGGTATAGTAGAAACATATAAGAGGGCCGAACTGAACTGGCTGCAGCCGGGCTCCATTAACAGAAGACTTGAGATATTCTATCCCGTGCAATTCATAATTGTAAGGTTTATATTAAGGGGACGGTTTAAGCGGACACTTTATATGCCAATTTAGTCTTCTGGCATCATGTCGTATTACTCGGCACTATGCGCCTCCAACCTTATTCAATCTGTCGTCTGAAGTTTTGACAACTTGTCGTCTGATGTTTAGGCTTACCCATCGTCCGAGCTTGCTCATATGCCCGTAGGATTACGTAGTAGTAGAGTAGGTGAAGACTGTTGTTTGGATTCGGGATGCTGCAGCTGTCAAGCGTCTGGTATGCTCGTCACCGAAATTGTCTCACACATCATCGATGGAATGTTACGACTCGCTAACCATCCTACCTGATATCTAGTACTTCCACCAATAGTAGGTAGAAGGGAGCAAACAACATAGACCTACCTCATATGGAATAAACGCCAGGTTCGCGCTAAAACTAGAAGTGCGCTATTACTACAACTCAAGACGCGGATTGTCTCAGTCACCCATTAGACCCAGGCAGCGAGTGCCATTATAAGAAGTGCCGATGATGGGGTTCAAGATCCTCGCTCTTCTGGCAGCCATGGCCGTGGCACGCCACCCGCCAGCGCGAGTGCAATCAAACACGAGCGGCATAGCCACTCAGGACTTCATCCAGAAGGTCAACCACACGGTCGACGCGGGCTCCGCAACATTTAGACAGCGGTATCAGCTTATAACGCAACACTTCGAGCCTGGCGGACCGATTCTTTTCGTGCAGAGCGCCGAGTCCGGCATGCCGTCCATCAACTCGAGCGACTTCATAGACTACGCACCGAAACTCGGCGCCCTCGTCGCGATGCTCGAGCATCGCTTCTTTGGCGACTTCCGCCACGGCAGCTACCCGCTTCATTACAACCCATTGAACGTCTCAAACGAAACGTTTGACTCGCTGTCGTTGGATAACGTTCTTCAAGATGGAGTTAATTTCGTGAATTGGATAAAAAAGACGGTGTTGGGTGCTGCGAATAGTAAAGTGATTTATGGTGGTTGTAAGTAAACGAGCGGCTCGCGGTGCTAGAGGATGGTCATGGACTAATGCTATTATTGCAGCTTCGTACGGCGGATTCCTTGCCGTATCGGCACGGATTCGCTATCCAGATACGTTTTACGGCGCGATTGCCTCCTCGCCGGCCTTGAATTCGTTCGGCCCCCTCAGCTCGAATCAGGTTAAATTCGATTCCGCAAAGTGGGCGAGCCAAGTATATAACGACGCTTCGAAAGACGCATCCTCCAAAATAAAAACGTCCATGTTAACGTTTAAGAAGTGCCTTGCAGGTGAGAGTCATTCTTGCGTACGAGCCGTGCTTTACGGACTAACAAGAGAAAGACAATAGCTGCGAGGCGACTATCCCCGATCTCAATATATGCAAGAACTCCACGTCGCTAGGCTACGAGAGGCTGTACAAGGCGGTGCTCCATACTTACCTAGCCATCTCCAAGTTCAACTACCCGTGGATCGAAAAATTCCCAACGGCAAACCCGCTGTCGGAACTAATCAAAAACACGCTCGAAGCTAAGACCGTAGGCGAAGTCCTCCGCCTCCCGCTCCTAGCAACCTCATGGACGACCAACACATCGGCCTGCATCGACAGCTTCAACGGCAACATCTCCAGAGCCAGCCAGGGCAACGTGATGAGCAGCGAGCCGGCCTGGAGCGCCGTCACATGCGGCTACTACCCGATCAACGACCGATCGATCCCCGCGGACAACATGCTGCCCGAGGCCTTCGCCCGGGGCACGGTGGACATATGCACGAACCCGGCGTGGCAGGGCGTCGACTACAAGCGCGAGAACGAGTACTTCCTGCAGAAGTACGCCATAACGAACGATATCCTCGACGCGACGGAACGGCTGCTCATCGTCCAGGGCCGCTACGATCGCACGGCTGCCATCGGCTCCCCGGCCCTGACGGTTACGGATTTGTATAACCATTCCCGCGTTATACTTGTGGACGGCACGGCGCATGCGGAGGATGCGGTGTCGGAGGCGGTGGAGCCGCGGGGGATGAAGCCGCAGATGGATCAGGTGTGTTGAGTTGTCGTTTTCTTTGTTTTCTTTTAACTATATATTAACTTACTGCTGAGCGGATGCTAACTTGAAGTGTGTGTTATTGGTATTGCAGATCCGGGAGATTAAGCTTGCGCATCTTAAGGAGTGGCTTGGCCGGGGTAATCAGACGGATTCCGGATCTGCGATATTGGTCCCGGTGCATGGTACGACGTTGTTTTCTGCGTTGATGTTGTTGTTTGTTTTTTGGGGAGTGTTATGAATGACATGACGAGGGTTAAGTTAGGCGTAGGTTGGTTGGATTAGGAGTTAGTTGTGAAAAGTCTGGGAAATGTGATGATGTAGAAAATATTGGTATCTAGGTAATTTATAATATTTATGTGCAGTTAGACTTGAACTTGTATACATATTGCTACTTTCGTTGTTTCATGAGCTTATGAGATGAAGCTCAATTAATGGCTCAGACTCTAAAAAGGGGCTGATGATCTGGCCTACGCGCATATGCTGCGCCACGTGAGACATGCCATAGACGTCATGGATGTCCCACAAGGGACTCATCATCTCATATCTCAACTTGACTTTCAAGTTAGACACCAAAGTTGTGTATGTAGATAGACATGACAACTTCTTTCCAGTAGGCTGGGAAGGCGACTAGCTTATTTGTTTACTTAAAACAGCTCATTTATAAATATAAATTGACTTGTCAGCTAGATCCCGCGTGGTTTCGTTGATTGGCTTATACTTCTCTCGCCGCTGGTGCGGATATTGTCCCGATGAAGCTGAGCCGCGTCACTACTTTTAATATCCTTTAATTTATGTACAACATTTAGCAGTGTTTGCATAGTGCGACGGCTGAGTTTGTCTTTTTCGAGAGGCGTGTTTCGAATCCGATTAATACCGGCTTGAAGTCCGGCTTACGGACTTCTAAGTGAATTACTATTGGAGGAGAATATTCCTATATTTCCGAAAGGCATATTTTTGATATAAGACATGTAAATTATACCAACAGTATGGCTAGTTCGCATGGTACGTAGTGGCTTTTGCTTTCTCTTAGCCGACCGCTAAACCTGTTAAAGGGGATACGACTTCGGATCTGGCGGTGCCGCAATCTCAGTCCTCGCCAGTCGAGTTTACTTTCTTCTCCTCGTTACCGGTCGAGCTGCGCTTCAAGATCTGGAACGAGGCTTTTTGCCCTCGTGTAGTAGAGATACATACGCAGAGAGGGGCTAACAACGACTTGACACATCCGATATGGGTGTCGAATAGCGATAATCCGGCGGTCATGTCCGCTTGCTCTGAGTCCCGCACCCTGGCGCTCGAGCACTTTACGGTTCTCTTACCCGTCTTCAAGTCGGAGCCCAATGCGTCTGTTTCTCGGTATCTATATTTCTCTCCGGCTTCCGACCTGCTCGTGTTCATAGGAGATGCCGATCGTATACGGCTGTTCGATATCTTCCGAACCGTCCAACAGCGAGATCCAGACCACCGAGGGCTGCAGCGCGTGGGGGTAAGCTTGAGCTGTTGGGCGTACAACTTCAATTACGCGGCCCTGAAGCTCTGGAAGGAGACCTTCCTTACCGAACTAGAAGACCTAGTGATTATTATGTATGATGAGCAGAAGCCGCCTGATAGCTTTCGGCGTGGTGAAGTTGGGTTAGAGATAGTCAATGGCATGGATTCGTTTGCTCGCATATTTGAGACAAATGTGCGGAGATTTTTCAATTTTGGTCGTTTCCGCCTTATGAATCTGACTTTTAGCGCTAGGCCAGCGCCTCATTGTGGTATTAATTCCACGGTTGCAGGTTAAAGATGAGTGCCATGAAATCTATAACAGTCTAATTTACAACGATTAAATAATATTTCACCAACTGATACTTCATATCTGAGTTGCTCTAAAATATCTGTTGAAGTGTTGAAACCCAAGTGCCTGACAAATGACTATCAAGCGCTTCCTTGGATATAAACACCAATAAGCCGGCATTCAATCACATACGACCATAGGATCCGGAGAACTCGGGATCCCGTCCGCTCTCCCCTAGATAAACCGGATACCGCTGGACTAGTAGTTGGGTCGGTGACGACCAGCGAATCCCCAGTGTTGTATGTTTTTGCATTTTTTTCCCTCTTAATTTTTGCCCGTCTCTCCTTTTTTTCTTGGCATTATATAGCCCCATCTCAGCTTAGTCTACTCAAGTGAGAATTACAGAAACATAATGAGCTCTATTAGTTTAAATCTGTGGCAGATCCTGACCTCTATGAGGCTTTGGGGATATATAGTAGGTAGGTAGGTATTATTAAGGGGTAGAATGATGTTGATTTCGTAAAGTTGAGTATCGCTAGGCAAGGTCTAGTAATACTAGTATAACTAGTGATGATGTAATTATATCATAGTATATTAGGTGGAATTTAGATCTTAGAGCTGACAATGTAGGACCTATACTACTTGATAATATTCACCAGAGATAGTTCTTAGACCTAAAAGAACTTTATTAGTGTTTTAATATTGATCATCGAATGATTAGCAATATCTTACAAGGAATATATCACTAATGGTTTACCAATTCTACCGTTCCGATGAATCAATATGTGACATCTTGCATATATTTAGGCTGCCTAAATTAGGCAGCATATATAAGCATCCGCTTACATTATATACGTGAGAGATCTATACTACCTTAAGTAGGACAAACTTGAATGAGTTATAAGTGGATGGATAGACTAAAGATTTACATATTGCACTCAAGATAAAGTAGTTGCGATGATCCGGGGAAATGGTACTAGATTACGATGCTTAGGCTTAGCTAGGTTGAATTAACATGCTGACAAGGCAAGACAAGATAGGAGACGATCATCGGAGGCTCTAAGAGGTCTCGCATCTAAGACAAAGATAAGTCTACGCAGGTTTCAAGGCCATGTGGTAGAAAGTACGTATATACAAGGTACTCCATTAAAACCCGCTTCTTCTTAAAGAGGCTTCAGCCTTATCAACATGGTGCGAATATATCTGCGTAATATATCCCTTTAAAGTACGGCCCAGGAAAGATTAGTTTCTCCGTCATAACATATTTTACATTAACGGTATAAAAACCACCATTTTATCCATCCATCCCAAAGGACATTAAAGTATGCCATATTATCATCCCTTTTTGTAGCTGAAAAATGGATATTCCTTATATTTAAAGTTGAAAAGCTGCTTTAACCAACAGTGGTCCTCTGCAGAGACCGCTTGTACAAATCCTTCTGTATCATTATGACAGAATTTCATCAACAGATAAAACTCGTACAACACCACTAGCAAATCTTTCAAGCCAATATCATTATGATTATTTAAAAGTATATCAAATATGACATACTTGGACTATGTAGCTATACATTTGTGGATTATGCATAGCTTATCAAAATAAATCTACCACAAGCACCACCGAAATCAAACCCGCCGCTTACCTCGACCCTCAGACAGCGCCTACGAACATCGATGTTCTTCTAAATCGAAATTCATTTACTCTTCCATCTCCAAAGCTCGTAGAACATCATCAGCACTAGCGTATTGATTCATCCAGCATTTGATGATAACATTCCCTGCCCAAAGTGTATTTACATCGGGAAATTCACGTTTTCGGAAAAACTCATTGACTATTTGATCATAAGCTTCCGCTTCTCTACCCGATTCAAATAATCCACCGGATTGCCGATATGGCCAATGTCCGGTAAGGATAGTGTAAAGAATCGATGCAATACTGAAAATATCCGTGGCGTTTGAGACTTCTTTGGAATTAGGGTCGTGAAAGCCCGAATCGGGTAAACTCCTATTCTCTATTCCAAGTTTTCTACATGCTGAACCACCAAAATCGCAAAGGTAAACATCGATAGAGGTAACATCGATGGAGGTGAGGGTAGCATGGACAAGAAAGTTGTCAGGACGTAAATCACAATGTATCACGCCTTGATGATGGATGTATGCGATCGATTCAACAACTTGCCGGCACCAATTTTTCTGAAGATAAAATGGAATTGCGTTGTTATTTATGTATTCCTGAAGACTTCCACGGTTCGCCTCAGCAAGGAGCAATCCCGCTGGCAATTCCGGGTTATTTTGCCATCCAAGATATTGAATAATTCGAGGGTGCGTTCCTAATACTTCAAAGATTTGACGTTCGATTGTAAAACAATGGGCAGCCCTGGCGGCGAATTGCTTATTACTTATCGGTCGAAGATATTTTAATACTACGCCGGGTTGAATTTGAAGTAAGAATGATGTTGAACCTAGCTGGAATGGTATATGCGCCATTGATAGAAGCGCGCCTACGGAGTTTTGGGAACGATGTTACAACGGGAAAGGTTAGTTTTGGAAAACAGAATTCTACTAAATTTTAAGATATGTGGTAATTACCTAAGGTGATTCAGGGGAATATTTTGCTTTTTCATCTTTGTAACCGATACAATATCAAGACTTTTGGTCCTATCCAATAGGGTCGAGTCCCTGTCCCTCATTGGTCCGTATTGCCCTAAACGGTATCCCGCCGGGTTTCTACTGTAGTGGTTACAACGCTGCTACAACGCTGCTGCATCTCTTTCTATTGTCGTACAAAGAATACGTACTCCAACGATGGGGAGAAGAAAAAAAAAAAACATCTAAACCCCCACGATGGGAAAGGGGGAAGCTCCATCAACTTTCTTTTCCCATTATTTTATAAAAACTTTACCATCTTACCGGCTCTATGACCTCATTACTTTAGAGTCCGTAAATATCTTTCCTTCTTTCTTTCTAACGGTCTTAATTTCGGAGGAACTCGTTCCACGTTAACTGGTTGAATCTTATCAGTGGTACTTCTACTTAAAAGTATCTACCTCTTAACCAACAAGAACTATTCCGGGAGTCTTGCTAGAAGTGGATTCGAATCATCGATGCCTCGATTCGACTTAGCTACTGATTGCTAGGTAGCGTCGAATAACATCGTCGCCCCCACACCGTCACGAATAAAGGTTAGACTGCGGCTTATAATTCCCGCCCACACTATTTTCCCCTAAAGCCAAGCAGTCAGGTTCGGCGGTGAAGGGAGCTACTCCGATGTGACGATCCTACTCAACCTGGAGGGACACAAAAAGAGACACAAGACACACAAGTCATAGACACATACAAACGTGTCCTACCTGAACCTTAGGGTAGTAAAGCTATAGTTATACTTTATTCCTTTTCTTATCCCTCTACCCAATCCCCCCTCTATCGTTCCTGTTGTCAAATATTCACCCCTTAGGAAATATTTTGACAACATGGCGGAACCAACAAACACCCCAATGCCAACGGCACCGCCAACCCCACGCTCCACCTCCCCCGCACTCGGCGCCACACGCCCTGGCAACACACTCAGTCCCCCCAAACATATCGGGATACCAACGTTAACATCCTTGCCCGTGCTGGGGGGTCCAACGGGGAGCAAGCCCGTTGTGCTGCACATCGGGGATCCCGTCAAGTATAACCCGGAGACTTACACCGAATTCGCGGGTCAGTTTGAGGTCGTACGTCCGTCCGTCGATGAACGTCAAAGGCCCGCCTTCATCAAGGCCCTACGTGAGAAGCGTTGGGGGGACTTTTCTGCCATCTTCCGCCCCTTTTGGGGTACCGGTGGTGAGATGGGTAATTGGGATGCGGAACTCATCTCTCTACTTCCCGATAGCGTCAGAGTCTTTGCTAGCGCCGGCACTGGTTTCGACTGGGCTGACACGCAGCTGTTGGGTGAGAAAGGTATGTAATAACTCTATAAAGGATATTTTATATTGTCATCTTATTTCCCCATTCGCGCAAGCTTGCGATCTGTATAAAGGGGGTTCAACTCACATTAATAACCTGTAGGCATCGTATACTGTAACGGTGGCCTTGCCGCCGCGGAGGCTGTATCCGACTTCGCCCTCGCCATGATCATTTCGACGTTCCGCGTATTGCCGTACTGCATCTCGTCGGCAACAACAGCCGACAACTTCCAGACGTGTCACGCGAGCGCCACCGCGCAATCGCATAATCTGCGTGGTCGTGTTCTAGGGCTCGTTGGTCTTGGGAATATCGGCCAACAAATTGCGCTTAAGTGCAGCGCCGCTTTTGGTATGGATATCGTATATTACGATGTCGAGCGCAAGCCGCCTGCGCTCGAGACTCGGTTACGTGCGCGCTATGCGAACACCCTCGAGCAGCTTGCACGTCAATCGGACTGTGTTGTGCTATGTGCTCCTGGTGGTGCAGGTCAGATTATTAACTCAGAGAGCCTTAGGTGGTTTCGACCTGGTGCGCGCCTTGTTAATGTCGCACGAGGATCCCTCGTCGATGATGAGGCCGTGGCCGATGCGCTAGAGCAGGGCTGGCTCAGTAACGCTGCCCTCGACGTACACGCCACCGAGCCTAATGTTCATCCTAAGCTGCTGGCACTTGCGGGAACTAAAGCTCTCCTGACTTGTCATAATGCTGGCGGTACCGTCGAAACCCATATCGGCTTCGAGGAGCTCGCCATGCGCAATATCATGGCTGTGCTAGCAGGCGGACAAGCTATCACGCCAGTTAACACACGGTGGTTAAGTGGTAATGCCACAACATGAAAGGACGCGACTGGATATATGGCAGGTTTACATCGGCCAAAAAGACAAACTTTACGTTACTGAACAGCAATACGGCGTTGAATGACTCAAAGATATACGTTTCTTGACGTTTCTATTTTTCTTCTAGCGAGTGAGCAGGCAAGCGAGCAAATGAACGATAATCTAACAAAATAGCGAGGTTTTACTCGGCGGGGATCAAATACCCATAGATGGAAGGGAACGGAGCATCTGTAGATAGGGGTTTGGGGTTTAAGGGGGAGTCGGGCGGGGGTAAAAGCGGAGAGATGGTGTTGTTTGCGTGAGGAAAAAAGATATATTCCACTTGCTTTTACCTGTATGAAGTTATAGCCACATGAAGTATATATCAAGTATATACGATCTAAAGTAAATACCGACCCTGTATTCTGATAGATTATGTGGTAACGAGAATAGGGGCTATAGTTAGGAAGTTGTATTAAGAGACTATGAACAGCGCATTGCTACGTATGTTAGGAATATAGGGAATAGTCATTAGTCCACTCCTGCATGCTATGTAGGTATGTATAAGACAGGTTGTTGCCATTGAGTGCATGCCTATATAGACACGTGCTTGAGACCTATGTACGAGACTTTGATCCTGCGATCCTTGACGACCTACGTGTCTAAACCACGCAGGCAAAGAAATTCTCGAGTATACATTACATCCTAGCCCCGAATGCCTGATCTCATCCTTCCATTACTCCATTCTCCTGCTAGTATCAAACGCAACGCAACGCAACGCAACGCAACGCAACGCAACAAACAAACCGAAAGCAAGAAGCATCACTAGAGACCGCGGGCCTATGTGAGATCCTGCCTATGAATTTGATTTTCTCTCCTTTTCCATACCAGGGTTTCCAGCTCCGCCGAGATTAATTCGATCGGCATATCGTATAGATGTTCGCAGCTCTCCACACTCAGGGCAACTTCCATACCGAAACGAGGAGACTCTAGCCTCATGCATCGTACCTACTTAAGGTCGTGCGTCGCCTCAGTGGCTCCCTCCGTGTTCATCGAGCTGGTGGTAGGCTCCCTGTTCACCCAAAGAACAGCGTCTTCCTCGCTCTGCACGAGGGCGTGCACGCGACCCTCGGTAACCGCTTGCATGTCGGCTGCGCTTAGGCGCGACTCGACGGCGGGATACAGAGAGTATCGAGGCGGTGGCGTGTTGTACCCGATAACAGGCGAACTCTCGGGGCGCACGCGGACGTGCATTTGATGCCATTCGTACCTAGGGGGGACTGAGGTTCCGGCTTGAGGTCGATCGAAAACAGAGTAGTAGAGGGGGCGCTGGGCATCCGGGCGGGGAGTGTCGGGAGCTACGTGGGTGTACACAGGGGCGGAGGCTCGGTTGGCGCTGCGAGAGGGGGTGACTATGGTGGCTGAGTCCTGGGAGTACACGGACGACGAAGCGTCGGGCTGGCGCTGGTTGGCGGGGGTACTGGGTTCAGGCTCAAAGGCCGACATAGCGAGACCACGGAGGCGAGGAGTGCGAGGAGTGAGAGGCGGCTGGAAGGCGTTGTCGAGACGGTTCTGAACGTTGTTGTGGTCTGCCTTGGCTTTCTTGCGGTAGGCTCGGCAGCATAACAACATGTAGCCGATGACGGAGAGACCAAGGACGCTGCCGATTACGCAGCCCATGATAGCGCCGACGCTGATGTTGCTGGTATTGGAGGATGGCTGCTCGCTGCCGGGGTAGATGCCGGAACTCAGGGGATCGACGCTGGTAGGGGTCTGGGCCGCGGATGCACTGAGAGAAGCATCCACGACGAACTGCGGAACGTCTAGCATATCGATGGCCGTTGAGATGTTAGAGCAACGGTACATGGAACGCATAGGGTCGTTGGCCCAGAGGTAAGTTGCGCAAGAGCCGTAGCGACTATTCATGCTAAAGGGGTATGAGTGTTAGTGTATGTTTATGTGCCATATTGTCAAAGCGAGTAGAGACTGTAGTGGTAATTGGTGCTCATGGGATGTAAAGACATTTCCCATAACAGATTCAAGGATGAGAGAAGGGTAGTAGATGGTACGAAGGGTAAAGTAGCTGATGAGAAAGGAAAAAGATAACTTACCAACATCCGGCTCCCGGGTCACGGCCGTCGCAAAGACCTCTCTGATACGCAGAGAAATCCATGCACGTCGTGAAAAACGACGAGATCGTGCCAGAGACACAAGCGACAATATGGTCAGAGTTCGTAGCACAAGTGGAACTTTCTTCGCAAGTGAAGGGTTTAGCTAAGTATAAGTGTAAGTACTACTATATCAATCCACAAAGTGTCTAATTTCATCATCATCAAGTATAGGTGGTAACACTTACAAGGCGGGCCCGAGATCCAACCACAGGTCTCATTATTGATCCAACTTTTGTTGTCATTCTCCCGTCTAAGGAGAACATCCAACACCTCCTCCTTCTCGGTCTTCGCGGCGCCAGGAGCGGGAGTCGGCTTGGGGGACCAACCCGCGAAAGCAGCAGCGCGAGCAATGACACCAGTCTCGCGGGGGAACCACTCAGCGCCCACGAGGCCGCTGATGAAGCAGCACACGGCCGCGAGGATCAGCGTCATGGAATAACGCATGGCGAAAGAGAGGAAAATCGGACTTAACAAAAAACGATTGTGGTACAGCCTCTAATTGTTCCTTCGAACGAAAGAACGCAAAACGAGGGACAGGGAATAAGGTTTTGCTGCCTTTTGTGTAGGGGGGGGAGTAGAGGTAGTGCAGATGTTTGACAAGGGACTTCCTAGGATCTAGGGTTAAATGTTTTATGTGGGAGGGCGAGTGTGGGTGTGGGTGGTTGGGTGGGAAAAAATAAAGTAGGAAAGGTCAGGACGGAAGTTTGCAGAAAGGATCTTGTGGGATGTGACTCAAAATGCATGGAGGATTCTTAAAAGGAAAGAACACGCGGTAGGTTAGGTACCTGGTCTAAGGGACAGAAAGATAAACCAAGGCGAGAGCCAGAGCGAATAGGGCGGCTGGAAATGGAAGCTTGGGGCGACTATACCTAGGTACTTGGCCAATGCTAAGCTGCGTCGGCGACGACGAGGTTGACGACTGCTGGCAGTGAGTACATGTATGGTAGCACAATTCGACAGTGCCACAGTGTCATTGCTCTTAAGGGGGTAGAGGGAAACCAGTTGAGGCTTAGGGCTATGCGAGTAGGGGGTTACCTATAAAGCCCAGTTGAATACGCACCAGAGACAAATATGACAAAATCTAACTATCTCATCTAAAAGAGGCGATGGCCATCTTAATTCTAGTGTCAAAATTTACCACTGGGTTAATTTACCTTCAGCAGAGAATAGACAAGTGAGTCGACGACTGCATCCTTTCTCCGTGATGTAATATGTATTTCTAAGAGACAGCTTTTATAAACAGGATATCTTTATTAGGCATTAAAGAGCCATAAGACGAAACTATATAAGCTTCCAGGCTGTAGTCTAATATGTAGACTCGTAATGTTCAATTCGTGTATAGTTTCGATGGAAGTCTGCCGTAGTTATGGGGAGTGTCACTCGACCGTTTTGAACGCCATATGGTGATACAAGATACCCGAGTCCAATAAAGGCATGCTGTGCAACTGTTTCATCCGACGCGCTCGTTTTCTATCATTCAACTGACGTGAATGATAGCATATATAGAGAGTTGTTGTTCTTGATTTTCCCCATCATTTTTGTTTATTAAATTGGGGGCCAAGATCGCTATTTGTATCCGCATTTCACGTTTGTCGTCTGTTGTCTTCTAGCACTCGTCAGACTTGTCTATATAACTGATCAATCACTATTCAGATATGAGAGCGGTGAAAGGGACAAATCATAATATATCAAGTCGTTAGTAGTGGCAGCCTAAAGAGGCTTGTACCGAATTTAAAAACGACAAGTTAATAAACAACTGTGTGAATGGCGAATTCATATTAGCAAAAAAAATTTACACACTTTAAATACCAGCAAAATGTAAAGCTCAGAATTACTTGATATCTATGCAACTTATAACGGTACGAAGTTGGGGAATTCCCGTCCCACACCTTAAAACGGAAGCCGGTGACACCGGTCCACCAATCGGAGCTCCGTATGCGCGGCACTCGGCCCTTGCCGGACCCATCGGGAAGGTAGCCAATAAGCGGCCGAGAATTCAGATTGCAGACGAAGTTAATTTGGAGGTACATCGGTACCTTGCGCCAGATGCCTGGAAGAGACGGCCTATTACAACAGTAATGCATGTTGCCGGCTTCAAGGAGACATTTGATGAGGGGTATTTTTTTTTTTTTTGGAATTTGTGTAAATCTACATGTAGGTGTGTATAACCTAGGTACTTATGCAAGGGGAATTGTATGTAAAAATGTACCTAATCTAATACCTACCGAGCTTTAATGTGCAAGCTATCGAAGCAAAAGTATGAAGCACAAAATATTTTTTGATATTTGAAATCCTTGATAACGGGTAAGGCTTAATAAGATTTAATATCGTAGCTAATTATTATTTAGATATATCATAATTAATTCTTGGATATTGAAGCATGATAGCTAAGACTCGACTAAGCCCATGATATTTCGGGTATTCGAAAACGCTAAGATTAACCCTTTTCAAATAGCTTATCCTGTAAGAAAGGTAATATAAACCATATTCCTTAAAAACATCCCGCTAGAGCCCTGACTACTCCTGAACCTCTTATACAGGCTGTACTCTTCCAATACTGGTAACGCCTCGCGACCTAAGCTATTCCGTTCAAACCCATGCTAATAGAATGCAAGATTGCTCTAGAAAAGAAAATTCAAGATCCCTTCGGCTTCTTCCGAATCAGCCCAGCTCCAAGAATGTTGGCCTTAGGTTCTGACTCGGTCTCGGGAAAATCCTGGTCTACGTTAACAGACGCATCGGTCGCGCTGGTATCAAGTTTTGCCTTCTTCCGAATGAGGCCGCCGCCAAGCGTATTCACTGCTGTCGAAGTTGACGTGGTCTCGTTCGTAATCTCGTCAGCTGAACGCTTCCGCACCATCCCAGACAAATTGTTAATCGTCTCACTTATACCGGATGACGTCGTAGAATCGATACTTGCTCTCTCGCCGATAATTTCCAATGCCCAATTCTCGCCCATATTGACTTCTTTAGTCCATCGTGCTGTACTTGCGATTGCATGTTCTAGAGTCTTGAACTCAGAATGAAGTAGCACCTCGACAGCTCTCGTGTAACTATTATCACTTAGGACGACTTGGCCTCTTCCTTTCTCCGGCCAGAAATAATATGGCGTCTCAATTTGCTTTGGGAATTGGGCCCGTTGATGTGTCTTAATCTGAGGCTTCCGAGGGATGATTGGGCCGCTTAGGACTTTCTTTGCCTTACGCTTCCGTCGAAGCTTTCTGGTTTTTGGGGCATTTAACTTAGACGACGAAGCACTCGGAGTGCCAAGAGAAGTATTTCCCCGTTGAGCTGAGCGGGGCGAAGTGGGAGGCGTTCTGTCATCGGCTGGAGCGCTGAACGAGGCATTTGGCGTGGGAATGGTTGCCGCGGACTTGATAGTTGACGAACTGGATTTTGGATTGGCTTGGGATTCGAAGACAACCCACATAAATCCAGTTAATCTACCACTGGAACACTCTTGTCGAAATGCCATCATCTCCCAGAATTGATCCAACGTCCTTGGCGTCTTCCAGCCATTTAATAGCTTGGCCTTTTCAGCTATCGACTCCTCTAGTTCTTGAACAAACCGGGCCTTTGGGTCGTCTGGATACGTTGGGATGAGTGACCTAGGATGAATGTTGGAGCCAAAGTTGCTTGGATCATTTGAATAGGGCGATATCTTCTCGAGGGGGTGGTCTAATGTCCAGTTTGACATTGCCAAACTGGTCCGAGGTAAAAAGGCGCGGGTCTCGTAATTGTCTAGTCCGGGAATAATCAAGTATCCATGTATGGCATTCCAAGGTTCTCTCACATCTTGATAATCAGCACCTTCAAGTAGCGAGTTGAGTATACGACACCACCACTTCACTAAGCCTCTATCATCTAGCACGTGTTTGCCATTGTTTTTCATACTTCCTGGGAAAAGATACTGTGATTGAGCTCGGGCGAATAGGTTTACGACTAGTTGTTTTGTTTGTCGTCTTCGGTTGGCGACCAAGAAGGCAAGAAAGCACGCCGTAACTTCTCGAATTGGAGATGGTGTCCCTTTAGGGAGATTCAAGAGGTTCAAGTATCCAGTGGAATCTGCCTTGGAGACGAATATGATAGTAGAGAATGATGTTGTATATATGTAGATCTCTAGTCCTAGAACCAAAACTTGTTTATCAAGATGTGCCCCCTCTTTCCCAGTTCTAATCGAGATAGCCAAGAAATGCTTTTCGCAGTACGTCTTTAGCGGCTTACTTGGCCGCCTGTCTGTGGAATCTTTAGACGGATTGTGCACGGGAGGATGACAGAGAGGCTCGGTTATCGTGGGAGGCGTCGATAGATGATAGGCCGTGAACTTGCGATCCTTAGGCAAGACTTTGGCAAGCTCTGCGACTAGAGGATGAGTATCGACGACGCGATTACTGTCGCGGATTTGCGCCGGGCTAGCCATTATTAGAGAGAGGAAGAATATAGATGGAAAAGAAAAGAAAGATTAAAAAAGCCTTAAATGGCACCAAGAGTTCAAGAGCCCATAATGCTGGGTTCGATGAAAGGAATGACTCCGGTAACGAAGACGCGTTTAAGAAGACAAGGCGTGTAAGTGGAATGAAGAGAGGATGAATTAATGCAAGGGCCATAGAAGTGTACCAATTATAGAGCACTGACGAAATGATTGATTAGCTGATAAGCTGATAAGTAATACTCGATAAGCTAGAGGCTAATATCTATAGCTGCTGATTGGATAAATCTCTCTAGCGTAATGTCCCACCCGAAAAAGTTCCGCCGCAATTGAACCTTCGTCAATTGCGAATTTGAATTTAAAAGCTACGCTTACGTTTTTAATAATGCGATGAGAAGGGCAAATTTATAGCCAATGGCCTCTACCACCTCCCGATCTACTACGAGACTTGCTCGTCAAGCTATCCGAACTTGCTCGAACAAGTCCATAGCTCCTTCCTACCGCCTCGCCGCATCCTTCTCGACCTCAACAGCCCGCTTAACACAAGATGTAGAGCAACGCCCACGATGGTCCTATACGCCGGAACGGATGAAGGCCCCCTTCTCGCCTCATATCACAAAAGATCCTTCTAGATCGCAATGGACAGTTAATAAGAGCCCAGAGAAGCTGGATGATGCCTTAAAGAGATTCCTAGGTCCCGAAGGAGAGCGCATGCTACCCGACGAGCTTAAGTGGTTAGCTGTAACCCACAAGAGTTTTGACCAAGGACGAAGAGGTTTCAACGATCGCCTAGCGTTTCTAGGTATGTTCCTTAGGAGGATATATATATATACATATACCCAGCATATTAACATAAGACCCCAGGTCGCCAAATATGTGTATTCGAGTGCACACAATCTATTATCAACTCCCCTTCTAGTTATAAAGGGACCGAGAACGATCCTTTTGCGGACCGACGAGAACCATTTGAAGATCCCGCTCTTCGTGGAGTTGACAACCTTTTCGAAACACAACCAAGCGACGTGTTCGACCTAAAAAAGCTAGCCAGGTTAGCTATAGACACCGGATTAACAGAAGTGGTGAGGTGGAAACCTCGAATGGTAAGCTAGATTTTCCTTCGGTGGGTTATAGTCTAAGTACTGATGCAATTCTTTTAGCCGGAAAACATTAAAGGATCCGGATTCGACCCGATTATGGCCGGTGCCGTATATGCTATTGTTGGTGCCATCGCGCTACAACGGGGAGGCAAGATAGCTAGCCAGATCGTGAGAAAGCGGATAATGAACAAGCTCCGGCCATAAACAAATCTAGGAATGTAAAATCAATGTACAAATACTAAGTACAATGTACAAAGAAATAAAGTATCACCTCCAATGCATAAGTTGGTGATATCTAAAGTTAAACCAATCTTTGACTCTTACTTGAAAGGCCATTTGATGTTTTACATAGTAGTCTAGAGCACTTGTTAGACAAGTAAGTTTGGGTGTTCATATTGTATCATCCAACTTGACTCGTGTCTGTTATCTAGTATTTGAGTAATGACTCTTGGATAACCTATAACCCCCGTCTGTACAGAATAATGACTTCCCTTGAATAGGAGGCTGTTATAAGTTTCTTATCTTCATAATGATGAATAACATTTTCATAAAGAATTTTTAAATCAAATACATAGTCGAAAAATGTGCTGTTGGAGAATATTCCACAAATAAAGGGGGAGGGGACTCGGATATTATAAAGCACATGGCAACCCGAGATAGAGTGCTCATCATGAATATATGACGGATACCTAATAGCAGAATTCGTTTATCTAAAAAATACTTTTTGGCAGTTCATGGGGCATTCTCATCAACGGAGCACTGACTACCAGCAAGTTTAAGCCCTTAGCATTGATTTACAGGAATCTCATTCTCCCTCATAAACTCATATATGTATTAATATCCTTATTATAGGCGCGTATATATGATTGTCTTTCTGAAAAATGGCTGAAGACAGTATTTATAGCTCAGTACTTGAACAACCGGATTTCCTCCCCATCAGCAACATCACGAATTATCTTCTTATTACGGAACGCATAGTACACCCTTAGCATTACACAACCCACTGCCACCATAAAAAGCAAGGCTGCGTTTGTCCAATGGCCCGTGGGGTATCCTAACAGTGCCTCGTCCGCCTTGTAGATCCAGACACCTACGATCTGGCCAGGCGCGCCGCCCAGTCCAATGTTCAGCGCAATCGCAAGACCGACCGAGGCGGTGCTGAAGATGTTGGACGAAAGCCAACCAAGCAGTGGCGGTATACAGGCGAAGGCGCCTGACGCCGCGACGATTAGACATCCGTACCGGGACGCATACGCATCTGCCGGTAGCACGGCCGATGCCAAGAAACCAACGGCTCCGATAGTGGCCAATGCGGCCGAATGCAGGCCACGGGCGTTGAAGTGGTCCGCCGACCAGGAGGTCAGGATTTGGACAACTTGAACACCAGTTAGCTATAAGTCTAGCGGAAATATAGGAGCTGTTGAGAACTTACCATAAGCGACAGCATACGGCGGTACGGTCATTAGCTGGGCCTGAAGATCGTGGTAACCTAACCCTGCCGTGATGGAAGGGGTAAATAGCGAAAGCGAGCTAAACGGGGTTGAAATACCAAAATACACGAGATAATGGCCCCAAAGTCTCCAGTCAACTAAGGTCGCCTTGGCATCGACCCAGGTCATCGCCTTGTGGTGACCCTTACTTCCCTCGATGTGAAGTCGCTGCACCGCCAGATCCCTTTCTTGGATACTCAACCATTTCGCATCCTCGGGATAATCCGGCAGTAGGAACCAGACTAAGAAAGCAGAAAGGCACGACGGCACGCCTTCTATGATGAATAGCCAGCGCCAAGCAGAGAGCCCACCGGCTTGATTCATATGTCCGATGCCATAAGCGATGGCACCCCCAAAAGCTCCCGCTAGAGTCGCCGAAGCGAGGATGAAAGCCACGCGAATACTTCGCTCCTCGGTCTTGTACCAGAAAGTGAGGTAGTAGACTAGACCAGGAAACAGACCGGCCTCAAACACTCCGAGCAAGAATCGAACAACGGTCACGGAGGCATAGCTGTGAACACCTCCGAGGCCTATAGTGAGAGCGCCCCATGCGAACATGAGAAACGCGATCCAACGGGAAGGTCTTAACTTCTTGAGCAGGATGTTGGAGGGAACTTCAAATAGACCATATGCTACAAGGAAGATCATAAGCGAGATGGTGTATTGAAAATTGGTCATGCCGGTCTCAGTCATGAGATCGTCGCCAGTCGACGCGTTCATGATTTTGGCATTCCCTATGTTGGACCGATCCAAATAGCATAGGAAATAAATGCCAGCCGACAATGGCACGATGCGCTTGTCCTGCTTCCATCGTAGCGCCTTCTCGGCCTCCGTGATGGGGCCGGAGGAATCATATTGAGCAACGGCGGCGCTAAATTCCTAGAAGAATATTAGCTTAGTTACTATTCATATTTGAAGGAAATTTCCGATTCAAAGCCATACCTCCTTTGCGCTCTCAACGTCGAGCTCTGATTTCTTGTCCGTCATCTTTTCCGAGCTGACTTACAGCACAGACGACATTCCCGATGAAGATTGTGAGAGTGAGTGAACAAGGCAGAACTCAGCTGGCAAGTCGCCAGGTTTAGATGGCCAAGGCGGTGAAGATCTAGTAAACAATAAAGGAACGGAACGGGACGTCTGAATAATAATATCTCTGACCGCCTGGGGTGGAAATTGGTGGGAAAATCCTGACCGCGAACGCGGGGATTGTGGGGATGAAGCTAGCTCAAATGAGGCGATCCAATTTCCGGGGTCTTGATCGTGGAGTGGTAGCCCTAAGGTGGATAGAGAAGCCATTGCGCCGTTAGTATAGAGGGGACTATTCAATCAGGAGTTTAGGGTTGTTGTTAGTTGGACTAGTATATTATGTTTTGAAATGCGGAGTTGTGAGCTCTAGTTCTAATTCTAGTTCTTCAACGTACGGAACCCGTCTCTTATCTCGGGAACATGTCCGGGATCCACGAGTGCGACCAGGATCGTCGGAAGCTTTACAATGATTCGGTCTAGTTACTATGTCTTTTGCTTATCAACTCTTCTTTATTTTATTAGTACGGCCATAGATTGTCCAATTAGTCAGATCTTTAAAATCACCACAGAATTAGCAACTTTTTCCTTTGCTATTCTATTGCATAACCTCTGTAAATGATGCAAATAGTATATAGTATCAAGAAGACGTACGCTAAACTATGGCTAGCTACATGTAATCAAAGGTCAAACTCATCTGTACATGCCTGTAGCCTGTACGTAAAGACACTCCATTCTGCATTTGCGCAAATGGGTAACGCAGCTAATAAAACCTTATTTAATAAGCAATCGCATTGTGGTTCTTTCACAATATGTGTTGCATTTAATGTTGTATTATCTAAGTTACTGGGGGAAGGACAGGTACCTACATGGCATATGCTACCGCCGAAAGGAAACGACGATGTTTCTCATCGTAACAGCTGCTTCCTTCTGTAAAACTCTAACCTATGTCATACTTTATGCCTTCCAACTTATGTTTATATATGTACGGTACCCACATGACAGATTCCTTCCCTTCAACTGCAATCACTCCTTCCATTCCTATTCTATTCCTAACTTTTCCTATTTACAAAATTAACAAACTTTTCTCTCTCTCTACCTCTCTCTACTGTTTACCTTACCCTAACTCAACAACACATTTCATAAGCAAACACATTCATCTTTGCAACCTAATCACCAACAACATAGTTCACATCCTGATATAGTTTTCGCAACATCATAACAATATCAGAGGACGACTACACCGATGAGCAAAAGCTCGCTTTGCAAAAAAAAAAAAAAAAAAAAACCCCAAAAAAACCTAAAGAAACCCTAGGATTACGGAAAGCAGCTGCGTCTGACAAAAAAATACACTTGTATCAGTCAAAATAGTTCAAAAGGTTAACTAGTACGACCCGACTAATCCTCGGAAGTTGTCACGAGATGAAATCAAACAATGTGAGAGCAGCGAAGTTGTTCCCCAAGAAACCTTAACCTGGCGCACATGTCTGTCTTCGAGACCCGCACATCAACTTTTCAAAACAAGCGCAATGGATGGCAGATCTTGTATCGATCTGGGATCGCACCGCTTAGGTAACTGCAAGAGTTTATATTTATATATATCAAACATCCAGATGTCGTATCTAGAATCTTGACAGAAGCTATGCGATTCGGGATGGTTCCGCAGGCTTAATGCTACAAGATCTTAGACATCAAAAACCCGGAGTCCCGAAGAACCTGCCAAAACGTCTCCGAGCTGAATTTGAAGTCGACCTGATCGACCCAGAATATCACAAACTATTAAGCGGATTGAGCCGCATGGGAACTCACATAGACAACTTGCACCAGGATATAGCATTGACAAATCAAAGACAACGAATTCTCGAAACCTTACTGGATGGGCAGACTGACGTATTTAGGGGTGTCTCAAAAATGCACATGACAGAAACAACTCAGAATGTTGTACACATGATGGCCGAAGAACACCAGGCTATAGATTAAACAACACAAGTCTAACACCTCATATACCCCTAAAAACTGGTCGAACTCTTCAGAACATCCTAAGAATAAATTCAAAACAGCACCTTTTAAAAACCAGCGGAGCAATATGTCCTAGAAATAAATAAAAGCTGGAAAACAACCAATCCTAACAATAACGACTATGTCGATAAAGTGTTTACCAACGAGCTTAAGCGTTTCAAGACAATCTATTATTATGCGCAAATTTCTCAATTTGAGGCGGTATACCACCTTTTATTTTCTAACATGGCATCCGTTATACCCCTGACCCATATCGCGAACCATCATAATTGACTATTGGATTTTCTAAAAGTGCGTTTCTTGGCGATAGCGTGGCCTGCATTTATAGCGGTTAGATACTTTCTATCACAACAGCTACAAGTTTTGATCCTGTCGGACCCACTGTGATCGTTGAATTCAAAGACAGCTTTGCAGCTTGGACGTGTGTCAGAATTCTAGACGAGACTGATAACAACCTGGATAGACCTGGTCCACCTTCATGGTTTAATTGCCACGATGCGGAAAGGAACGGAATATGTGCGAGAGACATATGGAAGACGATGAGGACATGGATTCAGACCGGAGGGATGGTTGACAAGAAGGCACGGGTAACAACAGCGACTCTTAAATGGGGAGCTCAATACCTGATCACAATTAGGTCACGTTCATACATTGGACATCTACATTCTCTGGCGGTTTCTAAATCGCGCTGATGAACTCACAGCTATCCTGTGAAGCCTGAGTTACAGTGTGACTTGTTGAGAGGATTTACTCGTCTAGTATATAGTTATTATGGCATGGAGTTTACTCATGTAGAAATACGACCAGTCATTTTAAGGAGGATGAGATCTAAGTGTGTGATCTCCGTTATCTATAGTTTAGAGATCGCTTAATATACTAGCTCAGCTAACTATACAATATAATGAGTTAAGTTACTGAGGCTAGTACCGAGACAAATTTTTACTCCTGACATATGTTGTCAGTTTGATCATAATATTGGTGTTTGTAAAACAATACTGTGGTTTTATTATATCCGATAACTCCAGCTTTCGGTTCGGGGCATTTCTATGCCGGCCTTGTTGACGTCGGCGCATCTTGGAGACTTTGGAGAAAGGCGCCGATCGGGCAGGCTTCTAAAAATGGCTGAGCGATGTTACCTTTATACTATTAACTCTTGTAAGAATATGGATTAAAGGGTACTAGTTGAATCTTATAACTTATTGCTTCCTTTTTATAAATTAGGTAGGCTGTCTTAATCATATGGTAAAGCACATAGTATGCATTAGTCTTCTTGTTCTTTCGAGGATAGGATAATTTCTAGAAAGCCTCATAATCTTTTGTATCTCTCGGTCTTAAGACAGAACTTTTACCTAAAACTCATATCCACCATGAGAGTCAATATTTTATTGGGCTCTTTATTTATTATTGCCTCTCACGCTTCGGATAGCGACGCATCTTGGAAAGTGGAGGACTGCTCCAAATTTGTCTCCTCACTTCAGGGAATAGGTGATGGTGTGACGATCCTAAACTCCAGCTATATACCCGAGAATACTCTTAATATTACCGAAAAGTCTAACGCATATCCATTATGCCGCTTATTTGGCAAGGCGCTATACCCTGAAAATAACTCGGTTATCTTCGAACTTTGGTTACCTACTGCCGAGAAATATAATGGCCGATTCCTAGTTGTGGGAAATGGTGGCATGGCGGGTGTCATCGCCGAGAGCGATATGATAGGTAACCTGAACGAAGGATATGCAGTTGCAGGCGGCGATTCAGGTCACTTGGCTTCCGAAAATAACGGCGGGAATGGAGCACCTGGTGTGTATTTGCCATATTTGCATGATGAGGAGCAGGTCCTGGCATGGATACACAACTCGATTGCACAGTTTACCCCAGCTGCGAGAAATATAACGACTGCGTTCTACCGCAAAGCTCCGAGGTATAGCTATTACGAGGGCTGCTCTACTGGTGGTGCTCAGGGGTTTGCTCTGGCACAATTCCATCCAGAATTGTTTGATGGTATTGTAGCGGGATGCCCAGGGAATTGGTATTCCCACCTAGCCTTGTCTTTCCTATGGAATGCCCAGGCGACTCAGGTAAGCCGTAGATACAGCCTTCAGAAGAAATACTGCGAAGCTAATCGTCATAGGGCCCGAACTTCTTGCCGCAAACTGCCCTTGATCTCATAACGCGAGCTGTTATAGCCAAATGCGATGCTCTTGATGGTGTCGAGGACGGAGTTCTTGAAAACCCCCTAGTGTGTGACTTCGACGTCTCGACACTAGAATGCAAGTCCTCGGAAGCAAACTCGACTTCCTGTTTGACCCCGGCACAGATATCGGCAGTGCAGAAGATCTACACAGGCCCTATTGACTCCCGAACCAACATCTCTTTGTATCCGGGGTTCTCGTTTGGAAGCGAAATAGAATGGGTGGGGCAAGAAGGGACCCTTGCAGAAGCATTCTCAATCCCGATTCTACAGAATATGGTTTTCGATGACTTGTCATATGATGCATCGGCTTTCAATTGGGCGGCGGACGTAGATACGGTGGACAAAAGAGTAGGCACATTTATCGACGAGATCAGCCCGGATCTATCGGAATTTAAGGCAACTGGCTCTAAGATGATTGTGTATCAGGGCTGGAGTGATCCGCTCAATGCAGCCATATGGCCTATTCAGCATCTCCACCAAATCGAAGACTTCTTTGGTGGTGATGTGAGCGATTGGTTTCGAGTGTTCATGGTACCCGGTGGTGGACATTGTACTTCGGCTCCGAATTATCCACAAGTCCCCGGGACTTGGTATGCACTCGAAGCTATCGTGGAATGGGTTGAGACAGGAAAGCCGCCATCTGAAATGTTGGGGACTGATCCCCAGGATGAGAACTTAAAGGGGAAGACGAGTAAGCTCTGCCCTTGGCCTCAGATTGCTCGTTTTCAAGGTGGCGATTCAAATGATTGGAATTCATATGAGTGTAGAGAGTGAATAATATAATTTAGAGGTGCTATCTACCTAGCTAAGAGAGATAGTCTAGCTATTAGGAGAATTGAGCTTTTGACAGCTAACTTCTATAATTATATTCACGGATCCCGCAGATACTTATGCTTGGCACAACGTTAAACCTCTGCTAAGCGTAGTAAGGACTCATCATATCACCACACGCTATAAGTGAATAGCTAACCGTATAGAATTTGGTTACTTCAAACTAGCTCGCCACAGAGCTAAAGAAGTTATAGCGAACGGTTTGGCTTAGTATCGTAGATAGGATATGAGTCTCACAAGGAGGCGGGAATTCAGTTTACGTGCGATTTATGATAAATAACGCTACATACAAATCACATCATGTCGGGATTTCTATATGAATGACCCCACGTAATAAGAGGTAACCATACTTGCCCTCGGAAGCTGGAGGTGGGAATGTTACGACGCAATACTCGTTGATACCCTCTCGATTTCGGAAACCAACTAAAGCTTAGAAATAAGCAGACCGGAAAGGGTTGCACGATTAGGTATACTCTCCTTATCCGACGAGGAGAACAACATCCGATCATATGAAGGCTCACCGAGATCTCGACTTGTCGGCCAGCATATCGAGGAGTGCGATTATTGGTCGACAAACCTGCAGTTAGCCATGTTGCATACATCAATAACTTATTTCCGCTTCATATATCAATTGCAGAACTTAATATACCGTTATCTCAAAGAATTCAGACATTACAAGAATAGCCCAACTGCATCCGTCTCATTGTGCTTCATCAGGATGGAAGACCAGCTCTTACATAGAAGTACGCGCATAACAGATTTTTTCAATATATCTAAGCTGAGAGGTTCACTTCGCGATTCATTTTTATTGAATTCGAAGACAGAACGATTATCCTCGGCTACTCCTACCGCGACCGTAATAGGACCCCCTGAGGCATTTCCCTTAGATCAAGCTCAGGGCAGTCAATCGAGAGAGAGTCTAGGAATTTCAACGGAACGGACATATACACCTTCTCAAAGCACCAGCAGTCTGGCACCCTCTAAACTGTCTTCTAGGGCAATCGCCCGGAGGAACAACGTGCTCAAGTTAATCAAACGAGTTCATAAACGTGAAGAGAAACAGATCTTGATAAAACGAAAATTGTTGTACACAGAATATAGATCACTGTGTACATTGATGGAAGAGTTAGAGGACAAGGAACTCTGTAAATTCTTCACGTATGAGCTTCGGTAAGATTTCATCTCACAGCAATAGAAATTCTGGCGAGTAACAAAACAACTAGTTATGATTATGGGCGTTACGAAAAACAATTCGTCATTCGGATGCCGTCTACCTATCATGATTCGGTAGCAGCTTCAATCAATACGCATATAACTGACTGGTTAAAAGACGTCAGGGAAGAGCAAAGTTTATGCAACGGGGTGATATGCACAGACACAGAAACTATTGATATTGCTACAAACATTAGAGCCAAGTTGGCTACAGAAGTGAAGCTCTCTCGTGATCTAGCTGATCCTGTTTGCGATAGAAAACAGCCGGATCTATCTTTCAGATTCCGGCATCCAGACACCAGAGGTCCGGGTCTTGTAGTAGAAGTTGCGTGGTCGCAAAGGGGCTTGAACTTGCCGAAGATTGCTAGGAGTTATATCGAGAGGACGAATGGCAGGGTTAGAACTGTCGTTGGAATAGACTTGAATGAAATCTACAAGTCAAAGCGGGTTGAAGGGCTTTACACTGGCCGCGCGACATTCTCAGTATGGAAAGCGAAGTTTAACGATAGTGATAAAGTAGTTTCTACGTGCGTAGTTCAGGACCTGGTAAGTTCTTCCACCCTCATGAGAGTAGCCTAACTGACTCTAAGTGGCAGCCTTTCCGAGACAAAGATGGAAATACTAACCTCGAGGGGGCGTTGCATCTATCGCTACATGATTTCATTTATGAAAAGACTGTCGAGAAGCTGAAGGGATTTCAGAGTCCGGGGCTGGTTATAAGCCCACAAAAGCTCTGCGAATACTTCGTCGAAGCCCTGGAGCAAGCTCAGGCCGAAGAAATAGATAATACTGTGGATGATCACAACGCGGATGCGGTATCTACCCATGATATAGCGATTCGGCCTTCTTAGGTCTTGCCTGAATCTCCAACACCGCAGAGAGCTGGGGAGACTACAACAGGTCAGTTGTCACAAAGTTCTGCTGTTGACCGCACGAGTATCTGGAGGGGTAGGTTGCGAATGAGGCGTCATAATAGGTCCCAGAGCCTATTACAGTCCTCGGCGTCGTGATGATGAATTTCTACTGTAGAAGAAGCTAGCCGACAGGAACGGAATTCGATTTATTGAGATGTGTTGAAACTGCTACGTACGAAATGTAAATGTTATAGAACTGTAGGGATATCGACTAGTTTTGAATGGTTGATAAACGGGGCCTATTTTACCTATACACTCTTTTATCAAAGTCAATTAGATTGATTTGACATGTCCATTGCTAGGTAATTGCTCATCATTTTATCAACTTGGCTGATTAAGACTGCTGTATCTATCGTAAACCAGCTCTTGTAAAGGGGGCTTGTTCACTTGCTTATCAAGGAGACTTATTTTAACAGGGGGTTGGGCGTTCAGGGGCCAACCACGTGGTATAATGACTTATTCAAACCCTGGGGGTTTTGCGGGTAGTAAGTGTTATAGTTAATATTGATGAAGTAGCTTAAATTGTGCTAACTGATCGGGTAGATATGTTACGAGATGAAGTAACAAGCACGGGAATAACCCTGCTGTTCTTAATACCGACTATGAAGCTCGAGCTATACATACCGAAGGTATCCTGTGTTCCAAATATAAGGTAGGTATTCAGCAATCATAACAAAATGTGCTGAGTTTGTTCCTTGCTTTCAGGATTGACCGGTATTACGTTGAATTGCATAGTAAGACTTCGTCCAGATTTTTGGCGTCTCGTGTGCAGTGATATCTTTAGATGGCGTATGCTAGGCCTCCCTAGTTGCTCGCCAGGTATCTCAATGCTGGACACTTTGTATAGCATGCTTCCTATAGTAGCCAACCATCCTGATATACTAGTAGGCTTGAATAGCATGCGAAGTTGAGGTAATAAATGATACTTTACGTCGGATATGCTTATTTTCCCAGTTAGAGGACTGACTGCTAGCTTGCACTGGGATATATCATCAATAAGAAACCCCAAGGGTAGGCTATTAGGCCATTCAAAGATGAACAGGCGTCCTTTGTATTGCGTGCCATGTAGTACATATAATATCAGACCATTTCCGACAGTAGTATCTCGCAGCGGGTAGGGGTCTTTCAGGTCGAAGCCATTATCAAGCAATACTTGTATGTCGATTGGAAATAACGAATTGAATCGTGTTTCGGATGTAGTCGATCTCATCTGAGAGCTTGCAGCTTTGAGACACACTCTCTTCCATTCGGCTTTCATGCATGAATCCTCTGGTATAAGGAAAGGCGGCCATAATAAAATACGCTCATACACGTCAAACCCGACCCGAGATTCTGCCAGGCAGTATTTCAATGGTACTGCGATGACAGATTTCCGTATGCGACTCCTTGCGACATTTGCAGGTTGCCACGTAGAAAGACGTCTCAGTAGTGAGAGCTTAGGGGGTTTCCGATAACGGCTGTAGAAATCGTGATCGAATCCGAAGAGGGCAAGCTGTACGTTATCTTCGAGGGTTAATAGAAGAAGCTCGACTTCAATTCCGTTGTTTGTGCGTATAAAAGTAAAAGGTACCTTGTTCCTCTCAAATCTTCTAGGGAGAAAATTGAAGCCTGCGAAGAGCGAGGGAGACGGTGCCAACGGGAACTCGGCCATACGGGCTTGAAATATATCGGTGCAAGGTATTCCAAAACCCCATATAAACAAGCTAGGATCGTTGTGCTGTTTGATATATTCTTCTTGAAGACGAATAAATGCCCTGTTACCCTCTCCATATAGGAGTGGCATATTGACATCGAGTATACCCTTGTCGAAGATTAGTAGGTTGAAAAGGCTTAGTTATACAACGTTACGTACTAATAAGCAGTATGCCATGTCTTCCTTTCTTGTGGTCTGGCGGCGGGATGCCCATGATAGCTTTTCAGCTGCAGTTATATCTTTTATTTGATCTCTATAATATAGGACCTCCTTATTTATGTGCGTTATGGAAGGCAGCATTTCAATAATGTCAGGTAGATGCAATGCCATGTCGTAGCACCTGAAAGTGCCAAAGGCATGCCAATTTCGATCAAAGAAAATGACGCGCTTGGGGGCAAGTAACTCTTGGAGCGTCCAGCCTCTAGTCCACCAGCGACTTTTTCCCAGCACGGAACTCCCAACGTAACCCCTTTCATCGGCTTCGACGTCAGCTAGATAGACGTAGCAAACAGATGATTCTTGGTACCACCGGAACATTAAATTGATTGCCTCTGAAAGTTCTGTTGGATCTTTTTTATCTATGCAGCAAGTATCGATCCAAGCATAGTCGAACCCGTCCTTGATAGCTTGACGGCAGAAACATTCGATCTTTCGATAGCCAGATGTAAACTTGGTCTCTTTGCTGTGTAAAGTCTGAAATGACACTTCATCCTCACCCCACGTATGCGAGAGTATAGCGTAACCAGAAGCGTCTTCCATGTCGAAAATATCCTCCAATTGCATCGTATGCACATTGAGAAGACGCATTATTGCGGTGTTTCAAAGGCCGCGTTGGTGCTCAAAGCTAGCATTGCTCTAGTGCGATTAGCTCTTACGAGCAACAAATCTAAAAGGTAAGACTTTTATAGAAATTTCTTCCAATCCAAAGTAATTATCAAGCTTTAAGTCATACGTGTTCATCGGAGAACTGGTCGTGGTAGTTATAACCAGATATTGTGGCTGCGGCCCCGTCAGCTCAGGTACCCAATCAAATCTATGGATAATAAGCCTCAAAATGTAACACTGTGTGTTAAATATGGTAAGCAGAATAAAGGGGCTCAGCTTCAGTTGTATACATCACCGGTATCTTAAGTCTTGTCAACATTTCCTTGCTTGCGCCTACATCTATTACAGTACATAAGCTAGGAACTTTTATGTCTTTTTTTCGTCTAATTTCTGGTGTTATATCCCTAACTGACAGCCGATCATCTAGGTATGTCGATAACACCAGAGGTTAGGGTTAGGGTTAAGATTTCATTCGACTATCAACTATCCTAGAAAGTTGGCCTGCTTTTTGACAGAGCTTATTGCTGAGTACAATACTTCTGTAATATATATCTAGAATTACCCTGCTCTGTAATACGTGTTGTGCATCTTCAACTCCTTGAGAAACCAGTCATCACCTTTCCGCACATAGCGTTCGTGGTAGTAGCCTCCACCGCTGTGGTGTCCTTCAGTGACCGAATCCTTCGGACCGGCGGAGTATTGAACGCCAAATACTGCTTTAACCTCGTCGGGGCTGATCTGCTCCAGATGCGGTGGTGCGATATGATGAATTACTTGTGAGTTCTTAAGTCTGTTTTCGAAGTACTTCGCCCAGTCTGCAGCCGATGACCAGTTAAACTCGACTCCTTTTTCGTTCATAATTTTGCCATCTGAGTAAAAGGTGAACGTTGAGTCGGGTAGGGTGACCTCTTCTTGGAGCTTTTGGAATTGGTCGGTATCGACAAGTCGGCAGTATAGATGTTTTTTGTTGATGACCTTTTGCGCAACTTCATACGAAATGGCCATCTTAAATAGAAGTGTTCTTATGACAGAGTTTAACGTTGGCTATATGGTTGTAGGGAATGCTGTCTTTGAGGTAGTCATATAATCATCTTTATTGAACTCTAGTAAACATGGTTGCAGAGGTATGGGCTCCTTTTATATTCGATTTCCGATCAAAAGCCTCGCCGCATAGTAGCATGATATGCTTGGTTCCGAAAGGAGCTTTCTTATCTAACAATGCTACGAAGGGTATTAATCTAAAATCCGCCGACCGATGCATCTCATTGACGAATCATAACCTCCCTGTGCCGCTATCTGTCAATCTCAATATGGTGGCATTTAAACCCCGTGGTCAAAAAGCAGGTCATGCATGTCTATGTATAACCCATTTCAGGTACCTAAGATACCTACCTACCTACAGGTAGGTCCACGTATATGTATATGTATCAGATACTATCAAACTACCTTCTAGTGATCATACCGGGGTTTGGTATGTGATGAATAATCATCTTTCGGGTAATTATAGTAATTAAAGATAGCTGCCGATTATGTTGGAACGATCGCCTTTGGCCAGTTAGGTTTGATAACCAGGTGTGTGGGAAATACCCTGACTATTTCGGTTTATTTTAGCTATCGCGTTGGGCTTTAAGGTCCTTTTCCACGGAGATTTTCTACGTTACCCGAAGCGGGTCCGTAGATCAAAAAATTACCTACACTTGTGAGGGGCAATCTTCACGCGGTAAGACGAGGTCAAGGCGTTAGTAGGCCTGTTCCGATTATGCCATCGCTGCTATGATGCGGCACAGGATCAAATCGGGGGTTTGTGCTCCAATAAAGGGGCATATACACTTACAAATACATAATTGTTAGTTACTGAGTGCATGAAACCCTTGCAAGCCGACTTGCATAGAGTACGGGAAAGATTGTTGGCCTGTATGAAACAGCAGTTCGATATATGATAGTTAGCATTCGCAATGTAAGAAGTTCGCTTCTTTTCCAAGTCAAGACTCATTAATAAGGACTTGTGTGGAATCATGAGTTATAATCATCTTACTCTAAATTTATTACTTACGTCGTAATAATACCCTACTTATTACGCATAGTTATGAGTCTTAGAAAGCTTTCTTCGGGAAGTATACTATTAGATGGAGTAAATTGGAGAATTTAACGCATCATCGAAGATAAATAAGTTAAAAATATTATGAACCGAAATATCTTTTGAACAATCTCATTACTACAGGCGCCTTTCAACCTCCCTTTTATCCTTTCATATAAGGGTAAAGATACTTAAAATCTTAAAGATCTTTCCATTTTCAGCCTTCAATGTTGACGGATGTTAAGCTAACCGGAAGATCAAACATAGAATAGGAAACATGTTAGTTAGAGGTATTAAAAAAGTATAGCATCGGAATGTGAATTTTTATTCTCGGAACATACCTATATATAATAGATTATTCTTTTATCAAATACACATCGGGATTATAAGCTTATTAATACAGCTCCTCGTGTATTTTATAACCAATATCAACGCAATATATGGCTTGATACACACGCCCTTGATTATATTATTATAATGTAACGATGAGAAGATCCGTGACGCCCTCCACTCCAAGAGCTTCGTGATACCTGAGTCCGTGTTAGGAGGTGAGTATTATGTTGCTATGTACGAATAGCCTCACATTGTTTAGTTATTGAGTACTTAAGTACTTAGATATACAACTAATACTATGATTCACTTGTATGTTCGTCTGGTCATTGTAATACATACTTAAAATTACCTAATGCTACTATGAGAGCATTATGAGCAACTCAAAAATCATTAGCTTATGTATGTAGATAACCCTAGATCCGACAATTCCCTGGGGTGGTTTTATTCTGCAAATCCACTTCTCCATTCACTTAGCTTTCAACCCCAAGTGCCCCAGAATCAATTGCGGTGCTCTTGCTAATCTGTGGAATGCCAAGGACACTGACTCGAGGTGATATTCGGCTTAGAACGCCCAAATCTTGAAATAATTATACGCTCATCGTTTGAACCCGGGATGGACGAGTAGTTTACTGACTTAAAGTATTTGGCCGGCTTTGCTGTTAATTAATTATTGCTTAAATAGAATCTCATGTGTCTACTTAAATTGTCTTCCAAGATAAAGATCGCGTATATTGTTTGGAAAGTCACTTCATATTTGGACGATAAGCCTTTACTATGTAATCTGTTTCTTCTTCGATTCATACTAGTTATATTGTCGTATGACTGACATAAGCGACACTGGTCCAGAACAAATACTAAATTAGTGGCGTTACCTAGAAACATCCTTATTCCTGGTCATTTTACTTTATAAAACCCTTATATACCCTTATATAGCATACGACTAGGCCCTTTCTTCCAACGCCCAGACACTACGGCAATTACCATACAAGACCAGGTACGGGGAGCCATGCCGGGCAAACACAATCGATAGCAATGCATTAAGAAAACAGATATATACCGAGACACCTTCCCAGCTACCTCAAAGCAACGGTTTCCCTGTTGCGACAGGTGTTGCAAGCATTGTCAAACTACCCCAAATGGCTAGAATATCAACAAAGAACGCTATGCCAATCTAACTAACTGTTTAGCCAAAGGTTAAATAATATCATACGAAGATATTGTCCATTATAAATGAGACTATCATCGAATGATAATTCGACTCTCTCAAAGTATCAGATGTCAAACGTCGAAAGACTTATTGGACCTACCTAAGATTTAGGTATAAATTTGATGGGTACCTAAGTGCCTAAGTGTCTTAAGGAAACGAGAGATAGCGCCGCTTTAGACAGATCCTTTTGAATCATTTTCCCCTGAGTTAATGCAACCAAGTTCGCGGGACTTATTCTGCGACAAAAGAATTTACACTACGCGTCAGCCGCAATCCTTACTAACACAACTATAGCTTAATACTTTTCTTGTTTATAAAAACTATTCCGACATAGGAAAAGCACCTTCGGAAATGTCTTCCCCGAGAGCTAAGTATTTTTTTAGGGGCCGGAATCATACCGACTGAATGAAGCGTATGATTACCACAGACTGTTTGATCGAAAATTATCCCTGTCTTCATAGTCTATCGTTGGATCTAACTTGTACCTAGTTACGACTTTGTTAGAATCGGGAGCCGGCGTATAATGTTCCATTGGGAATTCACTAATTAAAAGATCTACAGCTATTATCAAAATTATTATTGGCCTCTCATTGACTAGCGAAATATTTAAAGTTCAACTCGACGTGATTTTCGTTTCTAAATACCCACAGACCTTGCCATATCCAGTAAGTCGATGAAATAGAGGCACATAGATGCCACACTTCAACTAAAATTTTTCTAGACTATCTATTAAGAAATTCGTAAGCCTGAATGTAGAAGTTTCGAACCCATCCCTGCGCCTTTAATTTTTTTTCATTCTTAGTACAAGGTACATGGTGATAGACTACATTCTTCCTAAGTCGACCTTCATGTAATTGAACCATTTTGGCGAGGACCTTTTGTAGTTTGAACTAGCCGAGACTAGTTAAGCTGAGGAAAATGTACGCACTGACATTGATCAAGGCAGGGCTGAGCTGAGTGGTCTGACTCGTCTGGATCTTGGTACTGGAGCAGGGGATATCCACGACAGCATGGGGTTCCTTACTACGAGCTTTTCTAGATCGGTATGACTTCCGGACGATAAGGGACAAGCGATGTTAATGCAAGCTACTAACAAAGGACTATCGACGGCCTCGAAGCGAAGAAGAAGCACCGAACGCTTGGTTCATTTAGTAAACCCCTAGTTCGACGCCATCTTTCGTCAAATGCGACATACCCCGTATTTTGCAACTCATCGATGTGCAGATCAGGAGATCCAGGGCCGTAGCGGGAATTAAAAGTAGACCAGATATTAAAGAGACCCTGCGCAATGGATTCCTTGACGTCGCTATTTCTTTGGTTGTGGTTTCTTATCGATCTAATGGAATAATAACACACTATAATCTGGTCTCTACAACAATCCGAGCCCTCATAAGGCTGACAAGCCCGAATACCATTAATCATCCTCGTTGTAATCGAATAACGACACTCTTGAGTATTACTCTGTTAAACAGAGCCCTGCATGCTCTAAAATGGAAACCACTGAGCCGATTGATCGCACTCAAATAACGATTCTCCTTACGGTATCAACAGTGTTAACGGGTATCTCAGGTAAGAACTGCATCGATACTTTCGTTTATTTCGCTACATAAATTTATTACGTCGACTAACATGAAGAGGAATAGCCGTTGTAGTAATCACTCGATCATGGATTCGGTTTTGGGTTATGAAGAAAGCGGGCATGGATGATTGGATGTCTGTTGGCGCTCTGGTATGCTTCATACTTTGCCGTGAAACTACCTACGTTGCCTTTATACTGATAACTGGCAGATCTTTACCATTGGCTACCTCATAACCCTTTACATTGGAAAAACCAAGGGTATGGGTTCTCCTATGGGGACTATCTCTTTAGAAAATAAGGAGGCGCTCCTCCAGGTAAGTTCTATATACCTCCTATAACTGTATATGGTGTGGCATGGCGCTAATAAGTGAAAAGTTAACTTTCGCCATCGAAATTCTATACTACTTGGTTTTAACTTGCGTCAAATCATCAATCGTGTTCATGTACGACAGATTCGGTATGTGCTTCTCATTTTATCGTCAATATTGTTACATAATATTAACCTTGGCTTGCAGCTATATCGGACACGTTTAAAAAATTGTGTAAGGGTACAAATGGCCTCTTAGCTATATTTTTCGTTATATGCATTGGGGTAGTAGTTGGACAATGCACACCTCTTCAAAAAGCCTGGGACCTCTCGCGATATATACCAGGAAGTTGCATAGATACCACTGCTTTCTTTTACTGTCAGTACTAAGCACCCATTGACAGAACTATTCAGGGATCTAACTGTTTTCTAGTCACATCTATTTTCGGAATCATTTTAGACCTTTGGATTCTCATGATCCCTCTACCCACATTAAAGCATCTACAGATATCGAAGCGCAGCAGGCATGTTCTATACGGTATCTTTGGTGTGGGTGGCCTCGCAACGGCCTTCTCTTGTGCTCGACTCTACTCTATACATACTTATACACAAGCTGCTGATCCTTTCCGGGACAGTATTCTTGTACGTACTCACATTCCTCCTCTCTAAGAATCTTCGTCTAACCCTATCGTAGGTTAATGTTTGGTCAATGGTCGAAATCAACGTGGCGATCTGGTGCGCAAGCGCCCCAGCACTAAAACCCCTATTCTCTCCCCGACGATTTCTCGACAGCGCAAAGTCATCGTCAAGTCGCAACTATCACAACCTAAATCCAGGCATTTCGAAAAATGGTATCGAAGGATCGACATCGCAATCGCGCATTGTTGCTATGCATAGCGATAATTACTCTGCCTCGCCAAGGGGATCCTTGCACGGCCCTGATGATATTGAGCTGCAACGGCCTGGGCAGGCTCATGTTTAAAAAAAAAAAAAAAAAAAGATTTGTTATTTATAATGCAGGGAGTCATGCGGAATTTAAAATGCCCAAGGTCGGCTACCACTCTACGAAGTATGAGGAATTAGATATGTCGGGAATATACTAATCTAATTAAACCTGTGAAATTCTGCTCTGATCTTATCGCATCGTATAGTCCCTCGAATATTAGGTAGGTATCTAGGTCTAGGAATTGCTTTACGCTAATCTCCTGAAGAACATGTCTCCGTTCTTACCATCCTGAGTCTTTGACCTAAAACGCATCATCGTCTTGTCTTCTAACAACGTATAGTTCTTCTGTAGCTCTATCCCAACCCACGTAGGTAACCAGGCGATCTTTGTCGGCCCATGTGTAATCTGACCCACTTCGACGTCGTCCGTCGTCTCGCTGACGTACCAAGGCCCAGAATACGCCAGCGTGTGCTTTCCAATAAGTGCCCACTCAGCATCTGTGCCGACGTCCGGGGCGGCCGTATCTATATCTCCGGGACGGTCCTCCGGCCTAGAAGACATAAAGTTGGCGGACATCCAGCCGGCAGTATTGTAATTCAACATGCCGACAGGAAACTGTCCCAACGCGGGGTCCGCGTCGTGCGAGATCGTGCCATTGTCGAAGTAGCTTAGCTAATTGTAAATAAAGATTATCTTATAATAGGCTGGCTCCAACTTACGACGTTACATTCAGGTAGAGCCAAGTGCCAGTGATGGCCTTCATTACCTCGTCGGGTTTCACCATCGTCGCTGCTTTTTCTTAACTACGGACTTGTCTGTTGCGCTATTAAGTATATGTATGAGAAATATCGCAACAGTCCATCTGTCACAGACGTTATTCCATCTACTTTTATAGCAATAGGGGTAACTTATCGGCCCGTCACCAGTGGTATAGTGTTCATCTGTCACCCGTTCACATGCTGGTTACCGGTTAAATTGAGATTCAACTTATCACTGGTGTCAGATAGGCATTATAACCCGACGAATCAATTCAGCTCGCCAGCTGAATAATATTCCCGTATGATGGCATTAATGCCACGGTATATACGAGTGGGGGTACCCTTTCGCTAATGATCAGATGTTGCTTTACCCAAACCTCACCCTCTCTTACTACTCCATTTAAGATGGATAGTCTGATCAGAGCACCGTATAGCCTGCATAAGGTAAGAGAACCCGAGAGTAAAGTCCCACTTCCTACCGAGGGCTCGGTATTATTCTTAAGGCCTATAGTAAAGCTATAGACCCGCATCCTACTGCCGATCCTCATCCTTTATTCGTTTGCATGAATATAGATGAGATCCCCAATTCTTAGGATCGGTTATACGATGCTAATAGTAAAAATGAAATTAATCTTGAACTTTGGGGTCATTTTTGATGGAATGCCTGTTGCAAGTACGTGTAAATATAGCACTTTAGGGTAGTTAGTTTTTATAACATTAGCCCAGCAAGTTAATACATAAATTTCTTTCCCGTATGTAACAATGAAGATAACTATTGTCCTTTGTACTAAAACAATGAATTGATAGACTTTTGATTTAATGGCATCACAATAAACTAATCATTATGCAAGAATCAATTAGTTACATGCTTTGAGACTGTCTCGACACTAAAAGCTGTATATACCCCACAATGTTTCTCCTTTATATATATGATACGTGATTCAATCCATACTAATAGTAGCGGTTGCCTTTCAATACAAGATCTGCTATATATAGGCCTCGACCTACCGCATAGGTAGAGATTATATCCCTAATTAGGTGACACCTTGAAAGCAGATATTGGAGATGATTTCAGGCTTGGACAGGGAGTCAAAAAAAACCAACGTAACTATACGACAACTTTACGAGTGTATGACTACTTGTATAATAGTGAATAACAAGACTGAAATATCGTTACTCCCAGAAACAAAGAAAATAGCGGTTAAGCTCAATCACAAAACGATTGTTGTTCGACAACAAAACATTGATACCTTTTGGACACAGGGATAAAGATTTTATTGGACATAAGGAGACTCTTCATCCACCATATCGATTTAAATAAGTCGATTAAAACATTTTTGACAAATATCCACATCCCATTAAAAAAAAAGCGATTTAACCTGCCGAAAATGAAACGGGGAGGCTATAGACGAAATCGATATAAAGGCCACCGCTCTTCACATACCCGCTACGGGCCCTATGAATATGACGAGTCGAGCGAGGATAGACCGGATTACGACGATGGCTATTTGACCCCTGGGCCACCACCAAGACGCAGTAGCAACTCTAAGCATAATGGTAATCCGCGACTGAAGTCTGCGCCTAAAAAGTCGCAACCCTTCCAAAGGCAAGCAAATCCTTTTCAACAATCCTCCTCGCACACTCATAACGATGAGCAGCAGCCATCGGGAGAGCAGCCCGAAGAAGAGGGGATCCATCATTATCACCACCACAACCACTATTATCACCATCCCAACGGCACCTCGCCCCTCCCAACGCAAACCGCAACAGGGATGAATAACGACATAATGATGACCGACTTCAGCGCAATAAATGCTCTCGAGGGACGCCTCTCCAAGCTCGGGAGTGAGATATTAGAATTTCTAAATGCCATGGCAAGCCAGAGTAACCAGACGAAAGAATTCATCGGGAGTTTCGTTAACTACTTGAGACAGGCACATCCCGATTCCGAGCTTAGCAGAGTTCTGGGCGGTATTCCCTCTCAGCAAAACAGACCCCAAGCTCCCGCCATCGCTCCCACCGTCCCTCCCGGCCCCCCTCCCGCCAACCCTTTCACCGTTCCCGCTATCACTGTCACTGCCCCAACTCCTCCCAATGCCCCGACCAACGCGTCGGTTGGCCGGACGGGCGCGTTCGGGAGAAGCAGAAACCGGGGTGGTTCGGTCGACTCGGAAGACGGTAGAAATATGACCCCAATAATGAAGAGACAGACTCGTTTTGTGCAATAATAGATAGCAGTGGATTGGGGAGGGGTAGGGGGGGAGAGTTTCTCCTTGTCGAAAACGGGCCTAGTCCTAGGTGAGAGCCCGGTTTGTAGATGGCCACACGGGCCCAAATTGCGCGATAAAGCATACGTGAATACTTTGTACATAGGCAGTGTTATTAGGGGTCGCTGGAAATTCCTTCTGGTTTAAGTTTCCCTGTTTATAAAGTATTTTAGTTGTTAATATAAGGATTTCCAATGCCTAAACAAAACTCTTCTCTTCAAGATTTTGCCCTTCAACACTTTGTTCTTCATCGCCTCCTTTTTCTTCGCATTGATTATTTGGGACTTCTCGAATGTCTGTCCGGTGAGTCGTCCGCTTGGATCTGGGACTGTGTAGAGGTAGACGTCGATGAGTCTCTCCTGGACTAAGATATTGGATAAATGAAGGAAGAGAAGCTGAAAAGCAACTTATGATACCAAGAAGCGCCCCTAGGGTAGATAATAGTCCTAAGTACCCTTGATCATAGCTAAAATCAATACTATTGACTCGATGTAACGCGGCGATGCGGAAGCCTGTAATGACAATGACACTGCAATTTGTGTTAATACCAGTTATTATTTTAATATTGGTTTTAATATAGATGAGTGCGAAACCTGGTACTTACATAGCGCCCGCTGAAAATATTAAGAGAGTGCTGACTTTGCGCCTCAACTTCATATTAAGACGGAGAATAGGGCTTATTGGCAAGGCCAGAATAGCTAGATCAATGACGAGGCCGCTAACTTCTAGGGCAACATATGCTACAGTTTGATTCCCACATGTGCCTTGGACCTGCGTATCCCATGATGCCTGGACGGGGCGGCATATGAGGACACTGGTCAATATAGCCGCAAGTCCATTCATAATTGAGATGCCTATTAAAATCCATGCCCATCTCATAATCCGCTCTATTTTAAATATTGTATAAATCAAGCTTAGGGCAGAAAGCCGAATAAACATGTTTATAGCTGCCCATAGAGCTTCATTCACAAGTAGGGACTTCACGATTGCAAATAGGATTCTATTAGCAAATGTTCGACCTAACACAGCCTTATACTCAATAACACACCTTAGCCGTCAATTCAAACTGACTTCGCGCCACATCCGAGACGTGTTGACCTTGGCCTTCATCAATGACTGCCCAGGTAATTTGGCATACTAGGCCTAATGTCATACCAAATGCGATGAATGTCGAGATATCATCCCATGAAAGTTTCCTCTTCTTAATACACATGAATACGTGTATAGCGAAGGATAGTAAGGCAAGGAAAGTAAAAACATATGTGCATATGATAGTAGCTAGAGCTACGTTAGACGTAGTCAAGAACATTGGGGATGTGAGAGGTGAGACATCTAAGAATATTGACTGACATGCTAAGCAGGCGACGAACGTACCCAGGTATGTTAAGTACCTATTTATGAATACTAATCTCGCAGACCTCCCTTTCGAGCTTCCCTGTGATACCGGTGCTCAGCCTGCTTCTAAAGCATAGCCCTCATGTACTCGATTTCATATCCAATAAAATAATAAGAACGCAAGGCTTTGATGATAAGGTATGGTGGATTAAATGTAAAAAATCTGCCGTACGTTTCGCCGTTGATATGCAGGCTGAGATGCCAACTCAGATCGGGGCAGTACGGCTAACCAACCAACCAACCAGAATCCGCCCTTCAGATTCTTGTATTTGGGTTACATATTTAGCTGCAATAGAGTAACCACATCAACTTCGGCGACAGCAGCTTTTCATTTAGAAGTATCTGATCAGTCTCTCATTTCGGGTCAAGATAGATGTTACAACTGTCGATTTCAAACATGCTATAAACTGTGAATTCTCATTACTACCTGCCTCAACTGTCAGTAGCAAGTAATAGCTAAGCTGGGTATCATACTATAGCATCAATGCCAACTTCTATAGACGTCGGCTGCACACCGATGTTCGAGGACCAATATACTCCTAGAGACTGCCCCTTAAGCCACCAGGTTCCGCAACCTAAATCACTTTTTCTTTGATGACGACGTAGTCTTGCTCGCAACTTTGTTCGCAACTTTGCCCCTTATAGCAAAAGCGTGATCGATATCTTGAACGGCAACCCAGATCGCATATATTGGGATAAAGACCCACAGCATATTGAAAAAGACTAGGTACACCCATTTATACATGAAGTTGCTCGTGTCGAGATTGTAGTTGGAGGTTAACCACTCGGGGCAGAACGTGATAAATCCGCCGTAGAGCTCCATGGTCGCGATTACGATCAAAAGGATGTTGGTGCGCGGGTCTTTCTTCGCGATACCGTAGCAGATGAGGCAAGCGAGGGGACCGGCGATGAAGACGGTCAGGAGCTCGAGACTAATAACGGTCTAAGAGAAAGAGTTATGTCAGCGACAAAAGGCCAAGGAGTGGGTGTAAAGCAACGGGATTGTCCTTACCAGATCTGCACCGGCCCATCTCCGGTCTGCCTTTGCATATACCATCCAAAGCTGAGCAAACGGGTTATTTCCGCCGGCCTGCGAGCCGTACGCGCGATCGGCGTGGCCGAGGAAATTATTGGCGGTGGGCGCTAACCAGTGTGGATTAGCCACTTTAGAAAGGGGTATCCATGAGAAGAAGCAGTGGTAGAGGAAGCTCCCCTCGAGGATGAAGTGTATAAGGGCGTCGAACGCGTGCCATATAAACAAGAAGCGGTGGCTTCCCGGCGTCTTCTGGTCGAGCGCTTGTAGAGATATAAGGTAAGCGACCGCTAGGATCGCAAGTGTCGAAGCAAGAGACACGAGGGTGGTCCGGTCGAAGAGATCCGGTGGTAGGGAGTTCTTAAAAGAAGCCATTGCGACTCAATTGTATAGTTGATATTTAGACACACACACAGGCTGCTGCCAATGTAGAAAATGAGCGTTGTTAGTGAATGAGGGGAGGGATGTAACAACCAACCATTTGATGTTTAAAACTGCGGTGTTCTGAAAAGTTCGTGTCGCGTGGGGACATTTGATAAAAGGGGCTCGTGCGTTGCTGACAGCATGAAAATTTACTGCCACATAAGAGGTAAACAGAGGATATAAAGTAAACAGTAACTATTCCAACGTAGTAAGTGAGGATGTAAATTCAAAAGTATTATGAGTATAAGGAACAAAGTTTATATTATTTCATTTTATACTATCTTTCCAATTGAACATTCAACTATCATTCATATAGTTAAGTCATTATAAGTGAACTAATAGATGGTAGTGAACAAATATTAACTATAAAAACGATAACTAGGTGCTTATCACTGTATCTCACCCTTAATGAACCCACTACGATTTTAAGCAATAACAACAACATTTTCACACCTGTTTCGAAATACCCCTGACAATATGATCCGCAATAGCCATGATGGTTGGTAATCATAGGCTTCACACCAGATCCCGAAGGGAACACGCTCGCGTCTGCAACATATAAGTTTTCGGTATCCCACACTTTGCCGTCTTCATTTACGACCCCATTAGTCGGGCTCGTGCTCATGCAGCAACTCCCCATTTGGTGAGCTGAGCCGAAAGTACCAGACGAAGAGTTCAGTTTTGCCGCCTCCAGGCGGTTTAACCATTCTATAAAGTCCGCATCGTCAAGGGTTCATTCGTGGACGGGTAGGTAAGTCGCTCCGATACCAAAGTAAACCGGACATCATTTACGGTGCCTTGAATATAACACATTTTTGCGATTGCTACTAGTCCTACAATCGCATTTGCACGATCGAACGACGATGTCGCGTAAGTTATGACAGGGCTTCCGTTGTCTAGATCTAGAGTGACGCTACCACTATCCCGATCCCTAACGAGGGCCATGAAGCAATTTCATCTGTCAGAACTTGAGCGCATCTAATTTGAACTGCAACCCGCCGTGCCATAGAACTTAAAATATAGCCATGCGAGGCTGTTAAGGGTGTTAGTTAGTCGATAGGTTAGGTAGGATAGGCAAAAAATTTCACTCACAAGCATAGAGGTCGTTTCAATTCTAGGCCCATGGCCTTTCCCGTCAAGACCTTCGAATTCCGTCACGACGGAGCTTATGATATCACCTACAGATCCCATGCCAATACACTTATCTGTTTCCACATATCATCTGAGAACATCGCTTGACTTACCTTCCCATCCACGGATATCTTCATCAAACACCGCGCTCGTGCTGTTGATGGGGTGGAGATGCAAGTTTTCACCTATATTAGGATTCTGCCAACGTGTTAGCATTATATACTGAGAGACAGAGTATCATCCACTCCAACGAAGTCGCAAACGCAGTCAATGGAATCTAGAAGTCCGGCGTAGAGAAGAATTTCAAGCCTTTCTCTTCTGTCTACTATTTGCGCAATCAGTTTGGTGGTGGCAGGCTCACGGCCCAGTTCACGGTGCCGCCGCCTCCCCAGCAGCTCCCTACCGCAACTACGAACGAGCCATCTCCGGTTGATAGACCACCACTCTCCCCTTCAAATAATAACTCCGCAGAACTGGCTCCGATGGAAAGCTGGTTTGGAGGCATATAACCCCCTTTGTCGACTACAAGAACCCTGTGTCCAGCTTCAGCTAGGACTTTCGCACATACCCCGCCTCCACATCCCGAGCCGACAATCACAATATCGGTTTCTATATGTATCGACTCAGGGGTAGCATCGAAATTCATAAAATTGAAGTCGACAATAGGTTCGGATTCTGAATGCGGATTGGCCACGTAGTCGTTCGGTTCGTGGTATAACGGATCTGTTTGACTCCAAGCCATTGTTCCCAGCTGGACGAACGTTCTCCCAAACATAGGCCAGATGAAGAGCCAGGAGCTTGGTAAAGTGCACCTATAGTTTTTCTAACGCACTTAACGGACACTGGATTATCAGAGGGCCTCGTTGCCAGATAATCCTAGAATGCCATCTTACTTAGCGGATGCTTCAATCTTCGTCGGATATCATGGTAGTGTCTATCGAACTCTTCCTGAGAGATATGCAGGTAGTCATCCCAAGTAGATGAGGAGTCTGATACTAGAATAGGTGGGACAGCGGCGTCAAGTATTGACAGCAACGACTGCCATTGTAGCCTAGGAAAGTTATTCTCTAGATTAGTTCCATGGCGATAAAAGGAGATGCGAATCGACCGTTTTCTAAACAGCCAATTTTCTAATTTATATCGCTACAACTCATAGTATCCCTCTCTTCTTCTGAACAAAGGATATTAATTAAGTGAGTATTATACAACATCCGCCCTACGGTAAGTTTCTATAAATTCCATCCCTCGCTTACACTTTGCTTTTCGTTTTCTCTGGCTTTCCTATCAGAGTATAATAGTTCAGTATAAGTTCTTCCTTTTATGCCCGCCCTTTCTTGTGGTCTAGTAGTCTAACAAATCATAACTAAATATCTATTTCTCTTACCTAATCATTTTAACCACGGGTAGACCTGGTAATCGTGGCGTTCGTATGTTGGCAAATGAGTATATTTCAACCGCCATTGAACAACTTCACACTTCCTTACATTACGTACCTATGTAAATACATCGTATAGGGGTCGCACTATAAGGCTCTGCTTTCTGACTCATTGTGGCTGTGCGTCGACCAGGTCTGCTCCTTTAAATATTGTTGATTCCGACCCCGTTTGGACTCTAGACTTTCGGCTTTAGTTTTCCCATACAGATCCGTAGAGTATATCCATCTGCACCGATATATGGGGGTATCGCAGCCTCCTTGTTTACTTCCCTCCGGATCTCCTTCCACGCCTTCTATACCAGGATGTGACGATGGCCGTACCGCCTGCATTCGTGCCAAGGATCAAGCAATGGATGGGCTGACCGAGCAATCATGAAACACGGTTCACATTCCTTTGGGCCTTAGTCAATGCAACAGTCCAGCATATCTGAGACGGGCTTCGCCAGCTATAGAACGCTGGATTTTCTTAGAGTTCTCTATACTTTTCGTTACTCGGATCTAAACACTTAGCATCAATGTTGTACCTAGGTTTAAAGAACATTGTTATAGGGAATCACGAGGACGATTTTCAGTAAACACTAGGGGTAAAATGGCGCGATGTGGAACTTGTGCTGCCTTAACCGTGGAGGAACTAAGAAACCATATGACCTTTTTTCATCCTAACTTACGGTCGCTCCGGGACTCTGCAACGGCGGGTTGCGATCTATGTCTACTATGTTGGGCTTCCATCCAGCGTAAATGCACAGCTGGTGAAATCAATTCCGTACTGGACGGTAGGTTCCCTGTCAACTATGAGAATGCAGGGCAGCCACTGGGTGACGAGCGGGTCTGGTTGACGGGTATGTTTATGGATCTATTCAAAAAGAGGAAAACAGCTGGTACCGTCAACACTCCTGTTGTAGACCATCGTGCTCAAACTGGCAGTAGGGTATTGGTAGAGTGCGGGAATAAAGAGAATGCGGAGGAGAGCTTCGGAAAGGAGATTTTACGTGCTGAGCTCTGCGTATTTGCGGATCCAGGTATATATCTCGAGTTCATTTACATATTGTTCCAACTGACGGGTACAGGCACACCTGCTGCAACTAGCTTCGACGAACGCCTTTATACAGCATTCAGAAATAAAGCTGGGGAAATTAGCTTTGCCCATACACTCCTCGATGGATGCCGGAAGAGACATCCAGAATGCAGAGCGACAGATGATAATGTACCACCGGAGATGCCTACTCGCGTTCTAGATATTGGTGTCGAGCCAGGATGGACAAGGCTAGTTCAAACACCACACTTAGGACTGCGTGAGCCGTATCTAGCTCTATCTTACTGCTGGGGACAAGGCGTTCGACACACGACAGAATTAAACGATAAAAACTTTCCATCTTTCTTAGAACTTATCGATGAAAATAATTTAACGGCGACACACCAAGAGTGCATCGCCATTGCTCGCCATTTAGGTATTCGCTATGTCTGGATCGATTCTCTTTGTATTATCCAAGGGAACCTTGAGGATTGGCTTTACGAGTCTGAAAGAATGGCCGAGGTATACGGTAATGCGGTATTAACTGTCATTGCCGGACGATCCGCAGATAGTCGTACCGGCTTCAGGGTAAACAACATGGAGCAAGTAGTGCCGCCCTGCCCAATACCATTCGGCGAGGATTTGGGCAACGTCTATGTATGGCTACCCCGGGACAAGACAGAAGGGCCTGTTAGTACCCGGGGATGGTGCTTTCAGGAAAAAATACTGAGTAGAAGGGTACTCGTGTACGCAAAGGAGCAAGTATACTTCTCGTGCCAGCGGTCGCAGCTCTGGGAAGATGGCACTCTAAACATGCAAAATTCAACACAGCTACGAATTGGGACATTCCCAAACCCTGTGGAAGATGCTAATATAAAGTCTGATGCAAGTGAGCAGAAACAGCTACGCACCCAGATGCTATATCTGTGGTATAAAGAAATACTTCCAGATTATACGCTCCGCCACTTGTCCAATCCAAATGACATATTTGCTGCATGCAGCAGTATCGTCCAGCTAACACGGAAAGGTATTAGATCTCGCTATCTAGCCGGTATATGGGAGGTAGATATTCCTCGCGGTTTACTATGGTGCACCTCCTATTTGGTTAAATGGACCCTTAGAAAGGTTTCCTGGCCTAAACCCGAAAGACCTGTTAACAGAGAGGGTGAGACGGTAGTTCGAGCACCATCATGGTCGGTAAGTCACCCATCTCAAGTACCCGGGTAGGCGTACTATCTCTACCACCTCCTATTCCTATTTGATGAGAGAAAAGGGGAAGCGAGGAATAAAAGCAATATGATTCGTTTAACTGTTAATCTACATTTTGAATAAGGTACCCTTTTCTTATAGCATGTCACTGTCATATAGCTACATACCTGTTGAACCATAAGCTTACCCAACTTTGCCAGTGGGCATCCGTCCAAGGCCAAATTTTCACTCGCCCAGAATTTCTGCGACGAGATGAGTCCTTCCAGAATCCCACCAATGTCCTCATACGGCCTTTATCTCCATCAATCACGTCGCATTCATCACCGCAGGATTCTACTCCAAGATGGACTCTTCTCGAAAATCCCAACTGCGACGCCAACATACTCCACATGCCTACCTGCGAACTCGCCTTCTTCGGCCATCCTAAGCCCGTCCATTGCACAATCCCTTCGCAGTCTCAACTCTCTACTTTTCCAAGGATCGGTTGGCCGCAGCGCCGCCTTGATCTCGCCGAACAGGGGTTCTTGGCACTTTTACAACCCGCAGATACGGAATACGCCATGCTGGACCAGCTCAAGTTGCCTTCTACAGAAGGTTTCGCTATTGCCTGTTTCGATATAGCTGAGGATCGTGAAGGGGCTCGGGACTGCTGGTTTTTGCCCATTATTAAGAGCGAACACATTGGTCTATTGCTTCGTAAGGATGTGTCGGATGGGAAGTACCGGCGTCTCGGTCTTGTGATGCTAGTGAAGGAAAAGGTTCGTCTTTTTTTTCTTATCCTTCCTCATATACCCCTATGCATGCGTACATGAGAATACGAGCAGGCTTATATACGAGATGCTTTCCTCCGTCTTTCAGCTTCCGGCTCTTACTTCAAGCACATAATAACTAACACTTGCCCATAAGTTTCTACCATGGCTGATTTCTGGACCGGAGGAGGAAGTTCATCTCGTCTAATAGAAAACTACCCCGCTAGCTTTCTCGCCAACCCTCAAACTTCAAGAACTAGAAGGTTGCTATGTCCCACTAATATTAAGAGGTTAGTTAAAGGCATGGTATTAATCGAAATAAATGCAAACATATGATATCTTATCACCTATATTCTGTTTATAGTCCACTGCCTGCCTGGCCCGTCCTTGAATCCCAGTATCCTACGCCGGCCTTGTGAACCCCCCATCTCGTATAATCGCACCAAATATCATCGCCGGCGACACGCCCACCAATCTCAAATGGGGACATTGAGTCATCCGCGACAATAGGGAAGAGGGAGTCGAGTAGTGTTTCGACGGCTACATTGAAAAAGCCCCGCCACGGAGCTCCCTCAATATCCTCGTTGATTGGATTGCAGTCTTGTTGACTACTATCTCTAGAAACAGCAACGACGAAAGGAATTCTAGTTCTATATTTTCTCTTACATGACGAAGGGGAAGGCGAGTTTAATATAGAGTCCACTGAAGCCGGCGTAATATATAGGCATAAACTATGGTTCAAACCTGGTAGTATAGGAGATGACGAGTATGCTCTGAAAAAGATCAGCCTAGATGAGACAAGGGCAATAAGGGGTGTTGCCCACCGTGATATAGATCCAATGCTCCCATCCTCTTTTCCGACGCCTTCTACCCATTGAAATTTCATTTTTCGGGCACATTCGTCAAGTCCGGCGTATCCGCGATAGGGACCAACAGAATCATCTATGATTTCTAAAAACCGCTTCTTGCAGGCCATCCACTGCTCCGCATCAACGATCTCTGGACTTTTGAAAACGACGAACCCCCACTGATCCCAGCGGACACCGCGATCTTCGCACAGGCGCATAACTTCCATGAAAGGAGGCTCTTTAATAGTCTTAGTAGAGCTTCCTAATAACTCCGCCATTAGAATATGGACGGCATGATAGGCGTTCTGTGCACGCAATATTTATCACCCTACCTAACGCCCCTTGCTCCCGCCTAAACATCTCATCGAAGAACTCATCGAACCCCTGCTGCCCCAGGTCGGCCCGCAGACCTTCGCGAAATACTTCCCTCTGTTCTTCGGTTAGGTCATTTATATCATTGACAGTAGCGTCGAGCATCCGCTCATGATCCCAGCCTGTGGGGTAATAAGAAGGAGTTGGGGCAGGCATTTGGTTTGCTGTCTGATAAGGGGCTATTGTTATATAATAGGAAGAAACAAATATTAGATGACGAGAAATTGAAAAGAAAGGGGTTGAAGTTGAATAGTCCGAGGTTTGACCGAGCGTCTAACTTGATGCCAATATAATTTCTAGGATAGGTGGTGAGTTAGAAACGTTACTCTGGAGCATGAACAGACTGTTGACTTTGTAAGCTACCATAGAAGATATAACAATGTGTTTAACTCCATTTATACTTTATCAAGGCCTCTTTCATGATCTTACATCAACTCGAACTAGGTAGTCAATAAACCTCTCCTAGTTCTAATTTTCCTACTTTAAATTACAAGCAATAACTACGACCAGTTATATATGGCCCAGTCCAAGTTCGTATTGGGCATTTTAATTATGGGATATATTTCTGACACTCCCTGCAGCTTACTATCATAAGCTATACACAACCCTTGGTATAGTTTCACCGATGACAGGCCTAAATCTCAATATACACGCAGGTATTCCTAAATGTGACAGAGGTACCGTGTGTTACGCAGTAAGAGCTCTCAGGAGTGACTGTGGATGAAACCGTCGTACAGCCGAGCACTAGGTAATATCTTACTCCGTAAATATTACCTCCGTACTAAGTAGAAAATACGAAAAAATATACTCCCCAGAGCCTCCCCAGACACTAACGTGACGGGTCGGAATGAAGAAAGAGGCAAAACTCGCAAAGCAACTTTAAGATTGGAAAGGTTGACTTGAGCATAACCTTTTTTTTCTAAGTGAGTGACCAGGTCTAGCTTCACGACACTAATTCTAATCACTTGGAGTATTAAAATATCAGCAAAATTTGGTAATTACGGCGTGGCAACAATTCCATCATCTCTTTCCCGGTTGCAATGAATCCCCCATGGACCTTCCATCCGTTAGGCAGGTACGACTCTAGATAGCGCAGTTCATGACACACAAATCAGCTATGATAGCAAAATTAAGACGGAAAGTCCATTCATTATGTTTCTCGAAGCTTTGGACGGCCACAAACATATGTATGAGCCAATCCCCGCCTATGGAAGGAACTTCCGTCCTCCCACAGGTGTCATTTTCATCCGTCGTTAAAATTCTACTGAATCACAGCAGAGTTGTAGATACTTTCTCCCTGACTCTTTCTGACATGGCTCGTGACCTCCGAAAAGCTCAGAGTAATGTGAATACCTAATGAATAAAGACCTGAGATGTAGATTTGAGTCAAAGAGCTCACGTTCAAGTATTTAAATTCCCCCCTCCTATGCCATGTCCTCCTTCCGAAGACATGCAAAGAGAATTATCTCCTCCGCCTTAGAACAAAAACTCCCATGCGAATAATTTCAACCCATTAGAGGACGGGATTGGGGTAGATACGGAAATTCAGCGAGGGGTCGTGCACGTCGCGGAAGATTGAATTCGTGGTATTAAGGATAAAGTCGATCAGGTCTATCACCACTCTCAACCCTCAAAATGGCTGAGAATGACAGTACTAGCAATGATGGGGGCCCATCTAAAGAGGAGCATCATTCCGAGGAAAGTAGCTGGGAGACAGAAACTGACGACGATTCGACCTTGGAATATGAGTTCGATTATGAGTCCGGTAAGTGTTTCTACTTCAACTAACAAACATATATTTTTAGCAATAAATATACTGATAATAATCTTAGAAGGACTAATACTTTGCAATCGGTACGAATTCATGGCATATGCCTATGCTTTAACCCCATACTTCGACTACGGGAGTAGCGAGTTATCCTGCAAAGACAATTCCAAAGTCCTCCTGCCAGATGAAGTTATCACAGAACTGCAGAGCTGGCTCGGCGAAGTGAATTCGCGGATGATCTGGATCCAAGGCCTACCGACGAAATCGTACGGCTCCGACCTCTCGCTAGCAGCGCTGCGGATCGCCTCGATGCTGCAAGACGAAGACATCCCCTGCGTATCGTTCTTCGTCAAGCCGGGCGACAACTTCGCGCCGTCGGTCCCGCAGCACCAAGCCGCCGTCATAGCCCTCCTGTACTCCATCATCGCGCAACTGATCTATCTCCTGCCACTCGAGTTTGAGGACGTCGACGAGCTCCACGAAACGAAGTTCCGGAAGCTGGATGGGAGCTTTGGAAGCGTGCCGCTTGCTCTGCAGATAATACAGGCTTTGCTGAGACACGCGCCACCGTCGCTGGTCTGGGTCTTGGACGGGTTCCATCTGGCGGAAAATCAAGATACGATTCCTCATCTGGAGACACTGGTTGATATTCTTCGCGCCCAGGAGTCGATGCGGGTTTCCCTGGTTTGTTTCACTACTGATGGTATCAGCGCGGTTCTACACCGTAGAGTGGACGTACTCGAGCAAGTCTGTGTGTCGGAAACGGGTGGTTCTGATATCAACAAGTTGAGTCTTCCTCCAAGTGAGTTCTCTTAGAGAACAATTTACTTGTCTGCCTATGCCATACCATTGGTTTTTCTTCTTTGAAGAAAAGGGGGGGAAATGACAAAGGGAAAAAAAGGAGGAAACCCCCAATTTCATGTATGATACAGAAAGTTGTAGTTGTTTTACATCACCTACATTTCTAAATGATTTTATTATACCAAATTAGAAATATCCGCAAAATCAGTCGTGACATTAAATTTTCATACTTCAAAATGATTCTTAACTCATTTAGCCTTGAGGTCATAAACCACCAAACCTTTATTACGTTAAAATTCACCATATTCATATCACGTAGTCAATGTAGAAAAGTAGTTTGGCGATGAATAGCGGCTTTAATTCTAAGCTATCATAGGGGTATTATAAAGCCAGCCGAGGATCTTTTGAATCTTTCAAGGGAATCAAATATTCCATCTCTCCATGCCCATTGTCAACAAAGGAAACAGCCCTGTCTGTTCCAAAGACGCCCAAATAATCACATTCCCCCATTCATCTCATCGTACAAGTCGTATAATAGAGGTGGAGTTGATCAAGAGGATTTATTGTATAAGCAAGCAAGTTTAGTGCTTGACGGACTCCTTGTTGACGTCGGCAGAAGTGTTGTGCTTCGTCTCGTCGACCTTGTCACCGACTGCGTCCTTGGCGGCGGATGCGCTGGGAGGTATGTTAGTAGACGGTCTTTTTTTTATGTGTAATAGTTGGTGTAGATGAAGCTTACCGAGTGGTGAAGTCGGCGTTGTTGTCCTTGGCGACCGACTTGTTGGTCTCCTTGGAGGCAGTGCTGGTGGCACCCTTGACGGTGTCAGAGACGTAGTTGGCGGCGTTCTGAATCTTGTCCATTTTGAAGGTTTGGTTGGTTTGTATTTGGTGGTAGTTGTGTTTGTTGATTGTTGTTGTTGAAGATTGAAGATGATGAATGATGATGGAAAGAAGTTGAGACTGAGAGGGAGTTGGAAGCACCTTATATAGAAAGTTGGAGCAGATCGTTCGACGGCTCAACGAACTATGGCTGATCTAGTTTACCTTACCTTACCGGCAGTCTATCCACAAGGATCGACCTTGGTAAGGTAGAGTGTGTATCATATGAACGAGTAAAGTACGTCATCATCTACCAGTTCGGTCATTATCCTATGTTCGGGTAGGTAGCCTGCCTCTCTTAGTCCGCATTCCAGCTATATTTTCTTGCCGCCCCTTTGTTCTCCATACTATTTTCTCCATTCTAAGTACCGCCGGTCAAAAAGCCGCAGTAAGCTATTTGTCTATTGGGTTGAGAAATTCCCCTGATGACCTGACGTCACCACTTTCGCAAAATAGATGAACCCCCAAACCCTCCTGCAAGATGCACGTTTTGAACGGGATCACACATGCGAATTGTCATTTATGCCTAGGCTATTCCCATATTATCTGACTCAATAGTTTGTACTTATTAAGTATTTCATCATGATCAACGGTTGGAATACTCTTTCTTTCGACTTGATCTATACTTTACCGTAGATGAATCGTGATAGTGACGATGTGAAGAGGCGAATAGTTGACATGCATGATGTCTTATTCCTTTTCGGGAACGGTTGACCAATCAGATTTTATTCTTTTGGTGAGCTTCCGCTCCAGAAACTTAGATCGCTGCAGGGGAAATAGTATATAAACATTCTATTGGTTACTTTAAACAAAAGGTCTCCGCAATGACAACATGACTTTTCGGAGCGTTATTTTGTGGAGTGGCCAAAGTCTAGAACGTCGCCCCGAATTGCAGTAAATATTGTCTCTCTTACATGATAGCAAACCGGGTTAGATGGAGATGGGAAAGCCATGGGTAAATTACGATTTCGTTACTATGTACGGTTGATCTCGATTAACTTCTCCCCCGCTAGTCTCTATCTTAGTCTCTAGAACCTATAGAATAATAGGTCGAAAATCGAACATTACCCCTCCCTTTTTCATCTTGCTTCATGATTGGAGTTAAACTACATCATTCGGGTCAGAAAGCTTTTCATAAGCCTCGTGTACAACACACACTTCTATGTAAAGTATAAGCCACATAATTAATTGCCTCTACACTATTACTCTTTTATACATATCTCTCATTGTAATCAGCGGAGGAAATGGTCCGGAAAGTCAAAGAGTCTATACATAGGTACTTCCCTTTTTGATCTATCGATTGTCTATCATGATTATAGTACTTCTAACCGTTAATTATATATTTCCTTTTTAACATAATTTATGACTCTATCGTCATCCATGCTTATTTAGAAATCCGTTCTCTACCGGCAGAAGTTGACTTGGATATGGATGACGTCAATCAACAGTTAGATCATAGTTGAGATCTAGTGTATAACCTATCTTATCAACTATACAGAAGCTTACGTGGAGAGTACCTATCTAAAAGTTATGCGCTTTGTTATGTCACACATCTATATTAGGATCGTGATATAACCAGAATTTGTTCGGTCCCGCATATTTACTTAAGCCATGGGTGCATAATGCCCGTCCCGGCTTGCGGCTCGTCACAAGATTACCGAAGCTCCTAGGTCCAATCCTTGGAAGGATCTAAACCTAGCAAGATCGGGGTTGATCAGATGATCAGCATAGGGAGCCTATCGTAAGGCGGGAGTACCCGACGCCCGTCAGACTAATCGAATATTTTGCTGCTTGGTATTTACCCCCTTGTCTACTTTTAAGAAATCAATGGGTATATACGTCACTAGGAGGCATGTTATTAGCGCTGGCTTTTACCTATGAGGAGGCAAAAGCTAGCACTAATACTCAAGAAGAAATACTAATATCGTTTATAGGAATCGCATCTAAACTCAACTAAATAGTCTATCACGGCAAACCAACATTTAACCTAAACATAGATATCTCGGTTTCCGAGGCGATATCCATTCAGTAAAGTTTAGTAACGAGTTCTCGAAAGGGACCTTCGGCGACCGAGCTCAAGACTGGTTCCATTAAATCCTACGACTCTTATCTACCTGGATACCTAGGTACCCAGGTTAGTAGTATTGGATACCTAGAGACTGTTTTCTAAGATGATGACGATGACGAACTCGTTAATAGCCAATGAGTGTGCAAGCTATCTAAATCATTTACACTTAATCACCCGAAATGCGTCCGTAGTGTGTGCGGCTATTATATCAACACATATGTCAATGAAGAAATCCGCGCATGCTTCCCCTGCTTATGGAGCAGAGCAAATAGCCACGGACGTCTAGGTACTTAATAGTGAGGTTTTAGAGCAACCAACCTCATGAAGATGTAATACCAAAGAATTCAATGGATATCATCGGCTTGTTATACCACAAGAACAGTGTAAAATCCTTTTACCTAACATCCACCAGATCAGAACCAACCGTAGCCACGTATATTACCGCTAGCCTACGATCACCCACCTAATTCCCACGCTTGCACTGAGCAGGTAGATAGCGGCCTTCCATCTCCTAGCCCATCCAACCCCCAGCCATAATAAAGGTATCAAAGAAGCCAAAAAATGATCCCAAATGCCCCCGAAAGCATCAGCGCCTCTAACATAATATCACTGCAAAGTGGAGGCCGCCCCAGCTGCGCTAGCATGGCGGCCAGGCTAAGTGGAATTAACATGGACGACATAGCCAACACCATATACTTCTTAGCGACATCTTCTGGGATCTCCTGCTCCGGGACTATGTCCGCGTCTAGCGTACTTTTACACAAGCAGCACTCGCAGTCAAAATTGACTATTGTCGTTATATCTACGTCTAGGAGGTATCAGTCCTTTTCTCGATCGTGTATCAGATGATTAATAGTGGGTTACCTCAAGTAGACAGGTAGTTATATTAGCAAAGTAAACTTTTTTCTTTTAATTCGTTTCTGCTTCCTTAGAGTACTTAGGGAAGTTTTGCGGGGTTGAAAAGAGATATGAGACGAGAAGATACGTTGCGATTTGCTTTTTGTTAAATATCGAGAAATTACGTAGGTGGAGAGCGCCTTGGAAATAACACTGATACCAACCCTCATTTATAAATGAAGAGAAGCACGACCAGCGATCAGATAATTATTTAAGAGTTAGTTTATGGGCACTTTATCCTGATCACACTTTCATGTTAGCAGTGATCACTGAAAGTTAGCAACTATCCAATATCTTGCGCTCAATGGCGGAAGAAACTCTATCGGATGATAGTAGGTCTAGGTAAGGGGTTGCATACCATAACTACCTAACCTAGGTACCTAGGTAGCTAATAGTCAAATTCACGTCTCACTCGTTTGAAGGCATAGTCAATGCTATAAAAAAACACCACATTTAGGTATATGTCATTAAGCCCGGTGCCTTAGTATGCTATCTATCATTCCCATATCATAAGATAGGGAGTAGATGTCTTTCCCCCTTAACTCCTAACTGTAATGCAAGGCAAAGACGAATAAATATACATTAGCTAGAAATTTGAGAATCATCGTAGCAAAATACTACAATACTCCCAGCGTAGTCTTAAGCCAGTTCCATCCCTACTTCGATTTGCCCGCATCGATTATCTTCTTATTAGCCCTTTCAAGTTTCGACCTCGCCTTCTCATCTAGTAGGTTATACCACGCCCGCATGTGCGCTACATAAGTGATCTCTCTCTCGCCGTATTCGACGGGAGGTCCCTTGATCTGAGGCGGTTCACCATCCTGGTCAAAAATGGCCCAGCTTGACTCGTCATTTGTGCGTAAGCCGAAGCCCTTGCCTTGAAGTGAGATGACCGTGAAGTTGCGAAGGAGTACAACATCACCGGCCTTGACGATTGGCAGCGTTTCTTTGTGCGGTCGATATAACTGTGCTTCCACAACCGAATAGGGGCCGATCGAGTGATCAGTGATAGTAAACGACATCATGAATTCGCGCGGGCCGCCCTTGGCTCTTTGTGGGTCTGGCGGGTACATCATAGCGACAGCAATTATATCTAGCTTCTTTTGAAGATGCTGTCGCAAAACCTTGAGAGGCGTGCAGTCAGGCAATTCATCCCGAAGATGACGCACAAGTTTTAGCTTCGCCGCCGTCATCGAATAGCTTTCTTCATCACCCTGTGAAGATCTAGTTAAAGAAGCTCGAGCTAGTTGTACGCTTGAATCTTCCACACTAGGCGACGAGCGTTCAATAGCAGACATATTTATCTCGTCCGCATGAACAATTTTGGTTGCATCAGGATTCTTCACCCTTCGCTTAGAAGCATATGCAACACGTGCAAGCTGCACACTCGGGTCCGTTTGTGACATTTGCTCAGAGTCAGCCTCTATGTCAGTTGAGTTGGCCCGCCTAGTGTCCCGTCGCTCTTGTATCTGCGTTCCAAGATCTGGAGACGGATCTCTCGAAACGGGACTTTGGCTTTCAAGCTCTGTGTGAACATCATCCTCACTTTGAGCGAGACTACCCTCATATTCATATTCTTCGACCTGGTACTGAGTTCCACGTTCCTCTGCCACCTCAGTATCCGTATCATCATCAAACTCGGAATTTTCCATGATACTGGCTTGTAATTCTTCATCAACCTCCATCTGAGATATAAATGACAGGCTAGCACGAGAAATACTAGTCCCAGTATCAGGTCGGGCATCAGTTCCGGTCTCAAGTTCGATCGTAATCTCAGGAATAGACTCAACGAAACTTGCTGGGACCATTTCCTCAGCGGCAACCTGAGTCTGGAAGGATAAACTCGGCGAAGCAGGCAAGTTGTTCCGTTGTGTGGTATCCTGGGATGGTTCTTCAAGGTGGGTATCTTCTAGTTGAGCTGTGCTGGGTTCCGTAGGCTCCTCGACATTTGTAATGATATCTTCAGCAGCTACCGAAGGTGGTTTTCTGCTGGCCAATTGCTCAGCCACGGGCGACAGCCCTGTCGCATCGTCTACCACATCTGGCTCATCAACATCCATAGAAACAACTGCAACAGAGTCTGATATCGTGATATCACCCATTAATTGTGTATCTTGAGGTGTTGGCAGCTGATCAGCCGGAAGCCGGGATCCCGTAACAGCAATATTCTCTCGTAACACTACATCCATCTTTTTGGAATCCGCAGATAGAGATATGAACGAATGTGTTAACAGAGGGGACGAGGGTGCTGTGGTTTCGGCTCGCCTCTCTTCGTCCACTGCTATAGGCTGCGGGGTTGAAGAAGTAGCTGGTAAAATAGGTACCATATCGACCATATCCTCATCCTCTTGAGAATTTAGGGATTCATATCCTTCTACTTGCCCCTCTAGAGCTTCTGTGCGTTCCGCTAGGGGTTCGTCACTTTTAGATAATATGGTGTCAACAGCATCTTCATCTTGCATATCCCTAGGAGACGTGACATTATTGTTGTTGGATTCACTATCGACCGCCCGACTCAATATTTCGAGTCCGTCAGCGGCCGATTGTGGAATGTTGTTTTCTTGATATTCCACCTTAGTTTCCATGCCCATTAATGCTGCATGACTAGGCTCAGGCGATGTTTTTTCATATGCGGTGAGCTCGTTAGGGCGCGGGGTTTCGGGTGCAGCGGGCATTTGCTGAGAACCCATCTCAATAGACTCCGCCACATCATCGTCTCCAGGAGTAAGCGCTGCTTCTTCAAGCTCTTCCTCGAGTATTCTCTCAACATCTTCATTCTCGCCTCCCGAGGACTCAGAATCCGATTTATCAAATGAATCGACCGAGCCGACGACGTCCTCCCTTTCAATATATTTATCCCCTTCCTCATCTTCTTCATCATTCCTCTCCTCGTTATCCAGGCTATCCTCGTCATCTTCTTCACTTTCACTTTCGATGGGCTGTACAAGTGCTTGCTTTGATATAATTCCTGGCGATGTTGCTGGCCGATTTTGTGATATACTGCTAACGACTGGTCGAGCCGCTTGCCGCGGCTGGGTAGCTTCGTCATCTTCCCCTTCATCCTCCGAGGATGAAATGAGATCAATGACCTGAGGGATAGACTGTGAAACTGGCCGCAGAGGTTTTCGATTCTCCTCATCATTGTCAGTTTCGTACTCGCTTTCATACTCAAGATTTTCAGCGTCCTCATCCTCTTCATCCCAGCTTTCGCCGTCGTCAAACTCGGGTTCTAGTTCGTGTGGTCGCAAGTCTTCATCGTGACTATCATCTTCATCATCGTCTGGTGCGGTATAATTCACTGTATCGTAGTCACCGCCCATTTCGTCGGCATCATATTCAGGTTCATCATCATCCGAATACTCAGCATCCACTTCTTCTTCAGCTTCTACTTCTTCATACATTTCGAGATCATCGACTTGACCGGTCATGACTGTGTCCTCTACAGCAGTCGGCGGTGGTGGTTCGTCGTCTGAATCACTCTCGTCTATGACAACTGCGGTATCGGGAGACTCTCCCTCTGCACTACCCAACCGGCCAGTATGAGGCATCGACGTCGCTTGGGGTGGGTTATTGACCGTAGCCCAAGACGATGATCCTACAATTTCAGCTGCAGGAACGCTAGAATCGAACGAGCCTCGTTCAATATCCATAGTCTCCTCTTGGGAGAATGGGTGATTGTTCTCTAAATAGGAAGGAGGATAATCCATATGTGCCACATGAGGTATCGTTGTACTTTCCTCTTCATCCTCAAGACCTAGCGGCGGGTAGTCCGTGCTATGTAATGTAGCGTGAATTGGGTAGCCTTGCTCATCAGTCGCCGGGCCCTCATTAAGATGGTGCTCACCATGTTCAACAGCAAGGTGATTAGGTTCGTTTGGGGAGTGTGTACGGCTTCTGGGTCTCATTATATCATGCCCCACGGATGTTTCGATCTCGAAGGAATTTGGAAAACCATTAGCTGATGGAGGTTCAGTAGTATGTAGGTAGCCTTCAGGCGGAAGGTTCATAGATGGAGCATTCCATCGCTGAAGGTCATCAGTGACTATGTTAAATCCATCGGCGGCCTGGAATGCAGATAATTCAGGACCACTACTAGGAAGTTCACTGCTAGCCCTGGGTGGTGGGAGTGAAGCAGGTGTCGCGACTGGCCATCCGCTGTGGAAATCCCCTTGAACACCATGATCTACCATTCCTTGTTGGGGATAAGTAACATCTACTCTTGATGTCGACTCCAAGATTAGCTGTGCTTCGTTGTTAATGTTTTCTTGCGTAGGCAAAGGCATTGGTAGGTCAATTTCCATGGTTTGACACCCTTCATCAGTCATATCAGGTCTTGGCGGAGAGCTCACGGTGATCTGAGGTGAGGTAGGTTCAGGACTAGGAGACTGGCTGGTATATTTCCATGCACCGCTTTCACGACCAAATCTTGACCTTTTCCGGCCTCTCCCTCTTACCCCACCATCGTCCTCAAATATGTCGTATCCATCTTCGAATAGGGATCCGTATGACATCCGAGCTCTCTTAACGAAAGCTGGGGATTCGAATTCACCATCTTTGAGCTTCGCAATATACGTTTTGCTAGGTGGCGTGAGAGTTTCGAGTATTTGAACAGGGAGATCTTCTTCGTGAGATATTTCGGTCGGCGGCGTTTCAGCCCGAGGTTGGGGCACTGCGGGAGGAGGACGGTCGACATTGACGAGCTTAGTCTCTCCAGTCTCGGTCAAGATAACCTAGAAAAGATATGAGCAATTGCTAAACCATAAGATGTACACACATATGTAGTCACCTGAAGTATAAGTTTATCTGAGAATTTCAACTGCCAATCAATCCCCGCGCCTAGTAAACTCTGCCGCTTCTTGGTTTGTTCAGGCTCCCACTCAGCTCCATCCAAGCTCACGAGAACTTCATCACCACTACTTAGCCCGCTCTCTCCAGCGGCCTTGGCAGATACACCGTTCAGATTTATACGAACCTGCCCCTTGCTTCTGCGAAGACGATAGTCAGGTTCAGCGAGGATAAAAGCAAATGTGCCTTTAACAGAATTATAGGGCCATGTGATAGTAACCACACCACGCACAGCACAAGATGCCGAGTCTTGTATTTCGGGGGTTAAGTCTGCGATAGCAATCCTGTTCATCGCGCCGAGCTGCTGAAGCGGATTTGACGCGTTCGTAGTGTCCATGACATCGGCATAATTTCGTGGAATCGCAGTCGCGTTGAGTGTTTGTACTATGACGTGGGATGGAAAATTCGAGCACGGCGCATTTGTACGAAGGGTGCAGTTATGATATAAGGATTATAATCTAATATTAAGTACTTTCTGGCTTGCTATTCCCAAGGCTATAGTATCAACCTTTTCTAAAATAAGAAGGTGGGAGTATTGTGGATGATATGTATTAAACTTGAGCTTGCACAGATGAAAACGTTAAGTTGAAGCTTCCAAATTCACCTCTAGCTGAGGTAGCTGCCAAGAGTCCTTAACGCGCCTCAAGTTATTAGCCACAGATAATAATAAAGTGGGGTGTTTCCGATAAGAGGTTAACCCCTACTTATCATTCCAGCAATTCCAACAATTCAAAAGATTCTTTTCGCATTCCATCCACCAACACTATAATATCACCCAAAACGGACGAGCTTGAAAGACTAAACCGTATCTCTCATAGAAGCATCTTTTGAGGAAATAGAATGAATCGAAGATAATATAGGTATTCACAAATCAACTCCCGCAAGAACAACAGCGAAGAAATAGGAGTGTTTGTTTGAGTTTATCGTCATCTACCTTAAGGTAGACAAGTAAAAGTCAACCATTGTTCAATCTAACTAACTTGATTCCAAAACACCGATCTTAAGAATCATCTATATCCAATTCACTTCAAATTCTCTCATTTTCAGTCTAGCTATAAGTAATAGTCCAATTACCAGGGAGCTGGTTGAGCCCTATCCATAGATATACGGTTAGTACACCCACATCAAGTATATCGAGAACTATAATCATCGACTTACATCCATCGTACTTCTCTGGAATGGTCTGATTAAGTGTGCACCGCATCGCGTCATCGGAAGTCTGCGATTTAAGCTGTGCGCAGCGATCGTTGCTACAACGAGCATCTAATGCTCTCTGGAGAGCATCGTCCTTCCAGCCGAAGAGGTAGTCACCGTGTTGGCCGTAACCGGAACTAGAGGCTATCAGCCATCATTCCAACTACTCTTCATCACATTCTCTCGAAAGAGTTCAGAAACTCACCCATCTCCCATACTATAGACCAGGGGCTGAGACCCATCCTCAGGCCACAAATCCGGGTCATTAAAGGGTCGTGTCTATGAATCATCCGGATTAGCAAACGAGCTAGGTCACCGTGGCTCTAAATATCGACCCCGTCTGAAACTTGTAGCCCCCGAAAGCATCTAACCTAGATAGAAACGATAGTACTTACATCCCATATAACTTCATACCTAAGCTCACATTTTTTCTGTTAGCAGCCAATCTTGATCCCGAAGAGGAAAAAGGTGAGAGAAATAGTTACATCAACTGTGGGAGCTTGACGGGATGACTGGCCGGGCAAGGGCCGCCGCTCTCGAAAGATCCGGTCTCGGGGTATGCAACGTGACTCTTATGGTCAGGCGAGTCGACATTAACGCCGTCCCAGCATGTAGGGAAGGTAATCGTTGTGCGAATACCGCCGTTGCACATCCCAGGGGGGAGGGATGCTGTATCGTCGCCTGTGCAAGGTGCGCCGCCAAATGGCACCTGGTTAATCGTGCTGAAGCACCGGTGGCAAATCTGTCGCTGCTGGCCTTCAGCTTGTCGTAGCATCGGGTCCCCAACCAGCATACGGAACCCCTGCGTAAAACACTCCTGTCAGCGGATTTAATCCAAGACAGGGAGGGGTACATGAGTGTTCTCAGATCTCATGGCTTGGGTTGGGTACTCACCGGCTTGAATGCAGTAACATTAGTCTTGCCATCATACGGCGGGATATAATACACGGTTAAACCCCCGTCAGCTTTCAAGCCCATATTCACCAGTTGTGGTACGCGTTTCAAGGTCCCATTACGAGCTCTGAAGAACAAGTTGGCAGTCCAGTAGTTCGAAAAGTCCTCGGCAAAGGTACACGAAGTACAAGTCGACTCCTTCACGGGATCGAAATCGACGGGTGGCATAGACGCTCGAAACGAGTTTCCGCCGCCGACCTGATGCATATGCGGTGACTGTTCCATACCTGGCGAGACCAGCGGGTCTAAACGCTCGATAGTCAGCTTCGAGCACGAGAATCGCAGCATCTGTTGCGCATATACGACATCATGTGCTGCCAGGAGCGCTGCCAAAGCAGCAAGAGAGCGCCATTGCATATTTTCTTCTCTTTTCCTTTTGATGTTAAAATTGAGGTAGAAAGAAAACTAGATGGTGCAGCAAACAGATTGGTACGTCTATATATCAAACCCGGGGCGACTACCTGAGGAAGTGTACCTCAAGACGATTAGGCCTTCTCACCTCCATAATGATCTCGGCCAAGTCACGGCAGCAGCGTAGGAACCTAGTAGTCTTGATACAGAAGCGGTTCGCAAGAGGAACTGCCGTAGATGAAAAATTACCGGGTAATTTGTTTGATAAGCTGGGGGAAGGGTTATATTCTCCAAAGTAATTGCCTCCGGTCTTTTGATTGGATAATGAGTAGGTGAGATTCGGCATGCCCATACGCTCCCCAGGCCAGTCATGTTATATTATCCGTGGCTTGGTTGTAAGCAAGCCACCTTGTCCTCAGTATAGGGGCTGGGTTTCTCCCGATCGGAATACCTAGTACCATCTCGCATAGCAAGGTAGGTAGTTTGAACTACATGTCACAATCACACCAAAGCACAGCCACGATCATTGTATAGATGATTCGGAGCTGAAAACAAACACGAGGCGATGCTACGCCAATGGCGCGTTTGTGCTAGGCCAACGCCTACGCTATCCCTAGGTAGTGATGCGGCTGAGACTTGGCAGCATCACATAGTCGTTACAAGTTTAAATATGAAAGACCACTTGCGACATTTTGATTCTCTACTAAGTATCTAAAGAACTAACATTTAAAATTATGACTACACTTTGAAATATAGTTATAGCCTCTCCACATTGGCCCGTCAACGTCGTTGCGTTTCCAACGTATAATGATATGACTACGTCGGACTAGATTACTACTTTAGTGTTACTATTTACAACTCCAAAATGCTAAATATATTCAGTTCCACCAAAGATATTACTAAGGGCGTGCGATTAGCAGCCGATACCGCGTTTTGGGTTGGGAATGCTGTCTCGCGGCGTGCAAAAGGACGCAAGACAGGTATTTGTCTCGTCTGCAATAACCTACAGCCTTACGGGCACGAAGATACATTCGGTCGACCCAGCACCGCATGGGATCAGCTTAGAGACCCCCAGCGGGCTACTCGCAAAAAGGAGCTTGGCTCCGTTCCTACTCTTGTGCTAGAAAAGATATCAACGAAGAAGATTTTAGAGAGTCGTGAAGTCGATCCCCAGACTGGTCGTCCTAAGAACGATTGCAAGTACTGTCGACTCCTCTGCGAAATATTTGACGCGTATTTCATCGACAAGTGGATGAGCTGGATTACGGAGACCAAAAATGCTATGCCGATACAGGTCGGTCTTATGATCAGAGAGGGGACACCTTTGATAATTAACTGCTGGAACTTCACGTACGACAAATGGTTTCAGAATCCGAGGGTAGATCTGGAGTTGTACATGGACCCTATGCCTCCATCTCCTATACCGGGAGCCCCTGCAATGGGGCCAGTAGGTTTTCGTGCAGCAGATGTCCGGTCTGAGGAATGCATAAGGTTTATGAAGGAAAGCATTGATGAATGCTGCAGAGAGCATCCTGGGTGTGCCACGCACCCCAATGGCTTTATTCCAACAAGGTTAATATACGTTGGTGAAGGGAAGAACGCGCTCAGACTCTGCGATAATATTCCATCAGGGGGGGATATTACGTGGGCAGCGTTAAGTCATTGTTGGGGTGGTGGCAAGCCACTATCATTGACAAAGTCGGTTCTGAGTAGCCTGAAAGAGCGCATTGATTTCTCAGAGTTACCGCCTACATTTCAGGATGCAATCACTGTTACTCAAAAGCTTGGATTAGCATATGTTTGGATAGATTCCCTTTGTATTGTCCAAGACGACAAGACAGATTGGGAGAAGGAGGCAGCTCTCATGGGCGAGGTATACAGCCGCGCGTTTATTGTTATCAGTGGTGCCTCTTCACCCAATCCTAGTACGCCATACTTACGGCCTCGAGAAGAAGAATGGCTTCCGAAGCAATTCAATTTTCCTATCGCACCCGGTGCTAATATACCAATCATGGTCCGGCAGCGACATCTCCTAGCAGCGCCACTTGACCAGGGGTTACTCGAACCGCCTTTCACGGGTTCATGGGCCACGTTGAAGAAAGTTGGTCCCCTTTATGCGCGGGGATGGTGCTTTCAGGAATCGTTCCTCGCGCCACGAATCCTCAACTTCGCTCCAGGTGCTATCATATACGAATGTCAGACGCATCGGAAGAGCGAGGATCAACTACCTCCTTATCCGTCTACAGTCCCTGGCTCATTAGGCGAAGTAACCCCCTTGGAACAGTGGCACATGATTGTCAAATCATACACGTCGCGCCAATTAACATTCACCAGTGATAAGCTCCCGGCTATAGCCGGCGCTGCTACTATCATGCCGCAGGTGAAGACCAGCAAATATCTTGCTGGCCTATGGAGCGAGTCTCTGCTTTTAGATCTTCTTGTACGTACTTCCAAGAACTTCCCAACAAAATAGGGAAATATCACTCCAGTGAAATACCCGATGCCCCTAAGCTACTTGTTTATTAAAAAGTGCAACTGCTGACCTATTTTTAAAGTGGCAAATAATGCCAGGCCGCGCACATCTACCACTAATGACGAAGGAGCACGAAGAGAATGCGCCAACATGGTCATGGGCTTCGATGAACTGGGGCGTGACTTGGAACCGAATGCAAGATCCGCAGCTTCTAGCCTCTGTGGTCGATGCTCAGGCAAATGTAGTAGGGGCTAATCCTTACGGGCAAGTATCAGGGGGCACTATCACTCTCCGAGGCAGAATTAAGTATTGTCGACTTTCGGCCGATTACCATAAGAACGAGCACTGGGTTTACTACCAAAAAGGCGACGGTGCTTACAGCCGAAAGCAGCACTTCCGAACTGATGGCGCTTTGGAATCATGGGTTGCACCTGGACATACCGACCCCTTTGCCTGCCGGTCGCGAGCCACAACATCTGGAAAAGCGTTGGAGACGGGAGCAGCGTTTTTCTGTGTTGCAAAATGTCACTGGATGAGGAGTGATCACATGGGTTTGATATTGGGCATGTCACAGAGGGTTCCTGGGTATATGGAGAGGGTAGGAAGTATCTCTAATGTGCCCAAGGATTGGTACGACACTGGCGTAGACGCCACAATAACTGTAGTGTAATGATAAGCCAGCCCGTGATGGGTATAACGTTGAGGGTGGAAGTGTACTTAGACTATGAGGAGATAGAGGCTGGCATGTTCTGAAGCTGGGATTCATGCTCAACTCTTCTCCATGACCAGCCGCAGCAAGCCATCAGATAACTCTGTATACTGGTAAACAGGGTAAGAAGCAAAAGAGAAGACATCCACCAATCTCAGTACAACACCCCTATACTATTGCAGAATAAGTTGGCAAAGGTATACGTCTGCATTGATATTCTAGTAATTTAGATTTATTAATCGTTGAGGAAAGTCACATATACCCGAGTGGCTTCCAGTTGTGTAGCTTTACCTACCTGTGTATGTCGTCTTGGCAATATATAATAGAACGTGGCGGCCTATTAGAGAATCTCGATCAAACCCCTTTATGCCATAATTCAGGATTCGCGCGCGCACACACACACACACACATCGTGTCTAAATAACAGGACAGTCATGATCACGCCATTACGAATATTCTATTTCTCTCGACTGTATATTTCTATAAATCTTTGCACGTATCTATCTCTCATTCAGAAACTATTCTACGCAATCTTAATTGAGACGGCATCACGTTCTTACCAATACAGCATTATGGCTAGCAACGTTTGGTTCATCGCAGGAGCAAGCTGTGGCTTTGGCCGTGCTATCTGCCTCGAAGCTTTGAAACGAGGTGACAAAGTAGTTGCCACGTCCCGTAATCTATCCAAGATGGCAGACCTCGAGGAAGCCGGTGCCTTAGTCCTGGCTCTGGATGTGACTTCCGATGATACGACTATCCAAGCCGCGTTCCAGAAGGCCATCGATACCTACGGAAAGATCACACACTGTATCAACCCGGTAGGGTATATCTTAGAAGGCTCTGCTGAAGAAGCTTCGTAAGTTGAGGTCCTTCTCCGTATGCCGATTTGTGAGAAGTAAGCTACCGACCCGCTGATATTTGTATATAGGACCCAGGAAGTATTCAATCAGTTCAACACCAATGTCCTCGGCGTCATGAAAATAACACGCCACGCGCTCTACCACATGCGCCCTCGCCGACAAGGCGTAATCGCCAACTTCGGCAGTCTGGTCAACTGGCAAGGCATTCCCGGCGCAATCTACTATTCCTCGACCAAGTCTGCCGTGACCGGGTTCACGGAGACGATGCACCGGGAGGTCAGCCCGTTCGGGATTTCAGCCGTCATCATCGAGCCTGGATTCTTCCGGACAGAAATTTTCGAAGACGGCGGTAGCAATCGTATCCGCGTTGCGAAGCCCTTGACGGATGAATACAAGAACACGCCTGTGGACGAGACGCGGAACCATTTCAATATCCTCCACAAGCACCAGCCCGGCGACGTTGTTAAGGGCGCCAAGGTCATTGTTGACGTGTTGACGCAGACGGGAGTCGCAGAGGGTAAGAAGATCCCTCCGAGACTCGTACTCGGCCGCGATACATTCGAAGCCATCAAGGATAAGATTCACAGCATCGAGGTATTGATTAAGGAGTGGGAGGATATCATTGTCAGCACAGATCACGACGATATCAAGAAATGAAAATGGCGTCGTGATCCTATAGCCTACTAACAGGTAACTAACCCTGCTTCTGGGTAGTCTACAAACATAGAGAGTTGCCAAGACTCGGATCTAATTAACTAGCAATACTTATACTTACCTTCAACCTATATCTAAAATATCCTGTCGTGTATCCCTTGTGCATATGCCGAATGACACATCATAGTTATCCCCGCAGTCTAGATGCAGAATAATCCCTGAACCGTGGTTTTGGTATTAGCGTAGGCACCTACCCGGCCTGCCGGGACGTGATAACCAAAGCTTAACTTCCAGAAACGGCAAAACTTGTCTCCACACGGACCCGACACCGATAGAGTGCCGGATATTGCCCGATTATGTAGATGCTAATTCCCGTGTCTACCTCTCTTAAATAATAGAACACTTGAATATTAATTCGGTATTAACAAAGTCTCCCCAAACTTATCAATCTCCTAATTATAAACTATTATACTAGCCAAGAAAGCTATCCACTGTCAGACAGAGCAAAGCGATAAAATATGGGATTGATATCATTATATTTCGCCTGTCTAGAGCGTAACATACCACTCCTTTATACAGCACTCCACGAAGCTATCTGAGTGTATCCTTAGGATCCACGCTACCAATGCTATAAACGCGTGAGCAACAATGCCGAGCCTCTAGCTAGTGAATGAGGCTGCTCCTACACATGATGGGAACCTCCATACCACGAATGATGCCCCAAAGTCAATCCCATACCAGAGGATCCTTCTGCCTAGTTTTTGTACACGCCCACCTCTTCGATAGGTGCCATGGAGTTATATCTTTCGAAATATATAATCCATTATCCCCCGTTGTGGAACTCTAGTCTACACACCTCTGCTATGGTTTCTTCACCATCTATGCTGTAATTGTTCGACTTTTCTTCTGTAGAAGATAATGGTCTGTCCTACCCTAGTGTCGTCTCGCTCGCTACGGGCTCGCCAGACTGTACAACATTAGAGCTTGAAGCTCGACCTAGTGTAGGCGGTTGCCCGTCAATATGCGGACGTTTGCTGTCTCGTTGGGACTCGTGGGTTGACGGCGGCCGTTTCTTATCCTTATCACGGCTGCTACCTTCTTTAGCAGCACGCCGTGCGTCTCGCTCCTGCTTCTCCTTCTCCCGACGTAGTGCCTTCGACTCAAACTCGTGCCATTCACCCTCCAGATCACGTAGTCTATAAAAAGTTAGCATACGATAAATGAGTAGGGAGAATGAATACATACTCGATAGCTTGCCTTGCAGGCGGCTGCTCCGTCGTGAAGTAGGGATGCTCCAAAACTTCTGCCGCAGACGGACGTTTCACTGGATCATACTGAAACATGGCAGCAAGAAGTTCGAAGGCAGCTGCTGGCACTCGTTCCTTGTATTTTTCAGCAAAGACATTAGGTCGTCGAAATCCAGGCCTCAGTAACTCAAACCAGGGCATGTCGACAAGCGCAGGCCAATCATTCTTATTCGGCGTACCGAGCACGGCATATATCTTCTCCAGCTGGTTGATCTCACCACCATCTCCAGGAAAGATGGCATGACGTGTGAAAATTTCCACCATGACACAGGCTGCACTCCAGATATCCACGGCGGCACCATACTGCGTCTCGCCAAGTAATAGCTCGGGAGATCTGTACCAAATAGTGATAACTCGGTTCGTGTAGTCGAGTTGGTGGCGTTTTGCGTAGAAACGAGCCAGGCCAAAGTCTGCTAGTTTTAAGACCCCGTCGCTACTAACAAGGATGTTAGCTGCCTTTATATCGCGGTGCAACACTCCTCGTTTGTGCAGATAGTCTAGGCCTTCAAATATCTGTAGAGCAAGGTGCTTCTTTTGTGCCGCATCAAGTTTGTACGATGGATGGTTTAACAAGCCCGTAAGGTCGTGAGACATATACTCAAAAACCATGAAACAATCGTTCTTCTCAACCATAACTTCCTGTAATGTGACAATATTTCGATGTTTCAGGGACTGGAGAAGCTTGATTTCTCGCACCGCGGTAACCGGAAACCCATCTCTTTCTCCTTCCATGCGTATCTTTTTCAGAGCAACAAGCCTCTTAGTATATACGTGGAGGCCCTTGAAGACTTTGCCATATGTACCCGATCCTACAACTGACTCGTTGCCAGGTTTTCTAAAGAACACCGAATCTGACGCAGCAAGGTCGGTTGGTAATTCGGGCTTCAGTTTCAGTCTTCGTTGTATTCTCTTTACCTTCCGCGTCCTTGGTAATTCGGGGGGGGCTCTATTAGCATGATAATCCGACCTTGCTCTTGCAGAAGCAGGCTCTCTTGGAGTATCTCGAGGTAAGTCCCGGTCCCGGTCACGATCGCGCTCACGCTGCCTCTCACGCTCCCTCTCACGCTCCCGTTCCCGTTCCCGTTCTCGTTCACGTTCCCATTCGCGCTCTCTATCACGCTCACGCTCTCGCTCGCGGTCACGGTCACGGTCTCGGTCACGGTCTCGATCATCAACATGTGGAGGTGGCTCCTTTTTAGAGGCCGTGTTGAACTTTTGAGAGATTTCTGGCTTTGGGGTCGCAACCGGTGTTTTATTCGTTGCCTTAAAGGCAAAGCTGAATTTCGAACTTGCAGGACCCGTCGGGGCTGAGGGAGGGGGTCGAGGCGGAGGCATCTGCTCATTAGTATTTTTCTCCGACAACAAATCTTCATTGTGGGTTTTTGATGCTCTGGATGTATCCTTGTCCTCATCATCTCTCTCTTCCTTTGCTCCAGCTAGGTCTGGATGGTTTGACGTCGAATGCTGTGGACTATGATGATGTTGAGGGGTATTCTCTCTGGAATGGCTGGGAATGCCTCTACCAACGCCTGATCGCTGAGCATTTTGAGCACCTCCCACATTCCGATAATTACCTCGAGCGGGGTGTGAGCTACCCCGAAAGCCCCCTCTGGAAAAATTACGGTTGTGAGGGTAAGATTGAGACATAGGCCCGGTAGGCGGCTGAGGTGACTGGCCTGAGGCGTGGTGACCTGAGGGGCCGGTAGGAGGTCCATGACTACTTCGAGGACGCTGCGCAGAATACTGACTAGATTTGTGATGGTGAGTAAATGATTTGAACCTATAGGGATTTAGTTGAGCATACCTATGGGGTGAGCCTTGGCGTTGATTACTCCAAGCCGCTCTAGCACTGCCATATGGTGATTGTGATGTCGGGGAATCATGGAAAGATGAACCCGAGTTGGGGCGCAATGGCGAACGGGCTGAGTGAGTAGGTCGACGGTCGTTATACTGGGCATTTCCGGGGCGAGTAGGAGGCACTTGTGTATTAGAAGGGCCTCGGTGCTCTAACCGCCTAGACATATTGACTTCGATACTGTTCGCACCGGACGCTAACTGACCTCCAAGAGGGAATTTAGAATCTTCACGATGCTTGCCCTTCTTGCGAGAACGACGAGACCCGCGCTCTCTAGGTGACCTGGGCGGAAAATCAGGCCTAGGGGGTTCAAAAGCAGGAGATGACCGACGTGATCGTGAGCCGGCTTCCGATGAACCGTGATGCTGTCGATCAAGTGGACGGGGTGGTGAATGTGTGCGTGAGAAAGATGATCGCCGGGAACTGGAATGCTGAGAACGACTGCGACCTCGATTTTGGGAGTCTCCTCGTGGATGAGGCGGAGGAAGAGAAGTGTCCTGTTCGGAATTATCTTCTCGAGCCGGCGAACGACTATGATGATGATTTCGACGCGGCTCGGGTAGTTCGCTACGGTCGGTACGCCTAGAATGAGACTCGTTGTCGTAAAGGGGTGAAAGAGAACGTCTACGAGATGATGCAGGGATTGAACTTTTCGGCTGATCCCTCTCTACCCTCTCTATCCTCTCCGCCCGTTCAGCGCGACGTCGGCGGTCCCGTTCACGCTCGCGCCGAGATTTCTTAGGCCGCGAAGGTGGAAAAGGAAGCGGGCTCCGGCTTCTCCGTCTTTTTCTGGACGTTGGCGAAAAGGATCGGCCCCTAGCACCGTGACTCGCGTAATCGTTGTTTCTCGGGCCGTGTCTAGGAGACGTAGGTATATTGCGGTGCCTACTTTGGTCCCGCAAAGGGCGATCCTTGACCTCACGAGAGCTATCGTCCTCTAAGTTCCTACTTCGATCTTGCGATCGGCCACGCTGATTTACATCGGACTTGTAAGACCTGTCGTTCTGCCGCGGAAATGGCTCGTCGCGAGTATTCCCGGTCCTGACACTGTAGCCTTCTCGGCGTCGGGAAGCGGGTGACTGAGATCGCGATGCAGGTGGCCTAGAGTGGGAATTGATAACTGAGACTCGACGGTCTGAATCAAATCTATCTCGATCCCTGCGATCGCGAACGCGGTCGTGGTCGTCGTTGTCGTAACCTTTGTTGCTCTGATCGTGTTTCATCGCAACATCTCGAGAATGGATCTTAGATCCAAATTTGTTGTTTGGAGCTGAAGCTGGCGGTGGTGATTGAGGATCAGGCCTACTGGGGTGTCGATGCATTACTGGATCCATGTCGGCATCTCTCATTTTAGCACTAACTGACTGCATTGATTAGTGCCAATGCCAGTGACAGAGTACCGCTAAACCAATGCCAGCCCGCTGAGGTCAGAAGAGAAAGGACGGTAAAATTATGTCGCCGAAAGACATGGGTCAGGCCACCTCAGCAGCCTCAGTTACTGAGAAAGATGGCTGATAAGTGGTCGATAAAACATGCGCTGGTACCTTTTTTTTTCTTCTTTACCCTTGTCTGCCCCGCAAAGACAATATTGGATGCGATCTTTGGGGAAATAGATGATAGAGAGGAGGGTAAGGATGGAAGTATTGAGGAATGTCGAGATTTGGGTGGTATGACAGATTTGATAACAATAAAAAATGATTGCAAGTGGCCTGGTCTTTGCATGTAGTTTCAATGTCGGAAAAAGTATAATGTTGTAAATGAACCGCGGTGCTTTGAAGGTTTTCCCCGTCCAAGATTTCTGGGTCGCGAAGCTTTGGCGTTTCCGCCCCGGGAGCCTTGCGGCACAATTGTCACCTAGCCTAACCCAAGCGAACTGGGGCACAGGCACAGGCTCAGGCTCAGGCTCAGAAAAGGGTACTTGTTAGTACTGTTGAGCGTACCTTTTATCACCACTATTACCACCGCCACCACCCAGACCGCTGATGTCCGAGGGGTAGAAATTTGTCAACTCTTAGATCAAAGATCCAATTTTAGTCCAGCCCCAATTTTAAGCAGTGGACAAAGGATATCAGCGTGCAGGTTGCCGCAAGAGCAGCACACTCGAGTAAAAAAAATGAGGTCTCGAGTGTTTTGATCGAGACTGATCAAACACCTAACCTAGAAATGTCTCAGCACTTCCAGGCTTTAGTGACTAGCCTAGTAAGAGTGACCAGGCAAGTCAAGCAGCAAGACAAACCAGGACAATGCTATCTACGATGATGTGTGCACTCTAAATATCATCCCACCCTTCAAACCATACCTTAGGTACCTGTTATCCTTTTTTGTCGCTATTCCAATTCCCCGCCCAACATAAACAACCAATATATTGTCAGACACGACACAACTCTTATAACCTAGCTGTCTGTATACCAGATCCCTGCGATATCCTAAGGACAGCCTTTGTATCTTTGTCGTCCACCGATTCTGTTGCCTGTAAGGCTCTGTCGTAACTTGACGTCGTCTTAGGACGGAACTAAAGCTAGATCCCTCTCCAGTGAAATTAACAGTGAAGAATTATTGAGAAGTCGTTTATTGAGCTGCTCAAACAGACGGTCGACCTGGGTTTCGTCGACATCTGCTTGAACAAGACGTAGTTGGAACCAAATCGAAAGGTCCCAAATCAAGCCGTAGGATGACTTTCTTCTCTGTGCCATTATTGCTTTGTCAATATGCAAATACCACATAACAGGGAATTACCACCGAGAGCCCAGTTCTTTCCATGTAATATGCAAGTCTGATATAGACATCGACACAAGAATCCAGACGTGAAGAAATATAGAACTATCTAATACTTCTGGAAAGTAGTAGCAAACCCAAATTAGGTTACGGAACAATAGGTATTTTGGTCTCTCATATCTAAATGAAGACTAATTAGATGGCTTCATTGAAATATAGAGCTGCCACGATAAAGGTCGGTAGAGCCAGATGTTGGCAAAGCATGGCATCATTACGCCTGCAAGTAATTTGACTACATCCAGTTAAAGTAGTAGAGAGCCTTCAATTTCTTAGAGGGTTTAGGAGTGTTATAGTCTGGCGGACTGGTGGATATTATTCCCTCTGCCGGGTATCGATGGTCAAGACATAAAAGGGCTTGTGGCAACCTGCATTGCGCAGAGCCCCACGGAAATGCCCACCATGCTGAATAGGAGGTAGATATTTTCCCCTTCATCTAGACAGGCATGGGTCCGACGCTGATAAAAGATCGTGAATTGAACTAGTTGAATGGGAACAACTGTGGGAGACGAAAACTCTCAAGCGAATTTCGATAGGTATGGCAGAAATATGCTAGGAAGGAAATTCGCTACTCCGAATTTCCGGCAAAGGTTTCTATCTCAGAACATGTTGCAAGAGAGGCAAGTGTCGAGAGAAGGCATATAGGTAATGGTAGGTCCGTGGTTGGCGATTCGGTCGGACCCACGGTCGCATACGGACATTCATGAGGTCAAAACGTTGCTGATAATAAGCAAAAGATGGCAGAATATTTCATCCATATCTAAGAAGATACAGTGAGACAAGATTTAACAAATAAATGCTATAGGCGTAGTGACGATTGATTTCTAGGAAGAACATCGTCATTTGTAAAGGTGTGGTGTGGTGTGTTGTCAACTTGGAACATTGAATTTGGAGAAAGCGGGATTCAGTAAAGAAAGCCTAATGCACCGTGTAAATCTATAGCTTGTATTGCTTATCATACTGTATGAGCAAATTATGTAATTCACCTAGCCTAGCAAAGTCTACATAATTGTTACTTTAGTTAGTTAGTTATATGTAACTAAGGTAACTACGATGTCAATTCTTTACATCATAATTCATATCCACCGTTAACATCATTCCAATAGTATATTGTGAATATGACATAATAAGAAATAATTCGACGTGTGAAAGATATCCTTTCTCTAACCTCTCTCCTATTCAACCTCCGAAACTATACCATGCTCATCAATCTAGATATGATTGGTCCCTCTAACTAGACAATGCACTATCGAAGAAATGCCACCATTCCCGTGTTTTCCGTACTACAACATTAATAAGCTTGGTAATTCGCGTCTAATCGTGATCCTCATCATCTCGGATCGACATCATTCCTACCAACCAAGTCCAGTCTCAAGAGCCCAGCCCAAGGTTCACATGCTTAAATCTGCTTGGACACATGGAAGCTACCCCGCGACCTACCCAGGAGTGATAGGAGTCCGGATGGCATCCTATTCTCCTGGTACCCATGCAATTACTAGTACTATCACTAAGCACGGCAGTATACTATGCCTTGATAGTTTTCATGCCATAAACCTACCTAACCTAGACTTTAGATATATTATTACATAAAATCGAGTCTTCTTAAGCCGAGTCTATACTCATATCATAACGAATCTAGTAAAAATAGTTCAATGTTTTATTATTAACTATATCGTTGGTAGGGATTGGATTTCATCGAGTCAGCTATATTCTTCTAGAGATGGGCGACACGCCGACTAATCAACTTCATAAATCCCCGTCAAAGTTGGGTCACTGGTCTTAATATAGACCTAGAAGTTTCCTCTCGCAGAATTTTCAACTCATGTTGGTTCGTCTGAACAATTATCGGCCAAACCCCACGCGTCAGCCGTTTCTTGTATCACACCCGCAGCAATTCGCACAAGGGGTTCCCATCGCCCCCATAGTCCAAGCTGACTATCTCTTACGAACAGCGCTTCAGACTCCAACCAGTCTCTAAGGAAGGGGGGTATAGGGTTAGATTATACTTTAAGTTAGATCTTGATGTCACCATTATGATCGGCCATTAAGTCGGACACGATCATATCACCTCTATTTCCATCAGGGTATAGATCAGTACCTAATGTATAACGTACACTACAGGTTACCAAAGCAAACTAGCACCTACTTACGACATGATGAAGTTAGCCAAGAAGAAGCTGCGAGGGTGAGGTACTATTTCCCTCTCATGCTACCGATAGGCCCTGGATTTATGTATGGGCTAGGGACCAGGGGTCTGCTTTGTTAGATTGTAACACGATCTTTCGATTTTATCCTCACCAGTAGAAGCTATTCAGAAATCCGCAGACCCGCCATGGTAAGCTTATCTATCACGCCCAGAAACGAGCGAAGAAACATCTAGCAGCGCGTATTTCAGGAGTCTTTTGTATATTATATGAAAGCTCCAAGTAAGATTAGTGGGCGATACGAGGAGTTTAGAACCTAAAGACATCTGCGTGGTATCAAATCCTTCGATAGTCCACCGATAAGGTCCAGAAGTTGAAGTTGAAGTCAGAAAACATGTTACAGGGGTGCGTCTGGCTTATGTGCGGAATGGTTGACCCCTGGCCGCGGCAACTCCCAGACTAATCTTGATTGGGCTTCAGTCTCCCCTAATGAGGCTTAAGCGACCCTCAAGTGGCCCGAGCCCCAACCTCATTGCGATAATTTAGCGAGACGACAAGGGACGCCGAAACCACTACGCGTTCCATCTCTGCCTCATCTACTCTTACTGCTTAATGCTTTCTGACAGCAGCGCCTTGGTCCTAGCCATAGCGGGTCGTCTCTCTACCTGGGTACATACACCATTATCATGGCAGCATGGTTGCGGATTCTTCGAGAACGGGCCAACCTAGCTCGAATTGGTATTGCCCGTGTACTCGGACCCTAGGAAGTTCATAGGATCTCGTCCGAAAGGTACTTGCATTGTTCATTTTGGATGAATCGATATGGCCAGTAGGCAGCCTCACCAGTGTGGGCTCTCGCCGCCATCGGTCAGTTGTGGCCAATCGCGAGTGTTTCTATTTCCCAGCTTGGACTGTGCAAGCACTAAGACAGTGACGGTACCCTTGATCGATCTTGCAGAACGAGCCGTTAGTCGAACACGGACATAGGCTGGCCCGCGCGGAACTGCTACCCTCGGAGTAGTCCTCGAGGTGCCTGTCTCTTATTATCGATTTCTTCTATGCATTCTTCTCATTTTGCCATCTCCTCTGGAGGAGACTTGTGGCCAAGTGCACGTTCTTCACTTCACCGGTCTACACTCGTCTGTGACCGTCACCATCTTTTAGTTTCCCTTCGTTCAGGCTTGACCTGATAACTGCTGGTTCAGGATTTTTTTCCTAATTTCACGAGCTGGCTCTTTGTATAGCATATTTTTATGTTTGCTTTGCATCCCGTTGTCTTTTCATCCTCCTGTTCGTTAACGAACGGCACACTGTAATATCGAACACGATCCGGGCATATTTTCTAGTTAGATGACTTGACTACAACGACAGGCGACTCTTTGGCCCGAAGCCCTCGCCTGATATCAACCAAACTTGGGCATAAGCCATGTTAGACAATATGGATAACTTTCACGGGTTCAGTAATATGGGCAACGACTGGCAGGGAAATATGAGTTCATTAGGCTATCCAAATGGATTCTCACAAGCTGCCTTTAGCAGCAACTCGACATTTGGTGTCATTAATCAGTTCAAGATCATGGCCGCAAGTTCGATACGGCAATCAACAATCATCCTCGCCGCTTTCAATACCGTATCGGCTTTTGCGACGGCAGCTGGTATTTATTATGACTGCTACACAACAGCGAAACGATCAAATCTAGAAGGCAAGCAGAGGTGAGTTAACATAGCCCCAAAAACAGACAACAAATGTAGTGCTTACGACGATTATAAGAGTCAATATTTTCCGCTGTGTTCAAGGGCCTGTGACATACCCCTTCATGTTATCTTTGGGGATCACAATCCAAGGCATTATATTTGCCGTCTCTCAGTCATATGGCTTAAACGATATATTCCTACGCGGGTGCTCTTTGATATCGCAATTCATGTGGCCTGGTATGTAGTACTCGATATGATCAGAACATCCATAAGACACCGTACTAAACAATTATTCAGCGATTTTCATTGTACCTTATATGCAGCTAGTCTTCGGATTAGAAGTTACCATTCGAGCTCTCAGGAGCAGACCGTTTCTCCCGAGAACCAAGTGGAATGTTCCGATCTGTCTCGCCGTGGTCGGGGTCCTCTTATTAACCACCGGTTTGGTCGGCCACTTCATCCGGCCTCCCACTTTCTGTTTTGCTTCACTCTTCTGGTTTGTAGCAAGATGGGCCGAAGGCGGTTTTGTGGTACTGCTCATTATCGCGGTCACTTTAGTGATCTGTACCATCATCATCATCTTGAAATTAACAAGGTATTCGACAATCGATGAGTCTGAGCGGATCAGCGCTTCTAGGATGGTGTACTTCCTTGCTTTAGCAGTTGTATCTAATGTAAGCACTTGACGTTTTACCATCAAGGTATACACGTGCTAACAATATATAGGCTTTAATCGTCCCGTTCTTCGTATCCCTCACTTTTGCGAATCCTATGGAGGATAGTGGTGGTTCCGGGTTAACATTATCCATGATTGCAACTGTCGTGGCTAACGTTTCGGGGCTCACAACCGGAGGCCTCCATATGTTTCTTCGATCCAACGCCATTGCTACGATCGGTTCCAGCAGCAAACTGGCTGAATACGAGCGCCAGAAGTTGAAAAATCAATATGAATCCGGAGCAGCAACCAGCATGGACTTTAACGGTCACATACTCAAGCCAGTATCGGGCCCCGGATCTTTCTCGAAGGCAGAAAGTCAGGTGCACCTTGTGGATGAGGAGAGCGATGCCATGGAACGTGGTGAGGGCTCGTATTCTATAGATTCGCCGATGTACAGTCCGATGAAACCAAATCCCCTAAGGTCCAATGCGGTATTGGAGACCCCGAACTTTTCTTTTCCGCGAGCCCCAGAGCCCGTTCAAGTACCTAACACTCCTTCAGCCAATTCACACAACCGAAAACCATCAGCATCTTACACACTCTTTCCCAACAAAAACCAAAACACCGCCTCGGTTGCATTATTACCATCAACTGCCTACAATCCTAACCCCCAGCCAAGTTTTGCCGTGAATGGGCTTCCTCCTGACGATTTGGATGTTCTACTTCAACCACCCCCGTCAATCCGAACTTCCTGGGGTGCCCATACTCGAAACTCCTCCATGAGCTCATCCACAACGGTCCAAATAGGTATACGTATCTCAAATATTGCAGATATCGGACCGATAGATAGCAAGGTTTCCACAGAGGCTGAAAGAGTATATTCTCTAGACTGTCCCCGGGATGAAGAGTTAAATATTTATCAGCCGAGCCCTCTTGCATTCAACGTATCGAATGTTACACCGCCACAGAGTTCTTATTCGAGGGATTCGAGGATGAAAAATCTCCCATCAACGCCTGCCAGGTCCGAAGACGAGAGAAGTGACTGCACCTTAAATCCGACAGTCTACGATCCGAATAGTCCTACGAAAGCGAAGACGCCGAGTCCAAGGGGGGTTGGGTTCAATATCCCCCGTAGGACAAATACCACGCCCGTGCAGGGCACGTCAACACAATTGCCACCCCGAAGTCGCGGCAATTCAAGCAGCGCTACAAATAGCAGGCCTAATTGGATCTAAGGTCTATCGGATAAGCGGACACCATATCGCCCGCTTTTGAGGTTAAAGACAACAAGATGAATCGACATGTACTATTAGAACCCGTGTTTCTTATCCAAGAGACTCCCACCCCCTCGTTAACTTTCCTTCAACCTTATCCTTTCTTTACAGATGCACGATGAACTTCGTCGTTCTCTTGTACCTCTTTTTTTCCTTTGATTCGATTCTTCTACTGAAAGGCGTTGTGTGGTTGGTGCGATACCAAAACAGACACTAGGCCAATATACTAGTTCTAATTCTACAGCAGGATAAGGATTGGTGGGTCAAATATCATGCATATACAGGCGTCCATCAGAAAGACGGGAGTCGCCTCCCATCTTTTTATTCATTCTCGGTTGGTTTTGCGTCGGCACGACCAGCGCCTGTAGTCACTATCCTGTGTGAACTAGTAGGGAATATTGTACAATGTTGGGAGAGGGCGTTGCATTTCCCGATGACTGGATGACAAACCAAGATCATGAAGGCGGCGGAATACCACGGAATAAGGGCCTTAGAAAGGTCCTGGGGTATAGACGGTGATGGCTGCCGTAGATGATTTAGCTAGAAAGACGCGAATATCCTAAATTTTTCTACACCTCTATAACTTGATTTAGTCCGATACATTCTCGTGATTTGTTCTGTAAAGTTATTAAACATCTTTCTGGGCTGACCTAGAAACGTAGCCGAGGCAAGGGATTTTACCCTCAAATAGAATCGTCAGTTCTAAGCACATTAGTAACATTGATGGAAGTAAGTGAAATTTCCCATAAACCCAAGAACTACGCCACGTGTGGAGAGATAATAACAAAATAGGGGTTATATAAACATTATACTATTGACAAGATAATAGCAAATTTTCCTAACCCGGTGGATCCGCCAAAGAGAACATTCCTCTTTTCTATGACGGGGCTCCGTTAGACAAGGGGATAAGGATTATGTTAGTGCTTTGCAGTGCTTTATTGTCATAATTATAAGTAAGGGTTCATCCAAAATAGCTATATATAAGATAGTAAGGTCCACAATGCGGAAGTTACTGCAGAGGCACTGGTTTTTTTTATTACTTCTTATAATATCCTTGCCTTTAGCGGTCTTCATATGAGAAACATCAAGGTCCTTCTACCAACCTATGAATCAGACGGATATCCTCACTTACATGGAGCACAGATTCTATTGGTTCTAGCTCAGAACTTCCGAGAGAAATGGGAGCACAATACCCGTACGGATATTGGCCGTTTAACACCCCATACAATTAAATGGATGTAAGCTTTTACGCTGTAACTTGTTTTTGCCGATCGGGCAGTGTCAGAAAGGTGACACTCCCGATGTCAGTCGTACGAGGCCCACATCTCCTTAAACAAGGGGCGGATACACTCTTGGTCACGATAGTAGTTTATTTACATGGTACTTATGGCTGCACTTCAAAGCTCATGATATGATGGGATTAGTTAACTAAATGGCACTTTAGGGGTTTAATATGAGGCTTCGGTAGTGGATATAAGCCTGGTAACAATATGTATTTAACTTAATGGAAACATGTAGGCTATACTAGATCGCTATTCTATCGTCTAGACTAATGCATTTAAATAATACAATTCATAACTGAAAGTATTGAAAATATTCTGAGCGAAGATCATTTTCATAAAGAGGCTTCTACCTGCTAAACTTTTTAACCTAGTTACCTTTAGTTACAATACAATAAGGCTCATTGTTCAAAACCTAATATGAATACGTAAGATAAAAATAATTTACATTCTATTTCCTTTAATTTATTTCGTTTTTCCAATCTCATGTTTAACACCAATCTGATCTTGTTGTTGTTAGACTTCTACTAGGTACGCCCATAGGTACCTATATACCTCTGATAAGATGGAATTCAGAGGGAAGCTACGTCAGCCACAATGTGGCGGGAGCTTAGATCTACATACCCTCAATTTTTTGAGCTCCTTAGAACCAGTGACGTCTCAACTTCACTCTCACTTAGCACTATCAAAAATTTATGGTTGGAATTAAAGGATAGGGCTAGGAGGAAAGTATGAGGTAGATACTTGTTTTTCAAATCAGTCGCCCCTATGAGGTTCGCGGATATTATTATCGACTTGGCCGCTGTCGTCCAAGCATCTCGGTCTATTGCATCGAGACATATAGAACTTCGAGCTCGACAGATCAATCGCTATGGCCAGACCTCAAGTATTGTGCGGTCTTTGAGAGAGAAGAAGTCGGGAACTTATCCTACCCATCCGGAGACATCTAGTGTTGCTAATACTTCAGTTGGCGGTGGTAAAGAACCAACTCGTGATGCAATTGCTCAGTCTGACTTAACTGCAACCGAAGCCGAAAATATAGAACCTGATGCGAGGGATTCTCCATTAAGGAATATAAAAAAGGATGCTGAGGATATCAGAACCTCACCCTTAGACCAGCAAAATGTCTCTAGGAACCTTTTTCGACACGGCTCACTAAATGACGTGGCATCCACACAGCATTCCTCAGTGGTGCAGTCAGATCAAAGTGCAATTCTAGCTCAACTAAGGAAAAATGCCGAGGAAGCTGAAAAAAGCACCAAAGTCGAATTGAATCGTACTTCTCAACCCCATTTAGCAACACCGGGCGCCGCTTTGAGCTCCGCAGTTGTGGAGGATGTTCCTTCAGATGTGGATGTAAACGTATTTCACACGAATCGAGGCTCGCAGATATTAGAAAGACAAAAAGATATGCTACGTGCAAATCGGCCTAATATTGCGGCTCCGTCCCCTGGGTGGTTTAAGGATTATGGCCATGGACAGGTGAAACCCCACAAAGAGGAGACTCAGGCATCGTCTCCTATTGCTGAAATTTCGGCAACACCGAAGGACTCGGCGACGAATGAGAAGACGACACATACGGATGTCAATACTGATACCCCATTTGCTAGAGAAGAACCTATAAGCCAGGAGGCTGAGAAGGAACACACTCAGATGGTTGATGAAATCTTGCCCAGAACAGAAATAGAGATACCACCGGACGCAACAGTCGAAACAGAAGCCATGTTCAATGACGGGTCGACAAGACCGGCCTATGTTCTCCGGGAATCTAAGGTACCGTCTACCCGCTTGGGCCGATTATGGAATTACGGGGGGTTAGCCGCCGGAATGCTAGGCGGTGCCATCACCGAGGGGCTCAGTAGAAGCCTCGGCGGCGGCGGCAAGGGCTCAGTGTTACTCAGCTCTGGGAATATGGAGCGACTCGTTGCCAAGCTCTCCAGGATGCGAGGTGCCGCGCTGAAGATGGGTCAGTTGATGAGTTTCCAGGACTCCAAGATGCTTCCCGCGCCCATCCAAGAGGTCCTCCAGAGAGTCCAGGACCGAGCCGATTATATGCCCGCGTGGCAGCGTGACCGCGTACTCACAGCCAACCTTGGACCCGAATGGCGGGAGTTATTTGACGAGTTCGAAGAAAAACCGATCGCAGCGGCGTCGATCGGCCAAGTGCACCGCGCGACGCTTAAATCTACAGGCGAAAAGGTGGCTGTTAAGATTCAATTCCCAGGCGTTGCCGACTCAATCAACTCGGACTTAGACAACATATCTATGCTTCTAACAGCCTCTAAAATGCTACCTAAGGGACTATATCTTAACAAGACAATCGACAACGCACGGATAGAACTAGGCTGGGAGTGCGACTACGAGCGGGAGGCCCAGTGCGGGCAGCGGTATCGGGAGCTTCTGGCTGATGAGCCGGACGTTTTCCTCGTGCCCAAGATCTACGCAGAGGCCTCGGGGAAACACGTTATAACGATGGAGTTTATGGAGGGAGTAGGCGTGACACGGAATATGTCATTCACGCAGGAGCAGAAGGACTGGATTGGCACGCAGATCCTGCGGCTTTGCTTGCGCGAGATCACCGAGTTCCGCTTCATGCAGACGGATCCCAATTGGACCAACTTCCTATACAATGCTGATACCCAGAAACTTGAGCTCCTCGACTTCGGTGCTTCACGCGAATTCCCAGAGCACTTCGTCACCCAGTACGTCGGTCTACTCGCTGCTGCCGCACGCTCCGACCGCCACACCGTCCTTGAACTATCACGCAGCTTAGGGTATCTTACAGGTCACGAGAGCAAGACCATGCTCGACGCACACGTAACCTCGATCCTGACACTGGCCGAGCCATTCCTACACTCCGCGCCTCAAGTGTACGATTTCAGCGACCAGACCATTACCGAGCGCGTCAAGGCGCTCATTCCCACTATGATCCGTGAGCGTTTGAGTCCCCCACCCGAGGAAACGTATAGTCTACACCGTAAACTAAGCGGTGCCTTCCTACTCTGCGCTAAGCTGGGCGCCCGCGTGCGGTGCCGCGAACTGTTCGAGCGAGCGATAAAGAAGATGGATGTGGATGATATTGTATGATAGGGGATATAAATGTATCGATCGGATTATACCCACCACTCACCTCTGTATAAACAATCTACCTACCTAAGGTTATATGTCACATGGAATAGGGGCAACGGAGCATTAAAGGGGTGGATAGAATTGCGGGAAAATGGTATCATTTTGTTTATAGTCATAGTAACTGTCATAGACCGCGGATCGCGGGCTACGTACCTAACCTTAGGTATGTATATGTATATGTCAGACTCTACCATCCTGCTCGTAACATCAACCCCCCCTTTCATCATCACCACTATCGCCTGGTATTGGTATATCCATCTATCCATCCATCCATCATGACCTCTCCCGCCTCTCCATCGGCATATCCCTCCTCTCCTTCGAAGCCAACTTCTTCCTACGCCGCTCAATCACCCGATCAACCTGCTTGCCCTTCAGGCCCGCAAACCGGTCGACGAGCAATTGCTTCTTCTGCTCACTGCGCTTGAGATAAAAGGGCTTCTTGCCCTGCTTCACGAGCTCCTTCTCCCGCCGGCGGTGCTCCTCGAGCAGCTTGCGCTCCGCCTCGCGCGCCTGCTGCGCCTTCTTCTTGCCCTCCATCGATGATAACGCGCGCTTGAGTTCTTCCTTGGCGGTCGCGTCTTTCGTCTTCCTGGCCGCGGCCCGCAGCTGGGCTATCTCGGAGTCCCGGTACTCGTCGAGGAAGCCGTACGCGCGCTGGAGCCGCTCCTCGTCTACGGGCCGCCCCTGGACTGCGGCGGAGAATCGTGGGTCTCGCGCTACGGGCTTGTGTGTTGCTATGACTTCTCGTCGGCGGGTGACTTGGCGTTTGCTGGTTTGCTCGGTGGGGGCGTGTTTGCTGGTACGGTGTGGCGTAGATATTTTCGTTTTAGACTCGGATCGTGGGTCTTTGTGTCGCTTGTCGTTATCTTCTTCATCTTCATCTTCATCGTCTTGGCTTTTGCGCCCTTTCCCTCGTCGTGTACCGGGGAGAGATGCTTGAGCTTTAGCTAAAGCGCCGAAGGAGATTTGTGAGGCGGCTGTTGATGGATCTTCTACTTCGTCTTCGTCTTCCTCGGATGAGGAGCCTGACTAGGAGGGTTATTAGGATCTTGCTCATCGGTTTCCATTCGCAAATTCGGTTTCCATACCTCATCGTCATCCTCTTGCTCATCGCTCTGTCCTTCAGAACCCTCGTCCTCACTACTCTCTTCTCCTTGGGATTGGTCACTGGGGATCTCTTCTGGTTCATCTCTTCTTGCCCTTACACGACGTTGTAGGCTTGCAAGTGGCGCTTTGCGTTTGGAAGTCGTCATTCGTTCCATCTTGACAGGGAAGTTTGTTTGATCTGTTTAGCTTTCAATGTTGTATATACCTACCAGGTATGTACTTGTAAATGATGTAAATGATAGGTGCATCACCTGCAAGGTGGTAACGCAACATACAACATACAAAAAAAGGTGGCAGCGATAAGGAGATAAGGGGATAAGACGATACTAACCCTTTATCGATAAACAATTTAGGCCCCACCAAGCCGTCGGGTCGCATTTGCCTTGGTGTTGCCTGCGCGTCGTTTTTAATTCACAAACATCTTCACTTTCGTTGCTCTGTGAAGAAATATTTGCTACGCCATTTCCTTCATGTGGCACGTATCCCATGGCAATGTGCTGCATAGCGTAGCGAAAGTGTCTACCGGGCTCTTGAGGCCACCATTTAAATACCTACCTGGCTTCTCGGCTTGTCGATCCTCAACCGTCGCAACACATTCAACATTCTCCCAATCTAGACACAACTCGCTACAGCAGAACAAAGGAACTTGCATCATGAGTGCAGGAGACTGGGGATACCAATGGGGGTATCCGCCTCCTCTTCCCTATGAGTCTTTTAACCCTGAAGCGTCTGGGTATGTCCCTGTATACTCTCAAGGACAAATACCACCACAACCACAACCACAACCACAGCTGCAACCTCATCCTCATCCTCAACCTCAATTTCAACCGCAGGCTTTCACTCCCTTCACACCATTCACGCCAATCGCCGATATACCTATGAATACTCCTATACCACCACCTGAAACCGACTCTCCTCCTTACTCACCACCCCCCTTCATAGGATCTGAGGCATCTCGCTCACAAAGCCCAGCAATCATTAACGGCAATGGCGCAAAGCCGGGCAAACATCCAAAATCCAAGAAATCCAAGAAGGGTAGGGACGAGAAAGTCCAGCCATCTGCGGCGTCAGGTGGTGTCCCAGACCCATCTCCAGAGTATCTGACACTGGCAGCGTATCCGCCCTTCCGGTTACCGTATGCGCGCAAGATTCTTGTGGTTATCGACCTCAACGGAACGCTGTTGTACCGACCTAGCCGACACAATCCTACGGCCTTCATAGAGCGCCCCCATGCGCGCACCTTCCTACGTTACTGCATTGATACCTTCAAAGTAGTCATTTGGTCTTCAGCAAAGCCATACAATGTGACCAGAATGTGCGAGCAACTTCTCACGCCTGAGCAGCGCTCACGTGTTGTTGCCGTCTGGGGACGTGACCACTTTGGTTTGACTCAAGAAGACTACTACCTACGCGTTCTCTGCTATAAGCGTCTAAGCGCGCTATGGGCTGATCCCGAAGTTGCAGCCAGCCATCCAGAGTTTGCAGAAGGAAAGCGCTGGAGCCAGGCTGATACGGTACTAGTAGACGACTCAGTCGAGAAAGCGCGTACCGAACCGTACAATATCATTCAAATACCCGAGTTCAAGGGTGATGCAACTGAAGAAGGCTTTGTCCTTCCCCAGGTGCATGACTACGTCAATGAATGTGCGCATCAGACTGACATTAGCACCTATATCCGTAATCAACCCTTCAAGACGGTTCCGGGTTGGAAGCTTCTCCCTCCTAACTCGGTTGAATGAAGAGAGAAGGGAGGGAAAATAAAAGGAGAGAAGTTAAGCAGAGAAATTTCACTCTATAATGGGAGTCGACCTCCCCATATGAGCCTCTTCCGAGTGGGTGGATGGCCAGAAATTTAGTCTCAGAAGCCTTGCAAAAAAGGCATTAGGAGAGGAGAGGAGAAACGAGTGTTACTCTAAGGTCTATCTTACTTTACTATAAATACCTATACACTACAGCAACTCTTGTTTAATAAGAGAACTTTCGACCTCGCACGACGAGTGTCTGCCGTCTCGTTCTTCTGGGAAAAGGGTCTTGCCTTGATACCCCTTCTTGCTATGGCTAGATTTTCTATTGCAATGCAGGATAGTGATGGATACCATCAAATCGAATTTTCTAAAATCGTGAAGTCGCTTACCTATGTCGTTATAATAATAAGTGAACTCTTCTATTAAGAATGGCTATCTTCGTCTCCTTGTCCAGAAAATGAGGTGGATGAAAACTGGTCGGACAGCATTCGTGGTAGTCTTCAAATTCAGAAAGCTAACTTAACTGACCAAACAGTTAACTTGTCTAGTAAAATATTGTGTAACTAGCACATCTAGTTACCGTAACTTAAGATATGACTATAACCTCTCTTTGGCTACCCCTATTTGCCTATCTAAGTCTATATCTATTATTGATATCTATGACTAGAGGTTGTATAACATCAAGCAATCTACGCTATAGAGTAGGTATACAAGGAGCACGACACTAATCTAGACACATCCAGGAGTTTGAAGTTACCCAAACACGTTCTTTAACAACTTAAGCGCTTGCTCATTCGCCGTAAACAATATCCCACCTGCCATAACAGTACGCCCAAGCCTCATCACAGTCCCACGCCAAAACCCCCTAACACCATCTTCGGCATAAATAGCACGCACGCAATCCATCGTACGCACCGCACGCGCCTGCTGCGCTTTCGTCTTGACTGTGTCGAAAGGCTGCGTGGCAAGCGTAGTCAACGTACCGGCAAACGCGCCGTTCGCAAAACTAGCCACCGCACCATCGACCTGGATCCCGTGTCCGCGCTCCCAGTCTTTCAGCGCGGCGTACGAGCCTAGCCGGAACCCGGTTGTGCCGACTTGCTTAAGCGTCGTAGTAGTGTACCCGCTGTATAGGGCACGCACGGGGCCCTGCTCTCGCCATAGGGATGCGATGCAATGCGTCGGCGACCGGAAGCGCTGTGTTGTCCGGGCATCGTCTATTAAAGCAGTTTTTATGCGCTCCGAGGGCGTGACGATGGCGGTCGAGGCTACGATGCCGGTTAGCATGCCGGCCGCGATGGATTGCGCTGTGGTGGACCGGTGTGTCTCCGGGTCTTCAAAGAGAGACCGGATGCTGTCGAAGGCGACGAAACGCACTGCGTCTTTGCCGATGGAGCCCTACATGTTGGACGAGTAAGTTACCTCCTATAGATCAACGGATGGATCTACCGGTGCGTATGTGTATGTGTATAATAGGAGAAGGTAGGGAAAATGATACATGTAAGTCGGAGATATTGCTCCGCCTAGCGAATATACAAAAATGAAAGATTAAAACATGTGAATGTCTATCTAAAACTGATATTAGAAAATTAGATTCTCCTAAAGTAGATTCATACTCCCTCTCTATCATAAGATATCGTGTAAGTCTCACGTCTACTGTTACTAGCAGAAACGAGTTAGAACAGACAATGATTCGTAGACTTTAAGCCTCCTATTACAACCGTATGATTGAGCAGCAAATAACGAAGCCGTTGAAACGGGCCTCGTTCGGCACTTCTATCAACCACCCATCCTTCATAGCTTAGGTACCTAAGGTACGCAAACCACCCCTGGACTACCGGGAAGTTTTAGTGCTATGTACATAGCATAGCCATCTCTAGTACGTAAGAAGTCGGCAGCTACCTAGTCTTGGAGCAATAAGAAAAAAAGGGCGGACCCCCCTCCCCCCAAATAGGTAGATAAACGCGAGCGGATAGATAGGTAGGTAGGTAGACAAGAAACGGACATTAGGTTAGGTTAGGATAGGTTAGGTCAGGTACATACCACTATCATAGTCGAGCAGCCCTTATACAGCGCGCGCAGACCCTCCTCCCGAGCCACCTTGGCAACGACCATGAACGGGTTTCTGATGCCCTCATGGCCGTATAGCTGCACGCGGGTCTTTGCGAACTCGAAGGGGTATCTATGATGGTGGTGGTGGTGTTAGATTGTCTAGTTCACATGCGGAATTGTCTAGCTTGGATATGTATGTGTAGGGGGGATAGTAGTATGAGGTGATATAGTGTATGGGTATAGGTAGATAGGTAGGTTGGTACCTATGTAAGTACCTCATCTAACAACACAGAGATCGATAGTAAGAAGGAAAAGAAAAAGAAAAAAAAGAGGGAAAACCCACGTGCAGGCCGACTCGACACCCCCCGCGATGCCGCCGGCGACCAGGGACAAGACCGGGGAGGTCTTGCGGTCCGCATCCGCTACCATCTCTCGATTTCTCCTCTTCTGATTATTATTTTATTATTTTTCCCGCTCTTCCAGCGCCTACGTCGATTTACGTTCGCGTGTGAGATATGTATGTATGTATGTATGTATGTATGTATGTATGTATGTATGTATGTATGTATGTATGTATGTATGTATGTATGTATAAGTGTCTGTGATTTGCGCGCAAGCAATGTGATGATGATGTGATAACAGACAGATAACTGACGTATTGGGAACCCGCAGCTAAGTAGCGGCGGGTCTATACATAGTAGGTAGCTCGGTAAGGTAGTCTGCATATGTACATTAGGTGTAGGTAGACAGACATCCATAGGCGACTTACATACATCTTCCCCGGTCAATAGTCGACCCTTGGCAAGAAGCCGAGGATGGGTCTTTTTGTTTTGTTTTGTTTTATTTTACTATGGAGTTCATGATGATTAGGCATGCAGCACGGGCTAACGGCTACTAATCACTAAATAATTCTCCAATTCTCTTTGTTAAGTTGCCTAGGTTAGGTTAGGTAGGTAGGTAAATATGTACTATGTATGCATGCATGCACTTCCAATCCATCAAGCTTTGTACGGAATACCAGGTTAGACGTCGGCCCGGGGTCCTACATATGCATCGTGGGGGTCAAGCTTGCGGCGCCTAGGTATCTTACAGCGTACATACCACCTACATGTATATTACGTACCTAGGTCCATATTCGTATCTAAAGGATCGGGGACTTTGTCGGAGTTATGGATATGCTGGCGCCAACAGCACTCCGCATCGCGATATTCATTGGATATGTATAAGACAGAATCAAGGACTAACCCTAAGGAACACGACAGGTAGACTAACCCTTACCCATATTCGCTTAAGCTTCTATATCGCATCCAACTATTAACTAGTACCAAAAGTTGGCTAAGCCACCTACGCATATTCTGCGTATTCTGCGTATTATACGATCATGAATACCTAGTAGGCATATGTAAGGTCGATCCAACGGGGCTATTTGACATGCCGTTTTGGTGCATGTACATGCAAAGCCTGCAAGCCCGCTTGAGTGCGGAATACAGATTTATGTACTACCGGGTCCAACGTAGCTCATCAGCCCAGAATCTATCTCGTACAGCATAATACCTCTTTATACCTACGTCCTTAAAAAGTACCTAAACTACCTCCTAGGCAACTATGATATCCAGCCAGGGACCCAACATATATCCATAATGGAGCCCTAGTCGCATCTAAACAGGATGTACTGTAGTCAAATACAGTAAGTAGGCAAGCGGCGAAAACCTCGCGAATAGGGATAATCATTCGGTCCTAAGAGACATGCCGAATACTCCAGCAAGCTCAACCATATGCAGATCCGTGTCCAGCGTGATCCCACTCGGCGTTCATATTGTCTAATTGCCCGACATCGGCCCACACGTCCAGTTTCTCGAGTTCGCGCTTAAAAAAGTCTTGCTCGTTTCGTAACGCCTCTCTAATATCTGCCGCCATCTGATCCGGGTACCTCCGGACGTTGAACCAGTGCGTCAAGCTCCGGAGGGCTTGCTCGAGCGGCAGGGCTTCTTCAACTTCCGCGTCTACATCGCTACCAGCCAGCCATTCGTCGCGGAGCTCTGGGCGGCAATGCAAATATATCGCTGTGATGACACGCATATTACCTTGCCGCCATTTACGGCCACAGTACGGTACCTGGTTTTTGAAGAGTTTGAGCGTGTATAGTCGCAACTCGGTTTGCGGTACCTTGAGTGATTTCCTTATGATATTTGACGATTTGTACTGTACGAGTAGTAAATTACGGTGCGCTTTGTTCTTGCAGATCTTCTGCATGATTCGCAGGTAATTGATGAGGGCGAAGAAATTTCGGCGCGAAAAATCGGTGATAGGCTCCTTAGGCAGGGGGTTTACGGGATAACCTAATTCGTCTACTTCAGGGCGAGTGGGGAGCTGCCCTTCTGTCTTGTTCGCGAGCTCGCTACTTTCGACCACTTGGTCGTGCAACGATCGTCGCCGTTTTATGGGTGGAGGCGCCGCATCGTCCTCGCTTTCCTCCTCTGGCCCGTCGATCTCTGTCGGCTCTTGCGGTACCTTTTCTGGAGGATGAGCACGATCGTTGCAGAACTGAAAGAAACTAAGATTTGTGAGATAAGTCAAAGTGTATAGTAGTTATAGAGCCTTTACCTGTGTTCAAGGCGATCGGTCTTACTATCGACCACCTGTTGAATATCTTGATGTGCAAACAACTTGAGAACCAAAGGAAGATAATTAGAATCCAGTAGTAGTTGTGCCAAGTATTCAAACTTTAAAACATCTAGGCGAGCAATTAGTATACCAAATCCAGAACTGGTATTTCTGTTACTTACGCGAGATCTTGAGCCATTTCATAAGCAGGAGAATGATGCCCGTAGCGGCTTTCGATTCAATCTCTCTACATCTAGCGGCATCTAAATCCTCCAAGGAACTGTCGGAACCGTCTGGGTTGGTCGAGCTGTTAGCTCCCATAGAACTATCCTGCGATCGATTTGTACCAGGGCCGCCATTAACGCGGGGTTGGTTACCCCCCTGGATTTGTGATTGCTGCTGGTTATTAGCAGGAAGAGCAATGCAAGCAGTGACATTGAATAGTATGCTTTTCATCAGAACTATAATCAATGACTGCAGTTGAGGCAAAGCAGCAGCCTATCAATAGTCAGTCGAAATTCACTAGCAGAAACGGACTATCACCTACGTAGAACGCTTCAATGGCTTCTAATCGTCGTTTGACCCTCGTATCAACATTTGGGTCCGGACCATAGTCGATCTCGGCGCCTCGCGCCTTCTTCTCTCTTTTCTCGATAGTTTCTAGAAGTTTGTCATCATCAACATCGTCGTCAAGATTAAGACCATCCAGGTCTAGGTCTTCTATGTCATCATCCGAAGGATCCCAACCCCTCTCGAATTTTTGAAACTTCTCGCGCTCTTCCCACAACTGCCTTGTAGCTCGGGTCATGCGCACTCGTTTCGAAAACAATTCGCCAGCCTCAAGAATAGATGCGGGCACGTCACTGCCTTCCCATTTCCGGCCAACAAGGAAATCTTGAAGGCCAGCAGCACCCTTTCCTCCTGCGCTATTACTGGTGGCATCCAATGGAGGGTACATGAAAGGGAAATTCTGGTTGGTTTGGTAATTTTGTTTCTTACCCCCTTTACCACCGGCAGCAGGAGATGGGGGAGGAGACGGCGCAGGGGTCGCAATGTGAACAGGTTGGTGAAGGATAGACGCGCCTCCACTCTGCGTCCCAGGAGGAGCAGGGAGTATACCATTCGATCCATTGTTCCTAGTAGGATGGTTGGGCAGCGGAGGTAAGAGAGAGGTGTTGTCTGCCTCAAGGGGTATTATTGGTTGAGGAGGTACATAGGCAGGGTATTTTGATGTGATCTCTTGTCGAAAAACATGATAGTCGAGAGGTGTCGCCATGATCAGGTCTTTTTCCTTGTCGTCAGTAGCCGTTTCCCTAAGGGCCCTTTTCGTTTCTTCAATCTCTGGCGTTCCACCGAATTCCAGAAGAATACACTTCCATAACAACAAAAGCGTCTAGTTGGTTAGCATGGTACTCGAGTCACCTTAGAAAGTATCGTACCTGAGGAGCTGGTACAACATTTACTTCTTGCCATCGTAGCTTAGCTGAAGCTGTAAGCATGAATGTTGTGAGATGAGGCTCTAATTCCACTGCGACTCTTAGCTTGACACTCCAGAAGAATTCAACAATATCACACTCACAGAGCTTTTCGTGAACCATTACCATTCCATCCGGGTCGTTAAGCGTTTCCTGTATACACATATACATTATGGTCATTAAATTCATCAGTTCGTCCTGTGCCTCGGCTAAGCTACTGCCTTGCGGTCTCTGAGGTTCATCCAGCCTGCAAAAATATTAGTATGATAATGGCCACCAAAGTTGGTAGATGCGAAATACCATAATATCTCAAATGCGCTGCGCAAAGCTCCCCATATAACGAGAATACCGTTCCACTCTGCGATCAACTCGACACCAGATTTCGTTGCGGCAAGCTGGGCGGGTGTTGCAACGCTTCGGGGATTCGTTCTGTCGCCTTGAGGCGAACCAGCAGTGTCTATCCACCGGCCCAAAACGATATACGTAAGTCTTCCTATTGCAGCGCCGCGTGTGGCAGCATCACTAGCTCTAACTCCGTCTAGTGCCTGTAGGATAAAATTTGTCCTAGCCTCATCATCTGCCTCATCCCAAGTAATTTCATCCTTCCTGGCTGCTATGTCGTGCTCCCACTGCCACTCGAAAGCCCGTTGAGCAGCGTTTAGCCGAATCCATTGCCAAGGTTGATAGACAAACCACTCGTCAATCTCCTCCTCATGAGGTCCTGTATCGGAATATTCAAAGTCATACGCGGCAGCTTCAGAGCGAGGGAATTCGGATACTATGCGTCGTAGCTGTGCTAGCGAGAGAGAGTCAGGTGGCTGGTTGTTTGCGGCCTGTACAGGTGGAGTTGACTGGATTTGGTTTCGCTGTAGCTGAGGTCGCATAGATTGTTGTTGGCCAGACGCTGCGCCTGTTATTCCAGGTCCAACATCAGCAACACCTGTATCTGTTACGTCCACCGATGTCTTTGATGCATTAGCACCATCATCGGCAGCTTTTGACGACCACAACGAATTCATTATATCCGAAGACGCGTTGCGGGGCTCAGATCGCGGCTGTCCTTCAAGGGTACATAACCGTAGAATCGCAAGTGATCATGCACATAGCTAAGAGAAGAAGTCGTGAGAAGTTGCCAAAGATATACAGAAAGAAGTAATTATTAAGGCGATAGAGCGTTGAAAGGTAGAATACTTGCTTGCTTAGAAGTAGACCTTAGAAGACACGACGTGAATAGATGAAGTGGGTAGGTTAACGGTACGTACCTCCTTAAATGTAATTGATAAAGCTTAAATGACCTTAGGTGGGAATTTTTTTAATATGTGGCTTTGATTATGCACTCACGGAGAGATTGTGGCGCAAGCTTGTGATAGACAACTTTACCTACCTGTATCTAACTTATAACATAAAGCATAGGTAACTACAATTAAAGAAACTCAAAATGATAACTATTAATTGAGATCACGATGATAATAGCTTTTAATCTTTAATTCTTATAACATCTTTAACCTATGAACTCCTAACATGCAGCCAAATTTAATATCACAAATAAGGCATTAGCTTAATCAATCCTCCTAGTCCGAACTGTCCTTATTACTATGCTCAGAAGCTGCATCGTATTTCACATCTTGTTTCTTTTCTCTTTCCTTAGCTCTCCGCTTTAGCTTTTTCTGCCTATTCAGTCTCTTTTTCTTGTCCTTCAGGTGCTCTTCCTTCTCTACTGTTTGTTGTTTTGTAGCTTCCTCTTGTTCCTTCTTTGCCTTCTCACGCTTTCTCAGAATTATTCTTCGCTTCTTCCCTGGCCTCTTTTTCTTCTTTTCCATATCAGAAATTGCATTCTTGCCAACAGAACTATTCGGGGCGCTTATTTTGTTGTTTGTAGTGATGGTGATAGTTGTGACTTTCCATGGCTTTTCAAGCCCCCACCGTCTCCTTTTTGCGTCTTGGAAGAGGTGATCTGCACTAACTGCGGTCATCTTGAATCTATTCGTAGCTTCAGGTGACAGCTCCCCAACTAAGTAATATGAGACCGGCCTTTTGGCAATCATAAAAGCGCCATCGCCACTCTTTTCCGCGCCAGCATTTTGAGGTTTGAGTACTACCTTCCGCGAGGGTTCCTCGTCCCGAAATAACCTGAATGTGAAGGCCTCTTCCTGGGGCTCCTCAACATTATCCTCATCCCTAGGGGTTTCATTTGCATTTTCTATTTGAGATTCTGGGACTTGTTGTGCTCTGGTATCTCCATCAGCTGCAAGGCTGAGATCTAGTAAACCAGAGAACTGTGCATTTAATTTCTCACGCAAAGTTGAATCCCATTGATCATCATGTGGCGCCTCTTCGTCCGAGGAGGAATTATATAATTCTTCCCGCCGAATCCTTTCACGTTTACTATTAGCTTCTGAATGAAAACAATGAATGGCTGAATCTCATACCGTTTAGCATCAGGAACATCGAACATAGTAGTAATATATAGAATTGAAATGGTAGGTAATATGAAAACTAACAGTTGTCGATAGAATGTATTTGCTGTGGATTAACACTGCATAGCTTCATATAGTACCTAGTCTGGTTGTATGTATGTGCGACCTAAGTAGGTTGAAGAATTGAAAAAAGTGTTGTCGCAAAGCTTGGACCACTAAAAAAGACCTACAAAGTACTCAAGTAAGCTAGTACAAATACGTGTTCGGGGATGGGGGGTCATCTTCTTCAGCCACTATCTGCACCGGACTGAACGGATGAGCGCCCGCATGACCAATTCTCGTCCCGACAATCTGGAACGGGTACTAATCTTAGCTGAGCACATATTACCTTTACCTACAGCCAATTCGTACATAAACTCTAAGCTAGTAACGGCCGTATGTCAGAGTTTCGTGTCACCTTGGATTAACTAGTGATACTACACCCGTTTACCTAACAGAGTACCTACTACAGTAAGTATTTTACATAAGAGGGAAAGTACATGCTAGGGGGTAATTATTGAAAAAGGAACGAAAAAGCAAATATGCTGGTGTAACCAAACAGGCAGGAATAAGCTATTATATTACCTAAGGAGGTAGTAACTTGATTTCCCAGCTGCTAATTTGATTTCTCTTTTCTACTCTTCTACATTTCTATATCCCATCATTTATTCATAAGTATACTTAACCAAGGCGAAATTAATGCCAACGAATCATAACTTTATATTTTAATCGCTAGCACAATTTTTGTAAATGATTTTGCAATGAAAGCTCCCCAAGGTTACTTTATGGAGTCCCATCTCAGCTTACTTCTTCCACACCTACATTTTATACCCATGAAAAATTGATCACTAAATAATGGTGAAGCAATAGTCCGCACTAAAAAAGACGATAGACACAACGAGCAAATGAAAGGATTTAGCTTGAACGGACAGATGTCTTGGTATGATACAATACACGACCTAGCGGCTGAAAGCTGAAAACCAGGTCCCACAAACCATCCAACACTATATAGATCGTGAGTTCCGCACTTTTACTAGAGTACAGGTATCAGTAATCCCAGATTTCGTCTTAGAAGCCTTCCAAAAACAATTCTCGTTTCTTGCCCTCTTCTGAAGCTTGGACGGTGGCCACTGCGCCTAGAGAACCTTGCATTCGGATGTTTTTAGACAGAATACTCTCTTCTTAGCCAGACCATGCTACCGTGCTGGGTAGAAGAATAGGATTGGCGTTTGAGATGAATATCGATATTATTCAGAACTAGCGCTTCCCTTTCCGCCGCCCAATTCACGGGAACGGGAACGGGCATCGCAAACGGCAATGACAACAAATTACCGCTCTAGCAACCCCACCTATCATATCACATGAATCCTGATCGCTGGAGAGATAACACTGTGGCCGCCCTGATCGCTTGCGCCAGTTTGTATAAGACGTAATGTCGATGATACTGCATGGTAATGGTATGGTATGGTATGGTACGTATGATACGAACGAGGGGGGGATATCGAATAGCAAATGACGATTTCCAACTCAAAATAACGACAACAATACGAGAAACAGGAAACCAACTCCGGATATTTCAATATCGACCCGTCTCTGTAAGCACTGGTGTGTATGCTATACGTCCAAATAAGATGGCCGAGAGGGTCGCGCTCGCTATTAGCGAAAGACACGAATGAGCATCGATATAAGAGAAAACCACCAGATACACAACCACCGCAGCAATGGTGCCTCTTCTCAGCACAGGTACACGGAGACCATGAATTCCACCCTCTCCTCTTTACTCCGTCACTCCAAACATTGCCTCCCCAATAGCCCTATACAAATCCTCCATAAGGGATGCGGAATTTCGAAAATAGCTTTTGGCCCTTTTTCTTCCACCACGGGTTTCGAGTAAGAAACAAAATCAAGCTTCCATTAAAATACTATACAGGCGACATGCAATGCAAGTCGCGCTTTTTATGGCAACGAGAGCAGTCGACCCCTTCTCTTATTCGCACACGCGCATTCCCTTAATGCGCGCACAGTGTGATCGAATAACCGATCCACAATCGATATATGAGAAATACGATCAGTATACTTTGATCGTTTTCCTCATTTTATTATGTTTAAGCACCAACTCTCACGTCGGGCTCCATGAATAATGGTTTAAAGTTGAGGCATAGCTCCCAGGCGCCGGCGGGTGATCGCTTTTGCTCGGAAATGCGTACGGCCTACTGCTTTCGTTGCCCGTCGCGGCGCTATTGTGGTATGAGTGGACAGTGGCGCTGCTGGGTTCGCCTGCAGTCGTTGTCCACGATGTTGTAGGTGGATAATAATCGCGAGGTGGCGGTTGTTGCGATTGAGGTTGTTGATGGTGAGAGTGACCGCCTGCCGATGAAGGAGCACTGGAGGCAGGCCCGGTTGGTCCAGCACTGCTCGCGCTGTCAGCGTTATATGTAGACGCCGAGTTTAGCTCGTTGGAGCTGTTGTTCACGGGTACGTACCCTGAAGGCCCGTACCGGTACTCAGATGTGTCATTACTATTGCTTATGGAGCTGGTGCTGGGTATGGACTGATGGCTACCATGACGCGGGCTCTTAGTTGGTCTCGGGTTCGAGTCGACGTACCGCGGTACGCTGAGATTGCTGTGATCTGAGCTGCTACCCATCGACGTTGTTGTTACTGAGAGCTGAGGCGGAGCAGAGGTTCCCTGTACGTAGGCGTATTGCGTCCGGATTGCTGGCGGCTGCTGCTCCGTTGCGGCTAGGGAAAGTTGCATTGATGGCATGGACGTCTGCATAGGCATCTCTTGCGGCTCCTGTGTGAAATTCGATGATCCTGAGAGTGGCATTTTCTGGTACGAATCGGCAGGTATACTTGCTGGCGGGTAGCTGGCAGTAGCCGAAGCCGGCATTCCAGACATGGGCAACTGGCTAGGAGGATTCCAACTGGGGTACGAACTAGAATCTCTCGTCAGCTCTGATCTCCAAGACGAGGAAGTCAACAGAAAGATTCCTATCTGCTCATCTCATTCACCTCAAGCCATTGTAACTTGGCCAAACAAAGTAAAATGTGAATCCCTTGGAATGGGATAAATGATGGACTTACTTGGACCTCATCGTCATCGGGCTCCCGGGGAGCTTTGATGCGTTGAAAGTAAACGCCGTCCGCGGTAATTCCAGATTCAGGCCACGCAATTTCGGATCCTGAGGCTTTACAGTTAATGGGCCTGCAACAATGCCTAGTCCTGTTTCAACCAATGCTTGCCCCCGCGAGCCGGCACTAGATCCCAGGAGAGGGATTTCCTTTCGAGCCTGAAAGTTTCGCGGACTTCGCCCCCGAACTACGATCGGTGCCGTTGTAGATTCCGTTAGAACTACCTTCGACCCATTTGCTAACGTTCCTACCACTTTTAGGTGTAGCACAAAATGCTGCTGAAGTTCTTTTCGCCTTCCGTTATTTGCCGTTGCTCTATGGAATCTGTGTCAGCTTATTGAACTGGGGACTAAGCCTTATAGCGGGATGATCGAGACCCCTTAATTGGACAACCTACATTCTGAACTGCAGCCGCCGCCACCCGATAGGGTATACAGCATATTCGCCCTCCGCTTCCTGTCCATCATCCGGGAATGGGATTAGTGGTAACGATGGAGGTTCCTGGTCCGGGGTCTGGGGTAGTTCCGGAGAATTCGGCGGTGGCGTCTTCCAGGGAATGACGATTAGCCTTACGGGATGGCCATCGACGGACTCGATGGCGGAGATGGTTACTTCGGTGTTATTCACAGGGACGGTTTCGCCCGTCTCGGGGAGAATCACTGAGAGCTGGCCTCGCGGTGTGATGAGCGAGCCACTGATCTGAAACAGGTTCCTCCGGTAGCACGTTAGCTCAGGTTGCAAAATCGCGCCGTCGCTCGTACTCGAAGGCATTTCCGAGAGAAAGAACATGCCGTGGAGCTGCGCAGTAAGTTCAAGCTGCTGCATTCGCCCATGCTGATCGACGATGGTGTGCTTGTCCTGAACTCTCCGGAAAGAGAGCAACTTATGATCATGGTTCACAGTGAGCTTCGACCCGTCGTCTCTCAAGTCCTGCACAATCTCCTGGTACGGCGGGTGCTCACCAGGTTGGTGAGGCCTCTTTAGGTTAGGGAAGCTGTGATGTTGTGTTAGAGACGGCTGCGGGTATCTGTCAAATCCATCCGACTCCTCCTGCGGGTATCTAGGGTACGGGTAGGGGTGATCGATAGTCGGGTGGCTGCTTCGTGGCCGGCCCGGATGTTGAGAAGATGTCGTCGACGGGTGCGAAAGATTCGACTCCATGGTATTAGGGAATCGAGCTGATAAGGACACCGGACCGCCATAGTTCGACCAAAGACTACTATGCGCTGGCTCCGGCTTCAACTCTGCCATGGTCGCCGTCAAAGTTGTTGTGGCTGACATGGGAGCCTATGTCCCAGTCGCGCTTCCAAGACCTGTCCTCGTGCGCCACCGGCTGACAAATTTCTACTTTCTCTTCCTTTTCAATTTTATTCCCCCTCTAGATAACAAGACGTTTTACTCAGAACATCAGCCTCGCAGCAATAATGGCTCACTGGTGTTCAAACTAGTTGTCTTGCCAAGTCCAAGTTCCTGTCGAAAGACAACACCTTGGTGGGAAGTGGCTGACTTTCCTTGTACAGGTAGGTGAAGTCAGAATAAAGTGAACGTTGAAAGAAGGTAAGGTTGCAGGCCGAAGTGTACTTGTATGGGATGGAACGAGATACAGTAGGATAGATGTTGCCTCTGAGGGGACTGTTTTGTACAGAGGACGGTATTATCCATTACCCTGGGGGGCATGTTTAACGGTTAACGGGTCCCTAGCCAAGCGGAGATGGCCCAGCCCGGTCAATGAGAGAGCAAGAAACGACTTGGGGGTCTGGTACAGAGACCTTTAGTACCTACAACTGACATGGGTTTAGAGTATGTACAGTGCATGCAGCCCGACTGGGAAGGAGAACGGAGCTAATGGCGATCTGGCTGGGGGAAGATACAGGGCTCTCAGTTCTAGCCGGGACTTGATTGATAGGCCCTGGGCAATATCTACAAGAGCTTGTTCCTTCAGGCCCTAGAGGCGCCAACTGTTGGAAGCTGTCAACGGGCAGAGAAAACAGATAGTACATTGGCCCTCGCATTCACTTGACAAAAACAAGGAAAGGCAGCTTTCTGAGCCATCTGAACCTCACGGCTACAAAAATACAGTCAGAACTTTAGTAAAGAGAGCTGAAGACATGCAATAAATGTAAGCGCAAGCTGGCTAGATTGTACAGTACTGGACAAGACTTTCAACGACAGTCTTACCCCATAATAACCTTCAACATGTCTGCCGACTACGACAGGGGGCCAAGGTACCTCGATCCTGTACCCTCCTCCAAAAATCCAAAATCCACCGGCAAACGGGCCTAGCCATTGCGGATGAAGATGATGGCAAGGCCTTCTCTAGAGGATGTGCGTATGTGAGTGCGGATGGAGGGGGTACAGAGTAGGCAGGTAGAGATGTAAAAGAGCATGGATCATATGGAGGCACGGGGGCCTATCGACAAGAGGCTAGCAGAGAGCCATTCAAGATACCCCTTGTAAAATAAAAGCCCCTCCACGCAGCTCCGTCTTGCCCAATGCTTGCCCTGGCCCCCAACAGGGGAGGTACTGATCAGTTAGGAAATCCTCCGACGGCTTTAGCTGGGTACGTAGAGGAGGGCCCGCTAATTTCTAGAAAGGCCGTTGGACATATCCGCCGATGAAGAGCCAGAAAGGAAAAGCGCGGGAGCATGGGGTGTGGTGGGTACGGTACCAGACATTACGGTACAGTAAAAAATATCGGTTCACGAGATTGCTCTCTTGCCTGGCGACAAGGGGGGGTACGGCGGGGATCCAGTAAGCTCGCTTCGCAAAAAGCGCACATAAGTTTATTGGACCCTTGTATGTCATGTATTCATTACCTATCTCGAGGTTGCCTTTTTTCCTGCTAATGCCCCCAGGAAGGAGGCTGCTAACGAGTTCGCCGCCTTGTTAATAGCAGACGGGCTGATATAGGGAATGATGCGGATAGGTCTCGGCCCACGAACCGGAACCGGCGATGGAGAAGCAATAGACAGAGAGACGATGCCAATATCAAGGAATTTCGCTTGCATGTTTGATTATCTCGACGGCTTTACAGCGAGAAAGACCCGAGATGAAGCGCGTCGAATTGGCGAATTGTCGAATTGTCATGAAAAGAAGGGTGAGGTGTGTGGGCCGAGTGCAGATAATAGAATGCATTAGCATGGCCGTTAACTATCTTATAAGTCAACTGGACCAAGAGCAGCCACCCACGGCGACAATGAGTGGCTGCAAGGCGAGTTGAATAATTGCTCAAAATCTACGATAGATAATTGGCAGGACGAGTTGAGCAGGTCCCTGACAAACCTGGCAACAAGCCTAGCAAGCCTAGCAAGCCTTAACAAGCCTAAGAAATGCGGAGGAATAACAATGCCATTACGCTACATGCCATACAGAGCCATAGCACACAGATCACGCCCGTACATAGTATCCAGCACATTCCCGATTTGGATCAGCGTGCCTAGCAAAGCGATCCACAGCTGGACAAGCCCGGCACGCCACTTCGGAGGTCATGTAAGCTTTAGAGCTCTTGGAGGGTACCACAGCATTCGATAGGACTGGAGTACATTTTGACAGAGTCGCCCCCAAGCAACGACACGGCTTTCGTTGAAGTATTCTAAGACGGGAATCGGCGTAACAGCCGCATCCTTTTACACTACTACTCTCTCTCCCTAGCCGCGAGCCGAATTACTGATTGGAGAAAGGCCTAGCTGATCAGAGGAAGCGATATCTTCTATCCTCTGAAGAAACAACCACTTATGCCGGTACTAATAAAAGCCTGCAGAGAAGTCATGGGCTAAGATATGCCTTGTCCGCTTACTCAAGCTATATACGTAGATATTGTGTAATGGTCCGCGCGCCCTGTCGAATGCTTCCTCGCTTGCGACCGCGCTTTAGCGATCGCATATCATTTGACGGCTCGTCTTTCTCAAGAGCGGGTGTGGTGCTTGTAACATGTGTTCTAAAATAGAACGCCCGCTTCTATTCACGCGAAGCTATGCAGGTGATATCGAACTCCAATGTGACGAGCTGGCCAGCCGCCCTCTTCGTTTAAGATTCTTATTACCTACCGCTGCGATGACGGCGCGCACAAAGTGGCAAGAGATTTGATTTTTAATTATTGTCATCGATATTAGGAGATAGGTAAGAGTACGCGCGCACGCGCGGAGATTTGGGGAGCTTTGGGCATATCAAATAGGCATTATCTAAACTCGCCTCCACAAAGCAAGGACCTTGTCATTGTTCCTTGTAGCTTTCGTTTTCCTAATCTGACGATAATGATATGTATCATATTTGTATCAACATGGGCGACTTAACATAAGGCCAGAAAGGGTTAGGTTTAACCAAAATGAAGCCGGCAGATCGCGCCAGATATTTCGTCGATTTGTATATATATGTGGCCTAGGTAAAATAGGTTAAGAAGCCAGGAAGCTAAACCTAGGTAACCTAGTCGTCCTCCACGAACTGACTAGGGCTGGTCCTGGTCCTAGCCTAGCAGAGGTCAACAAGGACCAGGTTGGTAACAATCAGTCAGGGGAAATGTTACCGGACATTTTTCCCATTGTCTCTTTTTCTGCTAGCAGCAATACACTACATCTACATACATAGTAGTGTAGATAGGCAGAGTAGTATTTCGCCGCAACGTAGGGGCAAGCCAGATAGCTACCGTACTATATATGTACCATACGTACATACGTACATACGGCGACTACCAAACCACATGGTTTGGTTGCTTCGAGTCTCCAATTGCTAGGTATATTCTTACGGTTACGGCAGTGAGATTCTCCCCTGATCCCTCACCATGGCCTCCAAAAGTTTCAAGGGCATTTTCACTAAGGCATCTCTAAGACCTCTAGTTTCAAGTAGTTAAAGCTGCTAGGTCAAATCACCGACACGAATTAGACTCCACAGCCGTTGAACGCGTGTGGATCCTGATGTCAGTGTCGATGACTAAATGGGACGAAGCCTTATCTACTTCCGGACTGGTAGAGATGCAAAACTTTGGTTCGAGAAGTGTATGAAATCTCTTGGGTAATGAAGCGGTCAAGCGATTCGAAGCTTGTAGCAAGAAAAAAAAAGAGATGTTTCATTAAGCTTAGTTCGTAGTATAGCTTTGAACGGACGTTCTAACGGTTGTTAACTAACTGATAGCTTAGGGCGTTTTTGATATATCTAACTTATTATAAGTAGATGATAAGTGATATTGGTTGGGGGCCCTTTTCACGAGGTCGAGGGTTACTTTGACCCGAGATTACCACACGCTTCAAACCGTGATCTTAAAAAGGGGCCGGGTTATAATGGTAATATGTGGTAGTTAATATATACTGAACCGAACTCAGGAACCCTTGTGAGTGGGAAGAGCTCACTATCCGAGATGCAGCTAATATTGTACGAACCACAATCGCGTGTAAACGAGAGAGCTCATTGACTGGTAACAGCCGTCAAGCTCCAACTAGCTCGGTGGCACTCGGTGTGTTGCGCGCGTTGGCGCGATAGCGAAAGCTGTAGCTAACTTACTAGTAGCCTGTGCCTTTTGCTGCTTATTCCCCAAGATTGCCGTCGCTCTACGGGATGGTAACCTCATAACCAAGATCAAAGGATTTGGTGGGGGTTCACTATAGATGCCTGCCGCGCCCGCGTTTCAACAGTCCAAGTGCGCGAAAGCATGTAACCCATGTCCCAAAGAGAGACAGCTGCCCGTCTTGGTATATACTTATTGGTATACGTATTACTATGTACAGAAGGAGTTAAACCTCGAAAAGGAACATCTGGAGCGAGCCGTCGTCGACGTCAGGTTCGAGCGGCAAGGATCTAATGATGACGAGAGAAAGAGGTGGGGAGAGCATATATGTAGCTAATGTATAGCGGATCAGATCGCGGCAGATGAGAAAAACAAACGAACAGCTTTTCAGAACAGACGGTGGTTCCTTTCGACGCAAGGCTTCCGCGGTCGCAACATAGCACGGCACGGCGATATACTTAGACGGGGCTATGTATCTGTGAAACGAGCAGATCCAGACTTGAACGAGTATATCTATCGATCGAGAATATATGGTTCGAGATACGTATCCTTTAGTATCCTTTATGTAAGAGGGACCAAAACGTGTTAGACCTAGATTCATCTTTGTATATACGTATATAGGTATGTATGTACATAGATAGTCTAATGTTCTGGCAAATCTTGCCGCGGTGCCGGTAGTCGTAGATCAACTAACCTAGTGAGGCAACAAATGAGGCAAGGCGAGTTAGAATCCATAGCAACTCATACTAATGTAGGTAATGTGTAAGTACTTACATATACTATA